GTGTGGCTGCAGAAGGGTCTCATCCAAGGCTCGGTCCTGAGTCCCCTTCTGTTCAGTGCCCACATTGACGACCTGCCTGGACTGCTCCGAGCCGAGGACGGACTTGTGCTTGCCTCGAGTCGCCACCACCGTCTCCGGGTCAACTCGCTCTGGTTTGCCGATGACGGTGTCCTCATCTGTCCGGCTGGCCGCACCCAGGCCATGCTGGATATCTGCGAACGCCACAGCATCGACAACCGGTACCGCTTCTCGCCTCCCAAGTGCGAGGTGCTGTACTCGGCCTGCAACGTCGACCAGCTCCATCCCGCCAAGCTGTACGGCACCGAGCTGCCCAAGGTCCTCCAGTTCCGCTACCTCGGTGTCATGGTCGACATTGACGGATTCCGCCCGGACCTCCAGTTCGACAAGCTCCTCCGCAAGGTCCACATGGTCACCGACACCGTGGTTGGACTCGGCATCACCCTCGGCAAGGTCTCGGCCAAGACCATCACCCAGGTCTACAAGACCTTTGTGCGGCCGACCCTCGAATACGGGATGGCCATGGACATCCCCGACCCAGCTCTGCGCGACCGCCTCGACGACGCCCAGATGACGGCCCTCCGCACCATGTTCCGCGTCGGCCCCGGCACTCCCGTCGGTGCCATGCACCTCAACTGCGGCCTTCCCAAGATGTCGGTCCGTGTCAAGATGCTGGCCCTGCAGAACTGGGCCCGCTGGGACGACCAAGTCTCTGACGGCGACAAGATGCTGTCGATGATCCTGCGCAACAAGATCATTGCGCCCTACCACCCCGACCAGTTCCTCGGCCAAGGAGTCCGAGCCGATCCGCACTGGGCCATGGTGGTCCGCCGACAAGAGGCCGACCACTCCCTCACGGCCACGGAGATCTACCGAGGCAAGACCCGACACCAGCCGCCGCCGCCCGGACCGCCCCGACCCCAGCCCGTCCCGATCAAGACCCTCATCTTCGAGGACCACATGAAGAACGGCTTCGACCGCTCCAAGCAGCTCACCGCCGCCTGCACCCCGTCGACCAAGATGTCGGGACTCTGGGAGGCTCGCGGGTACCAAGGATCCATGATCATGCTCATGTTCATGGTCCGATGGCGACTCGGTGCTCTCCCAGGCCACTTCAGATTTGGCTACCGCAAGTGCAAGAACCTGGCTCGACACGGATCCGGGATCGACTTGACCAGGACCCACGCACAGCAGTGTGTGGATCCGCATCAAGTCCTGGTCCGCAAGGTCGCAGCCCTCAAGACGGCCCACCCGACTTGGGTGGAAAGTGGTATAGCCGGAGTGGGACCAGTGGACAAGCTGCTGGACCTGCTCAGTTTCGATCGCACTCCCCCTCGCAGTCGCACCCCTCCCGCACTTGGATCACTTGCTGCTCATGTACCCGCTCCCCGCACTGCCTTCCGAGCATTCGCACTTGGTGCACACCCAGCACCACCACCCACTCCCACACCCAGTGTAGTCCCACCCTTGCAGTCTCTCCCTGCACCCTCATCACAGCGTAGTATAGTGTCAGCACTTGTCATTCCTCCACCCCGACCCCCCCTCGATCCTGCTGTTCCCTTGTGGGAACTGCTCGAAAATGTGTTCACCCGCTTGGTCTCAGACCTTGTGGGCAGCTGAGGCAGCACTAGGCTGCAACAGGAGTAAATAGGCTTGCCTGTGTACTCAACGTGCCGGGGTACCAACCTGTTGGACCTGATGGCTTGTCTTCTTGAATAAAGTTGACTATAGTAACAAAAAAAAAAAAAAATCAGTTTGGCCGTGGTGTTGCCAACAACATCGACATTGCTGTCTTTTGGTACCGCAAGTCGGCGGAGCAAGGCCACGATAGAGCCATCTACATCCTCCAGGGGCTCAGCAAGTGGCCTTGATCCCGAGTTTGACTGACTCCTGCCTCGGATCCTTGATTGACACTGTGTACTATCGAATGACTCGGCTATGACAACTCGTCATAGTTAGCAGTGCATTGGAGGGTCAGCCTGCTGGACCTGCTCTTTCGATCGCACTCCCCCTCGCAGTCGCACCCCTCCCGCACTTGGATCGCTTGCTCATGTACCCGCTCCCCGCACTGCCTTCCGAGCATTCGCACTTGGTGCACACCCTGCACCAGCACCCGTTCCCACACTCAGTGTAGTCCCACCCTTGCAGTCTCTCCCTGCACCCTCATCACAGCGTAGTATAGTGCCAGCACTTGCCACTCCACCACCCCGACCTCCCCTCGATCCTGCTGTTCCCTTGTTGGAACTGCTCGAAAATGTGTTCACCCGCTTGGTCTCAGACCTTGTGGGCAGCTGAGGCAGCATTAGGCTGCAACAGGAGTAGATAGGCTTGCCTGTGTACTCAGCGTGCCGGGGTACCAACCTGTTGGACTTGATGGCTTGTCTTCTTGAATGAAGTTGGCTATGGATATAATGAAGCAAGAAGGATGAACAAGAGTCACGCTCCTGGGATGGGTCAGCGCGTGAGATTATATATTCATCAGCTTTTCGTTGTCCACGAGAACAGGAACAAACGATAGGGCTTGAAAATGCGCTGGTACTGCCCACGAATCGTCCTAGATTATGGATAATGTCGATAGGCACCAATGTTGGTGTCAACAATTACCCATTGAGACAACATTTGAATAACCCCCGCCTCGTCCTTAAGTTGAACCATGGCTGAAAAATCCCCTTGCTTCTCCGCAACCTGTGCCATGTCTCTGAGCGTGGAGGCAACGTCAGTATTTAGTCGAGTGCCATGAATTTTCTTATAGATGTCGATCGCTTCCTGGTAGTGTGTGAGGGCAACCTCGTAGTTGCCTTGAGATGAGGCGACATGACCCATGTGGCGGATCGTGTCGGCGACTTCGGGATGCTCTCGCTTGCCGTAGATCTTGGCTTTGATGTCGTGCGACTCTTGGTAATAATTTAGAGCGGCCTCGAGGTCACCTTGGGTGTAGGCGACATTGCCCATATTGAAGAGGGTGGCAGCAATCGAATGGTGCTCCCGTGTGTTATAGACCTTGATCTTGATATCAACCGACTCCTGGTAGTACTTGAGGGCGGTCTCGTAGTTGCGTTGGGAGTAGGCTATACAGCCTAGTTGGTTGAGTGCAGTGCCAATCCATGGATGTTCCCGGGAACAATAAACTTTGACCATAATATCGAGGGACTCTTGGTAGCATTCGAATGCGGCCTCGGTGTTGCCCAGTCTGTTGACGGCATTTCCTATGCTATTGATCGTGGCTGCGACCTTGGGATGCTCACGAGTGCCATGGATCGTGATGTTGATGTCGCGCGATTCCTTGTAGTATTCGAGAGCAACCTCGTAATTGCCTTGGGTGTAGGCGATGTTGCCCATGTTATGAATCGTGGCGGCAATCTCTAGGTGCTCTCGTGTGCCATAAACCTTGGTATAGATGTCGAGTGCCTCCTGGTAGTGCTTGAGGGCAGCCTCGTTGTCGCCCAGCGACATGGCCACATCACCGAAACTGTGGATCGTGGAGGCGATTGTTCGGTGTTCTCGGGTGCCATATATTTTGGTCTCCATCTCCAATTCTTCCTGGTAGTACTTGAGGGCGGTCATATACTGCCCCTGCGCGAAGAAAACGTTTCCCAGATGATGAATGGCCTCAACCACTTGTGGATTCTCCCGTGTGCCGTAATACTGGATGCATTTGGAGAGATGCCGTTCGTACAAGTCCTTGGCTTGACTGTAAAATCCGCGATCGGATGCAATCCGAGCGGCGTGGTAGTCAATTTGTTGGTGAAGGTCCTTGGTATAACCGTTGATTGTCACCACCTTAGCGAACCCTTCGAGATGATTCACGAAGGGATAGGTGTCCGTGAGAAGCGATCCGGTCAGCTCGAGCAGCACTTCACCCATAGTATCTTCGATTCCTTCGGCATTCAGTTCACTATGCGCTTGAACATACTCTCGAGCCACTTGCTGGGTGAGCGAGTGTGTCGAGTACTGTCCCTCGTTTCCACTTCGGAGGAGACCACTCTGGACCATCATCTTGATCAGATCGGTCACTGTGGACAGGAAACTGATCAATTCCATGCATCCATGCACTGGCACCATTGATTGCACTTCGATTCAATCCCAACTCACCTTCGGTCTTGAGCTCCATCTTCTGTGCAATCGCCTTGATCAACTCGAACTGGATGTTGGTCGGCGCCACCAGACTGAGGGCCCCGAACAGCCTGGCTGCCTCGATGCCCTCATCCCCTCGCTTCATCAGCGAGTCCAGCGACAGATCCACAATCACCTTGAGCGACGACCGCGTGTCGTCCTCGCCATCCTGCAGCTCCAATGCTCCTGCAAACGTGGCCTCGAGCTCCGACAGGGGAGTGTCGTAGTTCTCGGCAAACGTCATGAATGTCTGGATGACGAGTGGATATCCGCTGATCTTGGCCACGATGCTGTCCAGTGACTTCTTGGCCTCGTCCGACACAAGTCGCTGGACAATCATCGGCGATGACGACAGGATATAGTCGAGTGTAGTTTTGTCGTCCCAGTTGACGAGACGGAGCAGATCGTGCTGAAAGCTCGGTGCCTTGGTCTCAAGAGCACCGGTGAATGCACCAGGAGGCAGCGAGGCCAGCCGGGTCGTCACCACCACATCGCCGCTGAACCCGACCGACTTGGAGTGCTCAAACACAGAGTCGACCACGTTGATGTCATCGACATTGTCGAGCACCAGGAGATAGCCGTGAGTGTTGGCGAGGAACCTCGAGGCATGTTCCTTGATCTCGTCAGGTTCAACTGCGCCATCGAATATCGTACATAGCCCATCGATGGCGGTCGACTCGGTCGAGCAGTTGATCCAGAAGACCTGGCGGTACTGCGGCTTGATGCCGATGGTCTCGGCTTTGATGGCGAGGAGGTCTTCCTTGTTGCTCGCATTCATAATGCCCATCATGAAGAACAGGATCTGGATGGCGAGGACAGACTTACCCATACCACCCATGCCAGAGATGACGGCACGACCAGTCAGGGTGAGTTGCTTGAGCAGGGTGTCGAGGTGGGCGGGATCGAATCGGAACTTGGAGTCGCAAAAGTATTTACGATGGATGGACGTAATGAGATCCATGTTGGGTGGGATGGGATGGACGAGGTTGAGGAGGCGGTAGACTCGCTTGTGCATCTGGTCGGGGCGGAAGCCAAAGGACTGGATGTCTCTCAGTCTGCCGAGGGTCTGGTTGAGGGGGGCAAAGGCAGGGTCGTCGGGGAGGGACATCATGTACGGCAAGAAGGGAGTGAAGACATCGACACCATCCTTGGTCTCCTTGGTGGCGATTCCGAGGGGAAGGACAGGGAGGGAGCGTTTGGCATCCTTGAGATCGAGAGCGGTCTTGATTTCGAGCAGAACACTGTCCTCCTGACCGGCAAGGGTGTTCTCTATCATAGGTGTAAACGATGCCCAACTGAGGAGCAGGAAGACGGCCTTGCTGGTGGGGAGAGCATTGATAGAGCTGACTGAAGGGTCGCTGGGATTGTTGAGGCAGTCGACATCGTGGAAGACAGAAAGGGGTTTGCCATATCGACGGAGGGCGACCGAGGTGAGCACCTCCTTCAAAGCCTGGACAGTGTCGGCATCAGTCTGGGCTTGGTATGAGAGGAACAGATCGTGGTCGGTGCCGTGGGCCGGGCAGGAATAGAGCTGGTTGCTGGTTGTGGTCAGCATAGCCGGGGGTATCGTCGGATCGATGGTGCGGAAGGTGAGGAAGACTGAGGGCTGGGCAAAGGGACGAAGCGGCCTGCTTTTAAGGCGGATGGGGATTGCAGTGTCCATACATCTGGAGGGTATCAAAGTGCGCTACCGAAACAAAAAAAAAAAAAAAACATCATCTGGAGGGTATCCAGCTGTCATGATGACAAATGGACTGTCTCAATTGGGACAAGGATGCGATATTGATCCTGGTGCGATGTTTGACCTGACAATCGTGTCGCTGTCATTCGCTGAAACAACGAAAGACAAACGCTTTCATCCACTCGTATGCCTCTGCCTCTCGTGTCTTGAATCGTGGTCGAACAGAGTGGGACCCGAACTGGTGGCGGAGGGATGAGACGTATGGTATCCGTGCAGTGGTGGAATCGAGTTGGATGTTGTCCGCGATGTGATGGAAACAGAGTCAGACAAGCATTCCCCACTGACAGGCCGCACTTCGATGCATTGGTCAAGCAAGTTGGCACTCGGGTCTATCCCTCTCTTGAACCACAGGCTGATCGGTCGAATACGTTAAGCGTCAAATGAGATGGCCCATTGGCGACGGCGAAACCACATTGGCCGGACTATGCTTCTATCGGCTGGTCTCGGTGCTTCCACCCTGCGTTTGTTCATCTGGATGGCGATTGTCGAAGATCATGGCCACAGTAACCGGCCGCCTTGACGTCGTTGGCGAGGCCCCGCCGCACTCGTGTCTCCTTTGCTGCAACAAAAGCACCCGTCGATCAAGTTCCTGTCCCAGCCGATCGCCCTGAGCCCCAAGACCCATTTCATTTTTGATGTCGCCAGTGCCTGTCCACGTGGGGTGCTGCGCTTTCGTTTTTTTTGACCAGCGGCGTCCATGCCGTCGCTGCGAGGCTGCTGCGTTTGGTGCTCTTTGGATATCCGCCAGATATCTGTACCATCCACATCCCCCGACTGACGTTGGCTCGCTGCGGTGAAGCCACTCTGCCCCCGGCACAGCTCTGCTTCGCATATAGAACTCCCGGGAACCACCGTCCGCGCCATCTCGACGCCTCCGGCACTTGGATCCTTCACCACCATCATCGTCCCATCCACTCCATCTCGTTGCACGACCTTTCGCACTATCCGTCTCACGCTGCATCCTCCTCATACGAAAAATCCGCCAAATGAGAAAATCCAGGAAGAACGACCCTCGCGGTGTCTATCCCGGAGCGATCCACTTTGAAAACCTGCCCAACGAGGTGCTCACCCGCATCTTCATGTTTGTGCCCCCAAGGGATCTTTCCAACTTGTGCACGCTGTCGAAGCGACTGTTGCCGCTGATACGGCCGCTGGCATGGCACTCGCTGATCTACGACGACATCGAGGCTATGCGCTCGGCGGCTCAAAACAAGTCCAAGAAGCCCGTGCCCGCCAGCTGTCTTCCATTCGTGCGCGAAGTTATGGTCATCGCCGATCGACCCTACCTCCCGCAGTCCACGGTTCCGCCTGATGGGTACAACTGGCATCCCGAGCGAGACAAGAGAAACTTGGAGATTATATTGAGCAGGCAAGGATCGATATCCAAGCTGTCGTCGCAACGATTGTCTCGATTACTGCGAATGCAACTGCACCCCCCGATCCTTCCCTCCGCACCCACATTGCACAATACCCGCAGTAGTTGATGTATTCTCACTCAATCGGCGCCCTCGATCCAACTGCTCTCCTCCAGATTCGTCAAGCTCAAGTACATCCAGATCGATTTTGGAGCACGCGGCGCGCCCTTGACCCGCATCTCCATTCCCGAATCCAGCCGTCATCTGCAGAGAATATCGACGCTCAAAGAATGGTATACCCTCGGCGGCCTCGTTTGCTGGTACGAGGGATCTACCGCCTCTTCGTCGTCCATCAAGCTGCCTGCACTCGCCGGCCGCGACTTCCCCGCAGAAAACTGTCCCTTGGCCGAATACTTGCAAACCTCGCATCGCATATCGCAGCACGGCTACAGTTCGCACTCAAAGGGTCCTGAACTTCCAGAGGATCGCTGTCTCGCCATGTGTCCATGCTGTCAGAACTTGGTCGAGATCATCTTTCCGGAGAAGTTGCTGATTCCCGATACGACCATGGAACGCATCATCGGCGGACTGAGCGCACTCCGGTCTATCAGCCTCCCCGAGGGCTGTGGGCAGCGGACGATCGATTCCCTAGCCAACATCGGCAGCCGGCTGCATTGGCTTTCGATTCACTCCCTGCAAGTCAGTGCCCCGATGCTGTCGCTGGCGCTTCCCAACTGGACTCTGCTGAGAGCGCTGTTCTTGACCCCGGTTTGTGCCTCCGACGACGTTCTCATCACTGTCTCGGAGCACTGCCCGGTACTATCGGATTTGCGTGTTTCACACTCGCCCGCTGTCACCGACGTCGGTCTGCTGGCGCTCGGGAAAAAGTGCCGGTATCTGGGCGTGCTGAACATCGAAGGATGCGCAGGTATGGGATATTGTTTGGAGCCGTCGGCGATCCACAGGCGTCGCCCTAGATCGCCTCTTGCCGACTGCCTCGCACCCGTCCTGGCATGGATGAGCATCGTGCCTGCGACGGATTTTCTTTGGCCGATTTTGCTGCGGAATAGTGGCTCGGCGCACCAAGGCCTCTGGGGCAGTCGACACCAGGTTTCGGCTGACCATTTGTTACCATGATTCCCCGGCCGTTCCTCATCTACACAGGCATCTCCGATGAGGGCATTATCAAGTTCACCACCTACCGCCACCCTTCCCTGCGTCTCCTGAATCTAGGATACGTCACCTCGGGACCGCTCCGCGGCGATGCCCTGATTTGTGCGATTGCCAAGAATCTCCCCTTTCTCCACGAGTTGGACTTTGCCATGGGCTCGGTCACCGAGTCTGGCCTGAAGAAAGCTATTCTCGGCAGCGATGGAAAGCCCGGATTCCAGAGCCTCAAAATCCTGAGCCTGGCTTACTGCCTCGGAGTCACGGGCAAGGAATTCCTACCGCTACTGGCCAAACATGCCCTCAACCTCGAGGAGCTGCTGACGTATGGCTCTGGCGTCGAGGATCTGTACTTTCACACCTATCTGCCACGCTTCCACCAGCTCGCCTCCGCCGACTTGGTTTACCACTCATCCTCGCGACTTTGTCGAAGTCTGTTGTTTGAGCGTGTTAAGCGTGTCCCGAATCACACCACGGAATGGTCCCTTGATGATCTCGGAAGCTGGATGTTTGCCGCCATACAAGGATGCTTCTCGCTCAAACAGATCTCGGGGGCCTTCCGCGAGGCGATTCTCGAAGAACTGGGTCTGATAGACGACAGCGAGGAGGTGTTCTCGAGTTTCGATGGCCCTGTGGACGAGGTCCCGATTGGATACATCCGATGCTACGACCGAACCCTAAACTGGGACCTAGTCGTCATCCGATGGGCAGAAGAAGGACACTACTACTCAGTCCTCTTCCGCGAGACGCTGGAAGGCTCGCGCTTCGTCAAGGTGGCCGAGATGGAAAAGCCCCCCATCGCTCACTTCGATACGTTCCGTGCCTGGCGACCGGCGGCCCTGTCTGAGGGCTGTTCCACCAAGGAGCTGCGTCAACTGGCCCGCGATTTCTCGCTGAGCCCGTACTCTGAGGGCCAGTCGGCATACTGGTCCAAGGGATATGTCCAGCGGGCAATGTTGGAGTCCCAGAAGGCGCGCATCGAGATCATTCGGCCAGCGACTCATGATGGTGAAACTGGCGAGACTCGCCACTCGGCCACCACCGACACCGAGGGCGACTCGGACGAATGGGTCGATACCGACGAGGATACCTCTGGTCACACATACAGCATTGACGAAAACGACGACGAGACGGACTCATCATTCCTCGATGATACTGTCTTCCCGAGCTATGCGGATGATGATGACGACTTGGAGGACAACATGTCGTCCTTTGACGACAGCAACGCCTCGGACATTGTGAGTGACGACTCGCTGGCCGATATCGATGACCCGCTCGACCCCCACAACCACTTTGACGATAACTTTGACGGCTATATCGACGGGGACAATTATGGAGAGAGCACCGTCATTGTCGAAAAGGTCAATGCTCTGCTAGCCAAACACACCAATCCTGATGGATCGGAGATGGCCGATCCACGACACAGCTCGGGCGACGATGAGCCCTGGTTCATGCCCCCGACCCAGGAGCATGTTAATATCTCGTTTAAAGAATGGAAGCGGATAGCCCGTCGGTTTGTCGGCCTGCCGTACAAGCCTGTCGTCTGACACTGTCGTCCTGCACCTCCCCCCCCCCACCGCAAGGTCGTGCCGACAGGGATACAATCACACTCTGGCCACCATTCCCAGGCTCTCTTGTTTGCGTTGACTCTTGGTGATCACTTTTGCGGGGCCTCGAAGAGTGTGATCGCGATGGATCCACTTGTCTCCGCATCTACCGCTACTGACAGAATACATTGCCCCCCGCTGCTGCGATGACGAGGGGAGGTGCATCGCAAAGGCACCAATTTTTGATCCATTTGATAAGCATTAAACCGCCCAGGAAGCGTGATGGCCGTCCCTTGGAATATTGACTGAGCTTTCTTCTGCTGGATAATCGATCATGTAGCCGATACATGCCAATATTCATCGACAGGACATCTCCACCTGCAGATTTACGTCGCAGCGAAAGCATGGGAAACTCTTGATCGGCACGATGGCTGGCGCCATGCGTATTCGGGTGCTGGGAGGAGCCGCTGGACTGGATCACGGTGTCTCTGGCATCGAGTGGCTCAAACAAAGTTCAGTCAAGACGTGTTGTGTATTCCCTCTGCAGCGACATGGCGCTATGGGATATCCTCGACTGTGGGTTTGTACCCCTCCTGCTCCAGGTATATCGGAAAGACGTTTTCGTATATCATTTTGACGACCTCTTGATGGACACCATCGAGACACCCGACATGGATGGTCCCTTTTCGGTCAAAGGAAGTGGTGGTGGCAAGGATGTTCTTGCTGGGAGACCGCACCACGGTGGTCTCGGGGATATCCAAGAACCCTAGTTCGTGCAGGACGTTTTGTCTGGTTTCGGCCGAGAGGTTGAGCTCTTTTGGGGCGCCATCCTTCAGATATAGCCTCAGTATCCGGCGGTATGCCGGATGCAGCTCCTCTGGAACGACCCAATCGCGTGGGGCCCGGGAGTCGCTGATGATGATGGCATCTTCGTCGCTGGAATCTCCCGACTTGGAGCTGCGACCAAAGCGGGACGACAGGATCGATCCAGCCAAAGATGCCAGCGACCCCAGAATCGACTTTGGGTCCGTGGCCGCCAGCATATTCCGGTTGACGTTGCTGGTAGATATCCGAAACTTGCTCGAGCCGCTGGCTGGGTTGCTGGGGGCCCCGGCCGCTGAATGTGTTGACGGCCGCCGAGATAGAGCGGTGACGCTGCGGCGATAGAGCTCCATCGATACAATCTCAACCTTGCGGTAGTGGCGCAGAAACAAGAACATCTCGATGCAATATACTGCGGAGGGCATCAGGGATGTCCAATGTGGGCAGTGCGAGAACGGTTTCGTGTGCGAGGAAGGTCATTCGTTTTGTAACCGATCGTGATATCCGCAGTTGCGATGGATCGATTCGGGTGGGAGAACGACGAGGTGTTGCAAGGGCAAAGGTCAGCGAGAGCCTATCGTGAGCCTGCCCAGTAGAGACTATCAGAGGCTCTCAGGGGCAATCAGGGGCAATCAGGGACAATCAGCGATTTCAGCCCCACTGGACACGGATACCGGCTGATTCCATCACTGTGTTTGACAGTCCCAGCGGGCACTCCAACGATTCCAGCTGCCAAAACTGCTGCCGACGACAGATAATTACAGCTCATGGCAATCGCCTCCAGCTTCTCGCGAGAGCGAGGCCGGTCCAGCAGGGTCATCAGGCAGGGCATGGTATAGGTGATCGCAACTTCCTTGGAATGCAGCTTCCGTGTGCGAATGAAGGCTTGGATGACCGGGAGCGTTACCGATTGGAATTGAATGATGTGGCACGACAGGACCACCTGAACCCCGAACGGCATCGAGCCATGGAGCCGATATGAAGCGCATAGTTAGATACACAAGCCTCTACGATAGAACTGGAGAAGAAATGGCACAATCGCCAGTACGAGCACTGTGCCGTGGGGCCTATGAGGGAGGCAATAGACACTGCCCGTTGCCCACTTTATGCACATCCAAGCCGCTTCATGCATATCCAAACTGCTTCATGCACATCCAAACTGCTTCATGCACATCCAAACTGATTCATGCACATCAACAACCAACCCAGATGTTTCCTTGAACATAGGACTGCGTTCCAACAATTCCCTGCAGCGGGAAGCACCACAGGTAGTACATCAGGGTAAACCCAAAGACCATGAATGCGTGCCAATAGAGCTCGTTTCGGATCGGGTGGTTGATCTTCAAGGTGTGCATCTTCCAGATGCCCAGCGGAGCAGCCAGCAACGAGAAGAGCAGGTTGAGCAGCAGATGAGCTCCCATCTTGAACATGAACCTTCGGTCGCAATAGTACGTGTCCGAGGCGTAGTGGGCGAGGACGCAGTTGAGAAACGACTGGAGTCCGATCGAGACCAGGAGAACGATAAAAAGGAGCACAGGCAGCCATATACTGAGGGTGTAAGCGATATGCTTCACGCGGTTGACCTGCTCGATCGACGACGAGTCGGACTTGACGGAGGAGGCGGAGATGAACTTTTGGTGGATCACACAGGCTTCCTGTATCTGGACCTGGAAGATGAGGTGCAGACTTCGCCCCATGATTGAAACTATCTGGACGGACTGGAAGGAGGCCCCGGGACAAGGAATCGGTTGGGAGGCGCGGAGACGCAGTAAAATAGATGCAAATGAGCATGAGAGCGAGGTGGCAGACGGACAGGAATTCCGTTGAGATGGTATCAGGTTGATGGAGGACATGTGGGAATCGTGCTGAGCGCGATCTTACCTCGCCAATGATGCACAAGAACAGCAGCGTCTCGCATTCTATCGGCCGAATCATACCAACGAGCATCACTGCGCGGGTAGAGGAAATGATTCCAGTCCAAAACTTATGGTTAGACGACAGCGGTGCGAGCAGTGGGCGGCTATTCTGGCTCTGGCTCGGTTTAGTTGGCTCGACTTGGATCCGCCGGCATCGAGACTGACCTGTTGCCAAGCAGAAGCCACCCATCGACCCTGTGAAGATCAGCGAGAATTCTCGACTTTCGATCAAGGGGTCGTCTCGAAAATACAAGAGTCCACAAACGCTGCGGACGTGGAGAGCGGTTAGGGAGGCTGATCCAAAGCAGACCTTTCTTCTTTCCTCAGCACGCAGTCATTCGCTAACTCGATCTCGGCCATCAGCGCGATGTGCTCGCTTGGCCGCATCGGTTCGCCAGGCTTTTATACCTGGCAATCCAGTAGATCATCGTGATGCCCAGCAAGCATGAGAATGCCGTGACGTTCGTTGGGCTGAAGAGAACGTCCTCAGCCACTGGCACATCGGCATACCACCCAACAAATCCCATGGCTGAGGACGCAATCCTGCGTGTGAAAGATTCGAGCTTAACAGAGGAGCGATGTTTGTGGTGGAGGCCAACGCTCCATCCCACGAGCTGGACTGACCAAGACCTCTGGGCCGACTACAACTCCGGTATCGACGAGACCACCAGCTACGACCCCGATCAGCTACGTCAGACCCTTGGATCCCCAAAAGCGTCCAAGGTCGGATGCCACTGACGTCACCCCTCCCGTGGCGACGAGCGCGATAGTCTACCTCACTGGTGGATGTCCTCTCGCGGGAATATCCAACTCAGAAACACAGAGTCCAACTGCGGCGCAATGAGGTGCTGTTGATTACTGCACGAGCGATACGCTCGACGCTTCCGGCCCCCTGGGGCATCTGTGTCTGATGCATCCACGGCTGTAGCAATTAGTGTGAGAGTACTCACACAGCGTGGGCTCGTAAACTTTACTCACGGGGGAAATGGGACACCCTCACGATCTCATGTCAGCGTAGTATGTGATGGCATGCATCCAACTATGCCATAAGAAATACACCAGATCGCTTCGGCAGCCTCCGAGTGAACACCACCGGTCGCTCTCCGGTCTCCACAATCGACCCGCACACTGGTCTCGGAGTGCCAGCGATCGATGGTGCCCTTGGACACAGGCAACTTTTCTCAGGCTATGGATGATGGTATTGCACCGCATCACAGAATGGTCATGGCCAGCGCGCGATGGTGTTGGTAACAACATATTCGGTCAACGACCAAAATCAAGGGTGTCCCGTTTTTTCATGGACGTGTAATGTATTGCCGAGCAGATATGGAAATGATCTTGCCGATGGATGCATTCAGACTCTACAGAGAAGTTGCTGTGGAATGCTGCAGCACTCCTGTCTCGGTGCGGCTCCATTTGTCCCTTGTTGGAGCGTGCTCTGGCCGAACGACAGCGAAGCCGGGTTGCTTGCATCGGCTGGGCGAAATGGCGTGTGGATCCAAGACCTCGAAAGCAGCACCGAGTCTGCAGTCTACCAAGTAACAGGAAGTGCGTCCTCAGAAATGGTATAGGTTTGCTCGTCCACTTTCTGCTTGAATGACGAGCTGATGTGCTCGGCCATCGCGACGAGGTCGTCGAGGCCTTGGTTGAGGGCGTCGAGGGCGGTTATCGAGCCGTCGGTCTGGATGCGGAAGTTGATTTTGAACTCGGAGGGATGGGGGATGGCGTATCCACAATAGTTGACGGCGGGGCTGCGAGAAATGCACCAGAGATGAGCGGAACGAGTCAGCAGGCGAGCCGGACAACCTGCCGATGCGAAGCCGTTGCTCAATGCTGCAGCGATAGTGCGCTATGACCGGCGTACTTTTTCATGACCATCCACCGCAGTGCGTTGCCCAGCGTGTGATCCTCATCGCGAATGACAAAAGTGGCCGAGGTCGGATCCTCAAAGTCGGTTTGGATCTGTGAGCAGGAAGTTTGCCGGAGATGGAGGTCAGCGATGTATCGATGGTGTCGGGAATGCATGGGGACTGCCCGGGTCCCAAATGCGGCGGCTCTCTGTGGCAGAAATCCGTGCCGGCGCTGGTGTTGATGGGCATTTGCAATGATGTCCACCGCTGATGGATCACTGAGTTCGATGGCGCAAACGCTGTGCGAGCGGCCATCCAGCAGCAATGCCGAGGGCAACACTGGACATGCGCGGGTCTGATACCGACAATCTCGACTTTGGGGCCTTCGGTGGAGGGGGCGCCGGTGGTCTCGGCTTGGGGCTCTACCATAGACATGTTGGGCGGTGTTTGCTGGCGCTGGTGCTGGTGCTGATGGTGCGGATGCTGGTGCTGATGCGGGTCAGATCCTGATCAAGCCGAACCGGACTTGGATGCCAGATCCAAAAAAAATGCAAGCGCAGCACACGCCGCAAGACGCAAGGCAGCCGCTTTCCCCTTTCCCTTTCCTCTTGCTTCTGTGCGACCACGTGCGCCTCGCCAGCCCCCAGCCAATGGGAAAATGACTCTTCGTCTGCAACGACAGGCACAGCCCGAAAAGGAAACAGCTCCACTTCCCCTTTGCCGGCTCGCTCGTTCTGCGGGTCTCAGTTCCCACAGACGGCAGTACTGGCGAGAACAGCTCCGTGGACTGGAGCGAGTCTAGGATGCTCCTCGGACGGCAGCAGAGTTTGAGTCTGGCAGCTGGATCATCCCTCACAGCAGCATCGCTCGATCAGGAAGCTCGCTGCTTGCCAGGGCACTTGCTGGGGCACTTGCCGAACAGCGGATGATGGCCGCTGATGCATGCAGAACGATGCTTTCTGTCCCACGCTCTGCCTTGTTGCTCTCGCCCAGCACCAGCACCAGCAACAGCAACAGCAACAGCAACAGCAACAGCAACAGCAACAGCACCAGCAGCAGTGGCAGTCCAAAGCTCGGCCGCCGTTGTCGCAGTGCCGCAGTGTGTGTGCGGCGCTGCCAGCCTCGGTCGCCGGTCTCGCCTCGCTTCTCGCCGGCGCTTCTGCGAGGAAGCCCCGTTTTGATCGCGGCGTCGTTCGGCTTTCGGCTCGTCTCTTCTCGGCTTCATCTGCTGCTCGTCCTCAGCCATCCTCTACTCATCCTCTGTTGATCCTCTGCTGCTCGTCGGGCCTTTCACTCCCCTCCCTCCAGCAAGGTAATCTCTCGGCTGTGCCCAGATTTGGTGTGGCCGCTGGCTGCAGCCGCCTCTTTGCCTCCCTTTCGGGCGCGATGGCTCATCGCTCTCCCCGGCTGACTCGTCCGTCGATCCAACCTGCATCCAGAAACATGGAAAAGGCAACCGGCTTCCTCTCCAAATTCGAAGAGACTCTCGAGTCGTTCTCAACCCCGCTGAAGCCTTGGCTTCCGGTCATCGCCCGCTTCCTGCTGGTCGTCACATTCCTCGAGGACTCGCTGCGCATCATCTCGCAGTGGAGCGACCAGCTGTTCTACCTGCAGCGACATCGCGGCTTTCCCTGGATCACCGCCGAGGCCTTCCTGGTGCTCAACGTCGCTCTGATGGTGGTCTCGTCCTTCATGGCGATTGCGAAATTCCAGACCAAGATCGCCGTCGGCGCCCTGTTCTTTGTCGTCGTCTCCCAAGCCATCGGCTATGGCCTGATCTTTGACATGAACTTCCTCTTCCGCAACATCTCCGTCATCGGCGGCCTGCTGATGCTCCTGGCCGATGCCTCTCTCACGAACAGCGGCCGAAAAAAGAACTCGTACGACGGCGCCCTGCTGAACGTGAACGTTGTCCAGCAGGGAGAGTATATTCTCCTGGCCGGCCGCGTCCTCCTGGTCTTTTTGTTCCTCAGCTTCATCTTTGGCGGCGAGCTGACGCCTCTGAGAATCCTGGTCTCGATCGTCTCGGGCATCGGCTGCATCATGGTCGTTGTCGGCTTCAAGGCCAAGTGGTCTGCGTGGATCCTGATCACCTTCCTGTCCATCAGCAACTTTTTCCTGAACAACTGGTGGAACCTTCACCAGTAAGTGCCTTCTCCGCTCTTCCCCTGTCGCCGCTATGTCGTCCCACAGTGCACACCGGCCCAAGCTCCCCATTTGCACCTCATCTGATCCATTCATCTTTGTCCCATTTGTGGCTGTCTGTGACGTCCACAGCAACCACCCGCAAAAGTAAGTTTTGGATCCGAGACTGGACTGCTGTCTTGCCGTGTCTTGGAGCACACGATCGACAACGCCGTGGCAGCCATGGCAACAAAGGAGCATCGATCTGACGAGATCAGTGGGATATCACGCAGTGCCAGTCGCAGTGCCAATGGCTAACATATCATCAACCCGCTCCCGCCCTCCACCTCCACCTCCATCGTCATGATCGTCTCCACAGGGACTTCCAAAAATACGACTTTTTCCAGACCCTGTCTATCATGGGTGGTTTCCTTCTCCTCGTCAATCTTGGCCCCGGTAAGCATCGCATCCCCGCCCGCAGCTTGCGATCTTTGATATCCTGCAGGCAACACAGTGGACTGGTCGTGCTGATCTGATCGTTTCTCCTCCGCCTTTCCTTACTGCTCCAGGTGGACTCTCGATGGACGAGAAGAAGAAGGACTATTAATCGATCGATTCGCGTGGCTGTCAGGCAACCTCTCTCTCCCTTCGTTGCCGGCCGGCCCCTGTCGCTGTCATAGAAGGAGGGAGAGGCCCGAGTCCTTCAAGCGTCTATGGGGACCTTGAGTCGGTCTAGTCACAATACCAGCCGAGTGGATGATGTTGATGTTCTTATTATTTGCAAAACGGACAGCCTGCGTTTTGGCTCTGAATATATGTCGCACGTATTTGAGTGGCCAACGTCAGCAGGAACGCCATCGACTTTCATCGCTGTTTCGTCCCCCCCCCTCCCGTCAACCATTGCGCCGCAAAATGCATCCTCTTCGCTTGATTTAGTCAATTGCCATTGACATTGATATTGATATTGATAATGATATTGATGTTGGGCTGCTGGACATTCCCGAGCATCTCTTGCGTCGACACAACAAGCATGCTGCATTGATGCAGACGTGGGCATGTCTTGACGGCATACACATGCACAAACCACCCTGATTCTGGCCCAATCATCTATGTGTCTCTTCAACAGCCCAAAGCCCGCTCGACATGGTGGGCGACTGTCGGAGCGAAGCCTCCTCCCTCTCAAGCGTGGCTGTGGCTGTGCTCGCCGTGGTCGTGGACATCCACGATGATGTCGCCCTGATGCGAGGGCTTGACGTATCCGTGCGAGGCGTCGTCTTGGGCGTGGGTCTCGTGCTTCTTGAGGAAGGGCAGCCACTCCTTGGCCTTGGGGGGAGGACGATCGATCATCGTCTCGATTTCCTCGCGGATGGACTTGCAGAAGCGCTCGAGAGGAAGATCCGTCTTGTCGAGACCGAAGGGGTTCTCGATTTCGGCACCGATACCCTCGATACCCTGGTGGAGCAATGGGCATGGAATCGGATGTGTCGGCGGGGTCAGGATGGCGCTTGATCACAGTCCAATGTGGCCTGTGCATATTGCCCGAGCTGGCCTGGCCTGGCCACAGACACAATGTAACCCAAGCTGATGCAGGATCGTGGGGGCACTGGAGGCGTGCGGGCAAAGGGAATACGTACCAGGAGGGTGAAGGCAAAGACGAACATGGCGGGAATCATGTACCATCCAAGACTTGCGACCAGCTGGAAGGGCAGGGTGAGCAGGTAGAGCAGGATGGTGTGTTTCTGACAAACGGAAGGTGCAGCCTGGGTTAGGGTCGCAGCAAGGATTACAGCAAGGGCTGCATGCGCCCGAGGGTAGAGCATTCCCTTTCCTCGATCAATCGATCGTTCGGTTAGGATGTGCCATATGAAACTCACCAAGTGCAAGTTGTAAACCACGGGCACCGGCGTCGAGAGAATGCGCTGCATATCGTTCTGGATACCGATCATCGTACTGCCAGCGATTACAAGTGCGTGGGTGCAAGTCAGCGAGCGAGTGAGCGAGCGCACCGTGCCACATGGCTTGCTTCGCAAGTAGTGGCACTCTCGGTCGGTCGGCGGGACATACCGAAACAGAACAGGCAAGACCGCCGCCGTCGTCGTCACATTGGTGACCCGAGATCCAACAGAAGCAATTGCAATATGGAAGCACACTTACGAGACATTGGCCGAGATGGCGTCGCCCTTGCCGCAAAAGTTGCCATAGCCGCAGAGGAGACCCGTGATCTCCAAGGGAATCGGAACGCAGCCGCAGGCATAGTTGTAGTAGTGGAGGTCCTTCTTGGGAGGGAACGTCGCCTGCGACTTGGTCTCGGGCGAGCCCTGGATCATGGAGGCGCGGCTGCCGGTTCGGACGCTCTGAGACTCGTCCGTGCCCAGGAGGTTGAGGCCGCTGCCGGTCTTGACGATCTGCAAATAGTTCTTGCGATCGCGAGCAGCACCGTGGCTAAACTCGGGCAGCGGAGGGAGGAAGCTCGAGAGGTTGTCGTGGTCGATGTCGTGATCCATGCGCAGATGGTTCTTGACGGCGATGGGGAAGGCAATGACGAGACGGAGGGCGACACGCTTGAGGACCTTTTGCTCATCGGTCCTGCCAATCGAAAAGGAACGAAGGGCGGAATAAGAGTCGTGGGGACGAGCGAGGCAGTCCAAAGTGATTACGAGGCAAGGCACCGCCGCCACCAACAGCAAGCAGCACTTACTCGTCAGGACAATTGCACCAGATCATGCGAGCGGTGTTCTTGCAGACGCTTCCCACTATGCAGAGACAGCGACAGAAGGAGAGCGAGACAGGAGGGACATGTCAGTTGTGGCAGCCAAGGACCATGGCGAACAAGTCGCGCAGCGATAACAGTGGGCATCGACGGAGACAGGACGGCAGGCTTGGATGGCAAGACGCACGTTGGGCCCACAGGCGACGGCCTTCGTAGAAACGGTCATCTGCATGGCCAGTCGTTGAGATAGGTGGGACGCAATGTGAGTGAGGAAGCAGCATCGTAGCACACAAATCCCCCCAGCTACAACATGTACCAAGCCCGAAGCGCACAGTGAGGAGCAATGTACAACATGGCAACCAATACGAGCGGTTGTCGGCAGAATTGCGTTGGCTCGCATGACTTACAGGCAGCGTTGGTGCGGAAGACCAGCAAAAGACCCACAACGATAGAGAGAACCGGGATCAAGGCTGCAGCGGAACAGGCAAACAGGTCGTTGATCAGCAGCGGCCCACCGTCTCGGTCGGCGAGCGGTGTCGATGCAAAGGACGTGCGCCCCGTTGAGATAGCGACCAGGCTGGAGGAGTTGGCCATTGCCAGCCAGACGACGGGCCCATCTCATACTCACAGGCGCTCAAGCCGGGCCACTTCAAGAGGATGTACAGGGCAGTCCAGAGGGCACCCCACAACGTCACAAACAGAATCTGAGGCAAAACCTTCCAGATGACAGAGCCGCGGAGCCTGGCAATCACGGAAAGCAGAAGCATGGCAAAGGCATAAGCCAGGTGGAGATTGCATATCAGCGTGTGGTCGACATGTCTCGTGCAGACCTTGGGATGCTGGCATGGAATGCTGCCCAGATCATCCCGCCCCCATCGACACAGGACACGGAGGCTACAGGCTCGCTTGGACTCACCGGAACCAGATGGCGAGGCCGTCATTCTGGTCGGGCCTGAAGTTTTCCAAGGTCGATGGCATGTACAGGAGAGCACGATTGTGTGAGCGACAGGATACAGAGACGATCGTGGCGTCGCCACCAGGAAGGTTTGGGTCTGGAATCGATGGACGAGGGCAGCCCGGCTGGGACGGCCAGAGCGCCAGCAGGTTTTATGCAAACGAGAGCGGCTTGCGATACAGTACTGCCAGAGATCGTCGTGGGGGTCGGGGAGGGAGGTGCGGAAGGACTTCATAGTTGAGGGGCTTGGTTTGCGGGAGGGGACAGCCGCAATCGGTGCTCGCGGTGTGGTGTGGTGTGGTTCTGGGTGACCTGAGGTCGATGCAGGGCATGAGAACGGGCAAGCAACAGGGCCGGCCGGTATATATAGAGTTTGAGTTTGGGGGAGGGGCACAGCGCCGGCCCGGTGATCGGCCGCGGCAAAGGCGTCGCTGTGGCATGCGACGGCACGGACAGAGGCTTCGTGCGCCAGATGCATCAAGGGTCAAGCCGCCGCCGCTTGCTGCCGGAGGACAACGGCGCTGGGTGATTGTGTGTTGTTTGGGGACATGTCGCAAACAACACGGCCCGCCGTGTCGGCCCCGCGTGTCGGGCAAACGACCAAGCACCCAAAGCAAAGGAGTGCTTGGGTCTGTGGGTGCTCGGATACAATCGATCGAGCCAATGCGGATGGGTGCCGACAAGGCCGGCAGGCCACAAACACACCATGGATCGACGGCGAGTGGTGTGCCCGCGGACAAAGAGGCCAACAGCCGTGACGCACGTCGTTGCGAGGACGATAACGTTATGGCGACTATGGCTGTGACGATGGAGCTGTGATGATGGTGCTGTGACGATGGTGCTGTGAAGATGGTGTTGCGGCGACAACGGTGGGATACTCGAGTGTTGGAGGCCACGAGAATGCAGTGCTCAAGAAGCAAGGCAGCTCGGGAAGCAAAGCAGGCAAAGCGAGGAGAGGGGGGCGACAAAGGGGGTCAAGCACTCCTTGTGACCGGTACGGATACATCCCCCTTCCGCTCTGGCGTCCGCGATGCACCACCGTCCCAATGCCGTCTGGCAATCTTCCCCAGCATCTCGCCGCCGCTTGGAGCAGACGCCCCAGCGAAAGATCAAAATCCACCGCGGGGCAGAAGCGGTGGGCGATATCCAAAGCCCGGTGATGGATTCCACGGCAGCGGTGTATTTCGCTGGCGCAGTGCCGACCCGACTGGAAAGTCAAAGGCTGGTCCTTCCCGGATTGACACCGCCAGAATCGTCCGGAAAAGCTGGTCAAAAAGAAGAGGAGCTGGTCGACACACGATCCCAAACAGGCGTCGACCTTATGCGGCACGGCGGAAGGTTCGACCACTGCAGGGCGCAGATGCACAGCACGACGGGAATGTTAGCACGGAGCCTGTAACAGCCATGCCGGGCCATTGAACGCTGCAGAGAGACGGCTTGAACAGCACCGGGGGCGCTCACCTGATGGTCTTCTTCTCCTTCTGGTCCTCGGGCTTTTCGGGCTTGGCCCGGTTCAGGACCTTGAGGAACGAGTCGACTCGGGTACGGAGTCTCGAGTGCATGTACGACTTGGAGCACTTGATGTGGTAGTGCAGATAGTCGCGGAAGATCTGGATGCGAGAGATGGTCTCCTCGCGCACATTGCTGGCAAAATGGCGGGGGAAGAGGACTGATGTGCCGCACCGAGAATCAGAAGAACGTCAAATCGATCCAATCTTCCTGACTGCACGACAGGGAAGTGTGTGCCTCGGATCGGGCAGACAGGGCGCTGTGTTCTCGATCCACTTTGGCAAGCCCGCTGTGATCGAATCAAAGTGTCGTCCACGCTCGCTGGGTCATTGCGTGAACGTTGCTGGAGACGCCCATGTCAGCTTACCGAAGGTAACATAGCCGATGTCGTCAGAGTCGCGCAGGCCGGGCACATCGCGGATCTCGAGCGGAGGAGCGCGTGCGCTGTACAGAACCTGGGGCGCATTCTGGGTCGAGGGCTGACGGCGTGCATCGACGAATTCCTGGGGAGGCCGGGCACGGAGACACAGACGACAAGAATGTGGGTATCGGTACATTGCAGCAGAACCAAGGCACAGGGACGATGCAGGTACCCAGGGGTTCGCTCCGACTTTCTGCGGACCACCCGGCCCGGATCGGATATGCCCATCGTCGCATCGCACGTACCTGGAGGAAGACCTTGCCAAAGATCTTGTCCGTCTCCTCCTTGAAGACCGTCGAGAAGACCACAGTGACGCGGTCGGGAGAGCCCTTGATGTAGATGGCCTCCTCATCACGGTAGTTGATCTGCATCAGCGGGGTTTCCTCGCCTCGAGTCTGGGCATCGAAAGCAACCTCGAAGGGGGCAGCCAGGACGTTGCGCTTCAAGAGAGGTGCACTCTTCAAGACCTGGTCTGGTGGACGCGACGTAATCCGTGACGGCCAGTACGTTAGCGACTTGGCTCTGTGAATAACCAGACACAGGGACTCGAAACGACGGCGAGCACGGATATGCCACCGGATCACGGCTTGCATCAGTCCCTGCTCCAAGAACGCCATGACGATAGCATCGATGGTGGCGACGATGAGGGAGACGAGTCTGGAGCTGGTCGCCTTGGTTCGCTGGCCACGGGCGACATCAGTTGGCGGAATCGTGCCGATGTTTTTTGGATGCCTGAGCCTTTGCGCGTTGCAGCCACTCTACCAACACAAGAATTTGCGCATGTCTGGCCATCCTGTCGACACTTGACTCGTGCATTGGCTCGCGCATCGGCTGAATCCAGATCGCACTTGCTGATGGCATGCCACTCCATATGCCATTCTATATGCCACTCCAGATACCATACCAAGCCATCCCCCGGCCAATGTTTGGAGGCACGACCGAACCGGATGGCCAGCAGTATGTGCATCACAACGGCCCAAAGAAGCTACCAGCGCCAAGAGCGCCAAGAGCGAGGAGAATCGGCACTTTCGAGGCCAGAGACGAATCGGATGCAGCACTACCTTTCTCCTCGGGCGACATGAGCTGGGCGTCAAACTTGAGGGTGATATCGTATCCAGACTCGGGGTTGACAAGATACTTTCCATAGGCTCGCGCAAGGACGTTTTCGGCGCCGTAGCTCAGCAGCTCTCGGAAGCATTGCATCGACATCGAGAGGGTCAGCACCGACTTGGACTCCTTCAGCCGAGTCAGGAGGTAGGTGACGCCGTCAAAGTCGGCAAAGCTGAGGCTGAGACGGTCCAGCTGTTCCGAGTCTTCGCTGATCGTTGGTGTGCGAGAGAGTGGCAGGAGCCGGCGAGCAGTTGTCGAGAATCAGGCGGGACCATCCGCACACGAAACGAAAGGTCATGACCGCGAGCGTTCGGGCGTAGGAGACAGAAGATGGCGGGTGAGTGCTTCAGCGATAGCCACAAATACAGAGCATGTCCGCGAACAGGCTCAGAGGCGATAGAGAGCACAGCGACGCCCGCTCCGTTGCAAGGTCCGTCCAGGCAGAGATGGGAAGCTGCGGACCGAGACCGACAAAGACGAGACATGAGACAGCGGCTCACCTCGACAGATGCTCCCTGAAGGTCTCTTCGATGATCTTGTTCTGGTACTCGAGGATAATCATGTCTGCGGCGGCCAGGTACGCGGAGGAGGAGGAGGAGGGGAGGGAGGAGAGGGAGGAAGGGTGGAGATGCGAGCCAAGAAGACAGGGCTGGCTGGCGATCGACGCATCGACAGGGCCTCCTGGGCGAACGCCGAGAAAGGGCGGGTCGAGTGCGGGTCGAGTGCGGGTCGAGTGTGGGTCGAGTGCGGGTCGACTCGATTGATCCGCACTGCAGCCGCACTGCAGCCACACTGCAGCCACACTCGACCCACACTCGACCCGCACTCCAGCCGGGGGCGCAGCCAGGACGGATCGCCGCCACCGCCGTCACGGTGCGCAGCACTTTCCCGACCAATCGAATCGCTTGCCGGCCAAGCCTTTCGGTCGTATTTCTGCTCAGACCGCACCGACAATCGAACACTCCGACCCTCACCAGCGACCTGCTCCGGCAATCCACCTCGGCCGCAGCGCTCATCCCCTCCCACGCACCGCCGTCCACGGCCCAGGCATCGTGTTCAGCAGCACCAGGTGTGTCTGCCGAGCATGCACGCACGCACGCACGCATGCATGTGCCCGTCGTCCGCCAGCATCGTCCCCTCCTCGCCTCTGCTCAAGTGCGCACCGCTTCCTTGCCTCTGGCCTGGTCTTTCCCTCTCCGGGCTGCCTCTCGATCCTTCCCACCCTCATCCCTCTACAAGGCTCGGTAGCGAGCCGTCCAAGTTGTTCTGTTCTTCGTTGTCCGCTTCGTTGACCTCATTGTGCCCACCATTGAATCGCTTCCCTGGCTCTGCCTCATAGCTTTACATTCCAATTCCCGGCTTCTGCCTCTCTCCCCGCTGCAATCGAAACAGCGGAATCACCCCACACTCTCCATCGCACAAACACAAACACAAGCACAAGCACAAGCACAAGCATCCCGCCCGTTATGGAGGACCGGATATACTCCAGCTCCTTCTTGGGACGACACAGTCCGCATGCGCACCACCTCCCCGCCGAGGTCGAGGAAGGAAACGTCGAGTACAAGGTAAGGCGTCGTCCCTTCGTCGGAGATTCAGCCCGACCAGCCTCCATGGAGGTGCGATCTTGTGCATAACCGGACATCAGGATGTCCAGGGTGCAGAGCACCCTGGGCAACGCCCCCTGGACACCAAGTCCGGCTGCTCTCGACACACGTTGCGTCTGTGGGAATCGGTCTCAGATCGACCTTGAAACCCGTCTCGAGCCGCTCTTGAAATCAGTCGAGCATCATGGATAGTACCCGTTTCGACCACCCCTGGTCCCTATCATTGCTGCATATGCAATAGGCTTCTCGCGACAAGGAATCCTGAGCCAGAGGACACCAGCTCGTTGGGATATCGATTGATCTTGATTTGAGACTGGATACTCACCTGCACGACTCTTGGGCTCTCTCGCTCCGTCGCTTCACATCCACAACGCCGTCGTCGGAACCACATCCGCTTTCGATGAATCTCCCCGCTCAATGGCACTGCCACGATCGAAACGAAATAGCTCAAGTTGATTGACCCGTCGCCGGAGCGGGTACAGCACCTCATCACCCAGATGAAGTGGAGGTATGGCCTGGCAGCACAACCCCCCGGGTGCAGAGGCTCAAGTCCAATCTCCCTCCGTTGGCCGCACCTTGCCGATCATGCATTCACGGACTGCCTCGATGATCGCACTGACACCAAACACATTCCCCAATGCCAACATCGTTGCCTGGCCATCTGTCCTTCATTGTTTGAATGTGCAACGACCACCCTACCCACTCCATCCCATTTCAGACTCTCCGAGGGCCACGGCGAGGCCATGTACGAAATCGGAGTCGCCGACAACGGAGAGCTTGTCGGTCTGACCAGAGCCGATATGGACCAGACCATCGCGACTCTCAGGATGATGAGCCAGTCTCTTTCGGCTGAAATCTCGCTGATCCGCGAGCGTCCCGTGCCCACCGCCATCCGGTTATCTCAAAAGTCCAGGAACCTCATTGAGGCTTCGGATGACGGAGATGAGCCCAGGATGATCGCCGAGGTGCTTGTTAGAAAGTGTCTGGTCGATCAGCATCACTTTCTGGAGATCCGAGTGGCCATCATTGGAGCGGCCGACGCTGGAAGTGAGTTGTTTCTCCTCCATGTTCATTCCCCCGGCTTTGGCGGTGATGTCTCGGCGGTGATGTCCCAGCGCCATCAACGATATGACCCAGAACATGTCACTCACACAACGCGGCACCCACACCAATTCCTCCGGCATACGTAGAATCAACGCTTTTGGGAGTGCTGACGCACGGCGAGGCTGACAATGGCAACGGAAAAGCCCGGCTGAATCTCCTGCGTCATCGCCACGAAATCCAGACTGGCCGCACGTCGTCCCTCTCCCAGCAGATCATTGGATTCACGGCCTCGGGGGAACTTCTCAACTACGCCACTACCAACATTACCCGGTGGGAGCAGATCTGCGAGATTGCCTCCAAGGTCGTGACCTTCCTCGACACTTGCGGCCACCCAAAGTACCAGCGAACCACCCTGGCTGGACTCACCGGACATGCCCCGCACTATGCCTGCCTCATCATCAGTGCCAGTGCCAGCGGCCTCCCCGAGATCTCTCGCGACCACTTTGGCATGGCCATGATTCTGAAGGTCCCACTGTTCATCGTCATCACAAAGGTCGACATTGCAACCATAGAACAGCTCACTCGAACGATGAACGCCCTGTTCCAGCTCCTCAAGTCGCCCGGGGTTCGACGGGTGCCCTTTGTGATCCAGACCAAAGACGACGTTTGCTCCGCAGCCGCCAACTTTGACAGCTCCAAGATCATCCCGGTCTTCCTGACCTCGAGCGTCACGGGCGAGAATCTGCACCTCGTGGCAGAGTTCCTCAATCTGCTCAAGAAGCCAGGCACGACCAGCCCAGCGCCCGGAAAGGAGACCCAACTGGACAAGAAGGCGGATCTGCCGTTTGTGTTCCAAATCGATGACTACTACGATGTTCCGGACGTCGGGCAGGTTGTGGGCGGCATCGCCGTCAACGGCCGTGTCCAGCTGCGCGGCCCGCTCTCGTTCCTCTCGCAATACTACATTGGTCCCCACAAAGGCAAGTTCTACAGGGTCCTGCTGGTGGGCGCACATCGCCAGCGATGCCCCGTCAGCCACGTCCAAGCTGGACAGGCGGCCACCTTTGCCGTCCACATCGTCGGAGATGCTGGCGTTGTTCGCCAACGAGATGCGGAGCTTCAACGGCATGAGGAGAATCCAGCGAGAGCTGGCGACGCGAATCAACGCACCTCCAACGATCCAGCTGGCTATGACTCTGCATCCACGCTTCCGTCGGGCAAAGCCACCACCGACGCACCTGACGGATCTGTGCCGATGGAGCGCCCTCTCGGTGAACTCCCACTCCAAGAGCCCCGGCAGCCCAAAGCCGACTTGGTTGTCAGCAAGAGGAGAATCCCCGCGATGACAAAGTCTGCGTCTCTGACTCCTCTGTCGAGACCCAAGACGGACCAACGAAAGATCAAGAACCGCTACTCGACCCCAGAGTTCCTCGCGTTCGACGGCGCTGAGAAGCACACCACACCGGCGTTCAAGGTGCGGAAGGGAATGGTTATCCTCGAGTCGGTCGCCAACGCCCAGGGCCACTATCCCGTGCCCCGCGCCTCACTCGAGTTTATCGCCGACCTGCACATTCTCTATGCGCCCGGCCGGCTCCACATAGGAACCCAGGGCATTGTATACTGTCGCTCGATCCAGCAGAGTGCGAGGCTGGTCGAGATCGTTGAGCAATTCACGACCGGTCGAGACACCGCGCCGCCAGGAAAATTTGCCAAGTCCACCGCCGCTGCTGCTGGTGGTGGTGCAGCAGCAGCAGCAGTGAAAACGAAGACATTGGGTCAAGATGTCTCGACTATGGCGACAAATCCCTCTGCCACCGCGGCCCCGCCCGCCAAACCACCACAGCCAGCCAAACATGCCGCCCTTGAATCGTCCACCAGCAACACTCTCAAGTCGGGCGACAAGGTGCGAGTCCGACTTCGATTCCTGAACGAGCCCGAGTGGATGGGCACCGACAGTATGATCCTGTTCCGCGATGGACGCATGAAGTGTGTCGGCAAGATCGTCCAGGCGCTGTGAAAGTCCTGACGATGCTCCTGATTATGCTGCGATGGCTTTCGTGGCTGCCCTTGGACTGCGAACTGCCACCATCATTGGATGCCGTCGCAAGGGCTGTATCTGATGCCTGAAATGGAAAATGTGCAGAAGAGCTTTGATTCAATATAAAAACAATCGGGACACACAGCTTTTTTTTCTGATCGATTTGTTGTATGAGAGTGTCGCACCGGCCATGACCTTCGCTCGGCCCGATCTGAACCAATCCAACTGGGCAATGGAGCGGATATTCGACCAGTCGTGCGGCCGACTCGTTGATAACAATGGGGCCAACCATATATCTCGCGACAGAGCTGTTACGATGAGGCACGGACGGCGAAACAGTGAAAATGACAGAACGCTGCAGCAGATTTGCAAAAAGAATCACATCTCCCAAACAGGGAATCGAACCCTGGTCGCCCGCGTGACAGGCGGGAGTACTAGCCACTATACTATTTGGGAATTGTTACTTGTTGAAATTATCTCGTCTTACATTATGAAGCCTAGTATATTCCTCCAAACCAACGATAAATCACAACAAAATCCACCGCAACCACCCTTCATACATGGCCATTGATAAATCATTGACAGCCCAAGCGAGTGCGTTGAATGAGAAGATGCACGGATACCACAGCCACCCTCGGGCCGCTGGCGACCCGAGCGATCGCTGAAATTGGACACCTCTCAGATCTAGCGTGCTGATCAATCATCATGTCGCCCTTCAGAGTGGCATCACTGTATATCGACGGCTTGGAAACGGCACGGGCACACAAAAGAGCAAACTGCAGGAGAGAATCGAGGGGAAGAGGTTGCGGGAGGGAGGGAGGGAGGGAGGGACAAAGGTCGCTCTTGCTGCCGGGACGGGCAAGGATCGCCCGATTGGCTTGGAGAGATGCGTCGGTTCGCATGTATGATCAGGTGAAAAGCCAAACGATGGCTCACAGTTCGTGAGGGTTCTGGATGACAATCAGGAGATAGGACTTGGCTGCAAGGCAAGGTAAGGCCATGTATAAGCATTGTGCGCCGAGGGAGGTCTACAACCCCCCTGCAGCAACCGAGACACATCCGGCAACCGCGATCAGGACGTGGGATGGCGACTTACTCTCGGCGACCATGATCTGGATTGCACCGTCAGGCAGACGCAGGGATTGTTGAAGCGATGCAGGGGCGCAGGCGTGTCAGTGATGGTCAGCGAGGGTGCACATATTACAAGGATGCCAGGACACTCTCTCCTCGACGGTAAGCCGCATGGGGGGGGGAGCCTCACCTCATGCTTCTTTGAGCGAATTCTGAGGAAGGTGAGGTCGTCCTGGATCGCATGACGAGAAGCCAATCCGTGAGTATCGTGGGGGCAAAGGGCCGCCAAACCCGATCGGATGCGATTCATGCATCTGCCGTCCGTATCATGCATCTGCCGTCCGTATCATGCATCTGCCGTCCGTATCATGCGGTCCAGCGATTCGAAGCAGCCACCCGGACTCGAGACTCTGGTGCTGCTCGGAGGGGGGGGAGAAGAAAAGATGATCATCCACCCACCTCGGGGTCAAGATCTCGCACGACGCCCTTGGCTTTTGAAGCCAGCTGGGTCACCAGGGTCGAGTATTGCTGCGTTTGGATGTTGTCGAGGGTCGAGCGGATAACGGAGCCCTCATGGTTTGCGATGACGATACCTGTCGTTGGTCGTCCAAGAGGGGAGGAGTCAGAATGGTCCGAACATCGAATCGGCTCCGTTGGAGAGCAGCATCGAGGGTATTGCGAGCCGACGGACAGCCGGTCGAGAGGCTGGTTTGGAACGCCGGTCTCTGTCTTGGGCGACGGCGACGGCGACGGCGGTCCATTATCTCGACATACTCAATCGCCCCCTTTGCCGCTCGGTCCCGGTCGTCTGCAGATAAGCGTGCGAGCCACGTCGCATTACCCTGGACGCCCTTGTGGGCCTGGAGGCGGTTGATGGTGGCCTCCATCTCGTTGTATTCCTTCTGGTAGTCCTTGGAAATGCCGGACTATCGAGCGAGCGAGATACATGCGGGACCGTCGGCTCAGTCAGAGTTGCGACGCGGCGCCATCGACGGTCAAGCGATGGGCGGATAGCGGACCAGCAAGAAGTGGCTCCGGGTGTCGATGGAACAGCAGGAAGAGACGAGCGAATGCGAATCCAGGCCGAGACAGTTGCCTATTTACCATCGTTGCTTGTGAAAATAGACAAGCGAGGGAGAGGTGCGCTGCAGCAGACAGAGGGGAGAAGAGGCGGCAGGATCGGTAGCGGGATCGGTAGCGGAGCAGCGCTGATGGATGGCGTTGACGCTTGATGGGCGACGGCGATGGCGGATGCGACCAGGCTCAAGAGCGATAGGCCGATGCCGCCTGGGCGTGTGCGCTGGTCGTCCCGATTCGAACGGGCCTTGGCCACAGGGCGACACAGCAAGCTCAATCAGCATCGGCCCCGAGCATGAACTGGGCCAAGCTGTTGCTGCTGCTGCTGCTGCTGCTGCTGCTCGGCGACGGCCACCGGGTCCGGGGGAGGTCGGTTGCGGTGCTAGCACGGGTTTATTGTCTCATAGAATCACAAAATCACTGGCGAAATCGCTGGCGATGGGGAGAACGGCACACACCAAGCCAATACCAGCAACACTCTCGACATCATAGACACTGACACAATCAATAGCAAGGACCCTGTCAAAATCTCTGACACCATCGTCCGTGCGGGACCTGCCGTTCACACAGTCAGCAGATGATATCGTGCTAAATGTTGCTTCGGCACGGTCTGCCCTGTCGACGTCAGAGCGGATGACAGGCTGCAAGAATATAGGGCTGGGATAAACCAAGACAAGCGAGGCCGAGCTGAGCAGCTGTCCGTGGCCAGAATCGGATGGCGTTCTGAGTTAAAAGAGTCCAAGGACGAGGCCAGCAAGCCCAACAGCCAGAGAAAGACCCAGAGCCTTGACAACGGACTGGCTGTGGGATGAAGCGGAGGACTTGGGGCTGGACGACGGACTTGCGGCGACGGAGGTTGAAGAGACGACGGTGGGAGTGCTCGATGGAGCCGAGGTCAGGCTCGGTGCAATCGAGGAGGAGGAGGACGACGAGGCCGGGCGGGTCTTCGCAGTTACTGCCGAGGAAAGCAAAGAGGTGCCGCCTTCGGGGACGAGCACACACTTGTTGTCGATGCAGACGTAGCCCAGCGGGCAGTCCTGGCAGCCGCGAGGGTCGACAGCGACAGCGGTGCGGGCCAAGAGCACGACCAGAGCGCAGAGGAGGGCGATGGGGAAGTTGCGGGCGAGCATGTTGGGAGATGAAGGGCAAAGGACGCCGGCTGCCAGGCGGGGGGCTGGTGAACTGTATAAACGGCACAACCCGCGAGGGCACCAGCCGTGTTTGCCGTGGAGAGCGCAGACCCGGCGGCTCACACAAACTCTGATATTATATATATACGTATATATATATTGTATGAGGTAATGGGGGTTCAATACAGCCTGAGGCGCTCACAAAATGAAACGAATCTCGATTATCCGCTCCGTCGCTTACAGTTCTCCGTTGATGTTCGTCCATCAATGGATTGCCCATCGCCCTGCGGACCCGAGAGGCGGATATCCCGGTTCATAGGCCAGCTACAAAACGAGCAGGGCTGTTGCGACAAACAGCAGGAGAGCGACGGCAGCGGCCCCGGTGGTCTGCGAGCGCACGGAGTCTGATGCCTTGGCGGAAGGCACAGCGCTTGCACTGGGAGTTGCACTGGTCGCGGGGAGGGCCGAGGTCGAGAGAGAGACTGGGACGGTGGTGGCATTTGCGTGCTCGGGGGTTTCCATGCATGCCCCACCCAGACAGACAAAGCCTGTGGGGCAGGAGGTGCAGGCCGTCTGAAGGGCAAGGGCGGCCGCGGCCATGAGCAGAACGTTGAACAAGAGGGCGGCGAGCGGGGCGGTCTTCATGGCGGAGGAGATGAGGATGTCAACGGCGGTAAGCTGCTGTGTGCCGGAAAGAGGTTGATGTTAACAGAGAGGGAGATGCTCTCACGCCGATGTTAGCAGGAAAGAGGTGTTGATATTTGCCGGCAGAAGGAACGACCGAGGCGAGAAAGGCGCTCCGAAGATTGTTCTGGCGCTGCGGGTCACATGGACCGGGCGAGAGTCGACACATGATGCGATGCTGTTGCGGTGCCGATGTGGCATCGGGTGCTCACGCCGCTTTGAGCTGCCGTTAAAACCGGTATTAGCCATGTTGTTAACAGTGTTGTTAACCGTGCTGTTAACCATGTTGTTGATCATGTTGTTGAAACTCGACGACCGCCAGTCACCACGATCGATGCTGGTGGTGGCGGCGCTGTCGCTGCGGCCTTCTGTGCCCGCCACAGCCCGTGCACAGGCCGCCGCCCCTGATTGGCCCGCGGCCGCACGCCTGTGCCAGACATCGATCAGGCCCGCCAGGAATGCATTTTTTTTTGTGTCCGGCGAGCAAGGTGGATTGCTGTTGGGCATATATATATATATCCGCTCCCAGTCCGCCCTCGCTCCCATCTCGATCCATTCGCCGCCGACTCCCTGTCTCGGCATCTCTCCTCCGGCAGTCGCCCAGCAGTCGCCCAGCAGTCGCCCAGCAATCGCCCAGCCCCGCGAGCCGCACCATGAAGTGGCTAATTGCATCGGCCATCGCCCTCCTGGCCGCCTCCCACCAAGCCCACGGCTTTGGCAAGAACTGCCCTCTCTACCCATCCAGCCCTCTCTACATCCCCGTCGCCGCCAGTCCGGCCCAGAGCTTGGCCCAGAGCCCTGCGAATGCATCGCTGCCGCTGCGCGACTACTCGTTCGAGCTGCTGGCCTGTCCGAGTGGCCAGTCGTGCCCCGCGAAGCTCGACCATGCCCTGTTTCCGGCCATCAGCACCACTGTGCCTCGCGACCTCAAGGTGGCTTTTCTGGCCGACCAGGGCATCGGAAAGCATCCAGAGCAGGTGCTTGAGATGATCAAGGATTGGGGCGCCGACGCCATTGTGCAAATCGGCGACAACGACTACCATGGTAAATGCCTCATGCCGCCTTGGTCCGTGGGTGGCACTATCGGGCTCCGTCAGTACTGGCATCCACCGCCATGCTCGACATGGATTTCACCCAGTCCCCCCCCCCACGGAAGGGCAATGCCGCACGAGTGGGAGACGATGCAGCCTGTCCTCAAGAACGACAGCCATATTCGTCGCTTGGAAGGCAGTTGTCTGCCGTATCGTGGCTGCCACTCCCACGCCAGCCTGGATGCCTGGCGCTCAGCATGTTTCATTTGGTCTTGCGGGCAGCTAGAACGAAGCATCTCTCATCGCTGCACCATTGGCTGATCCATCTCGCTCGCTCGCTTCGCTCAGACGACCCGCCCGCCTTCATGGAAATGTACGAGTCGGTCTTTGGCAAGCACATTCCCATATTCAGCGTCGTCGGCAACCACGACATTGCTGCTTGGTACAAGAAAAAGGGCTACCGCAAGCTGTTTCTCGACAACCTCGACCGCAACCGCCTGACCGACAGCTGTTACGGCGAATATGGCATCAACATGGTTTGCGTCTGGAATGGCATGGTGAGTCGATCGATGTTTGCCCTGGAGGACTTGAGCCGTCACGATGCCGGCCGTTATGCGGATCATAGCCTTGGCGGTTGTCCTGGCGGTTGTCCTGGTCGGTGGTATCGACTCTTCGGGGGCCTTCCGTCGTTTGTCCGACAGCCGGTCATTCGCCGTATATCGCTCTGCCATGTGGCATTCGCAGGAAGCACAGCTGATCACAGCATTTGATCCCCCGTTGGGGCGTGCTGATGTTGGACGCCTTCATCTGACCATGTCGATCGCTATCGTTCGTCTCGGTGGCTGCAGGTCTTTGTTCTCTCGGGTGTCGGTACTCTTGGCACCGAGCACGCCCGATTCCTCGATGCGGTCCTTAGCTACTACGAGGACGTGCCATGGAAGTTTTGTGTTTGGCACAAGAACCAGAATGCATACCAGACTGGCGACAAGACCGACGAGGTTGGCTATGAGGTCTATGGTGAGTGCTGTCGCTGCGGATGGTATGCCGGCCGAGGCCCTCCCTCCCTCCGAGAGACTCGCTCCCCCACCACAGGGTGTTTTGGTCTGGAGGCTCCGAGGCCCCAGCGGCGACCGGTCCTGTCACTCCCCATGACCGCCTGACACACGAGCTGGAGTCCTGACCCCTCATCATGCTCGATCACTCCACCTGCACCTCCCTCCTCCCCGCCACCACAGACATCTGTCGACAGCACGGCGCCATCATCGCCACGAGTCACGAGCACTCCTATGAGCGAACCTACATCATGTCCGATTTCGAAAACAAAATGATCTCCAGCGTCAAGCCACTCCTGCGTGTCCGACCCGGCCGTAGCTTCGCCTTTGTCTCGGGCTTGGGTGGCGAGTCCATTCGCCCCTGGTACAACGGAAACAATCTCAATCCTTGGTGGGCTGCCACAGCCGCACTGGATGTAAGTGTGCCGGATAGGTCAAGTTGGCTGGGGATGCATTTGGATCTGCGATCATGCGAGATGCAAGATGGCGAGATCCACGGAAGCGGAGAGGAAGCCGGCTTTGGGCCAGAGACGGTGTTCACCTCTGCCCTGAGATCGGTCAGCCGCAGCCGTTGCCTGGGGACCCGGACTTATGGATGCTCATCCCCGTCTCCATTGCTGTCGTCCTGCGATTCCAGAACGGTGCCGATTATGGAGCTCTCCTGTGCAAGTTCAACAAGAAAGGCAAGAACCCCAACCAAGCCGTCTGTCGGTTCGAAGACCTCGACGGCGATGTCTGGGACCATTTCACCATGAGCACGGACCCCCACGGCTTGGGTCCCGATGAGGACGACCTGCAGCCAGCCAAGGCGACTGAGTCAACCCAGGCGACTGAGGCAGCCAAACCGACCGCCAAGAAGCAGCACCACATCGAGATCCCTATCCTGAGCCCCGCCGACGCTACCACCGTGAATCCCGCCACCGGCCATATCGTTTGCTCTCCGCACCAAATGAACTTTGCGGTGGATGGCACCAACTCTGCCGACATGTGGCACATTCTCAGGTTTTCGACCGAGGGCTTCCTGCAGAAGGGCGACCGGATCGTCGCAGCGCATCTTCAAGTCATGGGCGCACACGCTCCCGAGGCCCTTCATGACGTATCGACGAGCGCCGGCCCTTATGCTGCCCAGGACTTGTTCATGTCGGCTCTGGATGATCTGCGAATGACCATCACGAGCATATCCGACAAGCGCGGCCGTGGATTTGGACTTCAGAGCTACTGCCAAACACCCGCTGCCAGCCTCCGCCAGGCCGACATCGACGCCATGGCTACCGAAGGAACTGTCCGGAGCAACCGTCTCTCCAAATGGACACGCTCCAAGGTCGATCGCATTCATCGACACGACTCGGTCGAGTGGATGCAGCCCAAGAACGCGAGCGAGTGGGAGTCTGGCGAGGTCTGGGTCTCGCCCAACCTGCAATCGCTCGTGCAAGCCCGGCTCGATGACATCTGGAGCAAGGCTGTGGCTGGAATGGATGACCATGAGGTCCGCGATACCAAGCTTTCGCTGATGCTCACCGGCCGCACCTTCCTCGCGCCCAAGGTTCAGTCCGCTCTGGAAGAGGCATCAGCGGCACTGAGGTCGAGCGATTTTGAGAGAGGAGTCTACGGGATCCATCGCGAGTTGGGCAGCTGCGTGGCTCCGGCGTTAGTTGTTGTCGTCGAACGTGAAAGTGCTTAGAAACCGCAGAGATGTGAAGGACATGCGAGTTGAGGGGCGGGAGATTGTTGTGGGTCAAGTCAATGTATATATGAAGTATGTCTGGCAAGCCAAGACGTGCAAGCCACTCGTTGCAATACATCTCTCGCAAGTTTGATATTCAAACGACGGAGGTCATTCCGCAAGGATCCATCGGTTGCGGGGATTTCGTAGCCACGGCATCTATTTCATCTGAGCGGGAACAGAACACATCACCGGACTGAGGACCAGAGGGCATTGAGAGTGTTCGAGCAGGCAGAGACATGCAAAATGAGTGGATCGACTGCACAGATTTATTGAATGAGTGCATCAGCGGCGCAAAGAGCCATCAAGTTGGCAGAACAACGAGCCACTGGATCGGATGAAAAAAGAATCGCATCTCCCAAACAGGGAATCGAACCCTGGTCGCCCGCGTGACAGGCGGGAGTACTAGCCACTATACTATTTGGGAATTGTTGCTTGTCGAAATTATCTTGTCTTGCATTATGAAGCTTAGTATATTCCTCTAAACCACAACCACAACCACAACCAACCCACCAACTGCCCCACATCCATGGCCATTGACAGCACAAGCGAGTGCGTTGAATGTGATGGAACACGGACTACCAAGGAGCGTCTCGGTGTTATCGGACGTTCGTAGCATGGGCAAGATGCTGTTTCATGGAATCGAGGATGTGGAATGGCAGTTGCGAACCTTGCTCTCTGTTCATTCACTAGTGCCCCTCGTCCCAGCCTCGAAGGTCATAATCATATCGCTGCAAAAATATTGGGCGATACTCCACCAACAAATGCTGCGCAGTTGCTGCACTATAATCGAACTGGATGGGTAATCCGTTGCGCTGGCAGGCTTCCCTCCAAACGAGTGATGTAGATCAATAGTTATGCTGTTGACTGAAGCAGATGTGTGCGTGGGGGGTCGTGCTGCATCGACTACCATCTGAAATCTTTGTGGCACTCCCGGAGTGAAGTCATTGATTCGAGTTGGTTGCTCTAGCGAGCTCAATCACAGTGGAGCGAGTGATGCAATTCCGCAAGGACAGGGTGACATGCATCCCGTGCATACGACAGTGGAGCGTTTGGCAAGACGAAAGGTGTGGGTGATAAAGTTGAGGTGGGAAAGGAACCAGGATCTCATCCACTGATGGCTTTGAACTCGGCTCAAGAAACGTAAAGTCACAAAGTGAGCAGCAGCACAAATGACAGCCACGAAGAGTAGCGACGCTCTCAAGTCGCAACTCCTGCGGGAGGACAGCAAAAGAGGAACCTCAAAGACATCCGTAATCAAGGTTGCCAAGCCGATCGATCTCCCAAAATGGTCTCCATATGAGTGGCTGGTCTATAAACTCGATATCCTGGTCCCCGAGGAGCAACCAAACTCAATGATGGTACCGCACGACTGTTATCTCCAAAAGGTCAAGTACAGCCGCAAGAAATGGCGCTGGCGAATCGTGCATAACCCGGACGCCAGCTTGCCCGAGTACCTGACCGAACACCGCGACAAACTTGAGTACGATGTCTTTTCGCTCGATGCTGCGTCGATCCTGCCGATTGTGGATATTCAGGGCAAGTTTCTGCGGCAATGGGACGCACTCGGGTTGCTGCTGCTTGTGTTCACAGCATCAGTGACGCCGTTCGAAACAGCGTAAGTTGAATGCGAGTGTGAGTCGGAGCAGCGACGAGCGCGGGAGCCGAAGCGAGAGTGGGAGCGGAGATGCATGTGGGAATGGGGGGAGGCTCAGGATCTTCCAACTCCAGGCCGCTCGCTCACAATATCGAACCTCATATCGCCTCAAGCTTCCTCGCCCAACAGCCCGGGCAGCCCTTCCAGTTCGACATGCTGTTTCTCGTCAACAGCATCGTCGACTTCATTTTTTTGTGTGATCTCGTCGTCCAAATGCGCACCCCGTACCGCCACAGGCAGACCGGCAAGATCATCCGGTCCGAGTTTGACATGTTCTGGAACTACTTTACCGGATGGTTCTCCATCGACTTGATCTCGTCGCTTCCCTTTGAGCTCCTTTCTTTGCTCAACCAAAGTGCAACCAATCTGCCTGTCAGCCAGCTCCGATTGCTGCGATTCTTGCGTCTAACGAGACTACTCAAGTTGCTCCGTGTCATGCGCGCGAACCGAAAGCTACGACAGTGGAAGAAATACTTCAATGTGAGATACTCGACAACACAGATCATTCAGGTACAGGAGAGACGGGCACTGTTGCTAGTGGAAGGGATGAGTTAGTCATAGAACGAAAGCAAATGGATAATCTGTGGGACATGGTGACTTGATGCGCGATGTGCACAATACCGGCGTTTGGGTGTCAGTGATCGCCCCCCGAGAATTGATGATCTTGCAAACCAGCTGTTCATGAGCAGTGTCTGATTTGCACAAAATTACTTGATAAACGAAGCCTGGCTGACACTTTTCAACCCTTTACATGGGAACTCGAATCTCTCCCAACCCCTGCTACGCACCTGATAGTGGTGCATCACGATGATCTTTATCATGCATTGGATCGGCTGTGGATATCGCCTCGCTGCGGAGCGGAACGACACCTCGGCCACCAGCACCGATCCCTTGGGGTGGCACGAACTCTATGCCGCCTCCCAGAACACCACCGTCGACGCCATCTCCATCTGGCTGCTCTACATCATGGCGCTCTCGTGGTCGGCCGGGACGGTCAGCCTGGTCGGAAACAGCGTCCCGGTGATGCAGCCCACCAACGACCGCGAGTGGGGATACAGCGTCTTTGCCTTCTTCATCTCGTATCTCCTCGCGGTGTGGTCGATTGCCACAATCTCGGATGTGCTGTCGCTCAGCAACCGAAGCCAGAGGACCCACGATCTCCATGTGGACCAGTATCTCGAGATGTTTGACCGACTCAAGCTCGAGCCGCGGCTCAAGATCAAGGTGTACGAGTACCTCTCGGACCACTATGCCAGCAAGCACAGCACCCGATACACCGAGCTCCTGCAGGACCTGCCGCCTCAGCTGCACGGGTTCATCACGATGGAGGTGTTTGTGTCGTTCATTGCCGACATTCCGTTCCTGGAGCCGTTCATTGACCGAGAGCCTGCACTGGCGCAGGACCTGTGCAGGTCGATCGAGATCCGGTCGGTGTCGGCCAACAGCCACCTGTTCACGGAGGGCTACGAGGGCATCTACCTGCTGAAGAGCGGGATAGTGGCGATCGAGGGACGGGTGTATCCGAGGTAAGCCGTGGACGCGGTGGGCGATGCGGTGGGCGAGTGAGCGAGTGAGTGGGCGAGTGAGTGGGCGAGTGAGTGAGTGAGTGAGTGAGTGAGCGATGGAGTGATGAAGTGATGGAACGAAGGAAGGGGCGAGACTGTTTGCCGTATCATAACCACAACCACAACCACACAACCACAACCACACAACCCGCAGTGGATCCATCTTTGGCCGTACCTGTCTCCGAGAAAAGATAAAGTCCAACGAGTGTCGGGCCCTCACCAACATCACCGTCCATCTCCTCAAGCGCGACGTCCTGGTCTCGGTGCTGGACAAGTGGCCCAAGATCAAGTACTATGCCAAGCGGTGGACGGCCTGGCAGGTGCTTCGGCGGTACATCTACACATACACCCGGCTCTACTACATGGCGGCACGGCGTGGGGCACGGATGCAGCCGCCGCTGGTCTCGCAGCGGCCCAACATGCGCGAGGGCGAGCTGGACGACATCGACATTGCTGTTCTCGAGCACATCGAGGAGTTTGGCTTCTGATTTGGCGGTACCTACCAAATGCTGGATGAACGCGATTGTTGGAATGCTCATGTTGCATATTGCCGCGGGCACTATACGGCCTTGGTCATCAAGCAATGCGCACCCACATATTAAACATGCCACAGTTTTTTGAGACCACTGCCTGATATCATAATGATACAGAACATACACACATTATCACGATTTAACTGTAGTCAACATCAAAATGCCATTGATTTCCATGTTCTACATGACACTGTAGAGCCTAATCAACCGTTTCGTCAATCCAATCCAGACGGAACATGGCATTTAAAGAGTATGTTCATCAGCAAACCATCTTCTGCGATCATCGACAGGATATATTCACAAAAGTATTCCCAGTACACAATAGCGAGCTATTAGCACCCTCGCCGTCGAGCCAGAAACAGTCACCTCGGTAGATTGCGCTCACTGTGCTTCCGCGGGGCTCTTGGATACAGTGGCAATCGATGGGCGTGGGCTCGAGACTCAGAACAGGGTCGCCATCTGCGCCTCGACACATGTGTTCCGTTTTATTGAATGTGTCTTGTATTTCCGTGATGAGCCTCGCTGTGGATATCGAGAGTGTTCGAGCACGCGGAGACATGCAAAATGAGTGGATCGACTGAACAGATTTATTGAATGAGTGCATCAGCGGCGCAAAGAGCCATCAAGTTGGCAGAACAACGAGCCACTGGATCGGATGAAAAAAGAATCGCATCTCCCAAACAGGGAATCGAACCCTGGTCGCCCGCGTGACAGGCGGGAGTACTAGCCACTATACTATTTGGGAATTGTTGCTTGTCGAAATTATCTTGTCTTGCATTATGAACCCTAGCATATTTCTCAAACCACAATCCACAAACGATAAATCACAAACCACAACCCACCCACCAACTGCCCCACATCCATGGCCATTGACAGCACAAGCGAGTGCGCTGAATGTGATAGAACACGGACTACCAAGGAGCGTCTCGGTGTTATCGGACGTTCGTAGCATGGGCGAGATGCTGTTTCATGGAATCGAGGATGTGGAATGGCAGTTGCGAACCTTGCTCTCTGTTCATTCACTAGTGCCCAAGTTCCCGATATCGACGAAGAGCCCCCATGTCCACCATGTGACAAGTGTTACATTGAGCAATTATGAGATCAATATTCAATGCCACAACACAACAGCATGCAATGCGGGATTGTGGCGGATGGCGCCCGACCATTGCCGTTGATTGATGGGTCTGCGTGTATTTAGGATCCAGGAGAAGTCGCCGCCGGCACACCAAATCAAGATGCCCCCTTTTGATATATGGGCCGTGTTAAAGAACACCATTTGATGGTTTGGATCTAATGGGGCTTTGACGCTGTGTGTGTATGTCGCACCGGCGGGAGAGCAACGCATTCGCCGTGGTTGTCGTAGGCGACAATGCACATATCGGTCTTTCTGAAGTAATCGTCATCCAGTATGTCCGATATCGAGTCCCGCGTGTTTGGGTTTGGGTCGAGGCAGCGGTATAACACTTTACGTTGCGCCTGGTGTTGAAGCTGGTCGAATCGTGGGAATCCCGAGACCACTTGGGCAGATTTGGGCCGTTGCCGCAAGTATATGCTGTAGTTCGGGTCGCTCGCCTTTGAGCATCTCCAAGGCACCATCTTGGAATTCATGACATAGTATATGATGGCTGTTGTTGAGAAAGCCGCAGATCACTCAGTGACTTGCATATGCCTCTGATATCGCGCTCAGCTCATCGCCTCCGGTTGGCAAAGTCCCAAATGCGCAAATGCCCATTTCCAATGTCGGCATCGTCTCCGAACTGTGCGGGCTAGCATTTCCGACCTACCGCATGCCCATACATCTACTTTGACTGGATCGTACTCTCTTTCGTCCTCCCATTCTTCTGGAGCGATGTAGGGCTCTGATCCGCAGCACCCCTTCACTGGGCGAGGCTTTGTTTCGAAGCATGTCCTAAACACGGTTGAGACACCTGAATTGAGAGAGTTTCGACCGTGGTTGATATTGTGAGCATATCACCGACCAAAAACAGAGCCGGAGGGCGGGGCGCTGACAGATTACTACAGAAATGTCGCCGACGGCAGAGTCGAGGTGCAGCAGAGTAATTTCAGTGTGCTTCGCCCGAAACCCACACCAATTCGCCACAGCATACCAAAGTCTGTTATCTTGAGAATTTGGCATCGCTCGTCCAACAGCAAGTTCTCTGGCTTCAGATCCCTGCCAAACGGAGCGTAAATACAAGACCGAGATGATGTCGGCGCCTGGATAGTGACGGCATCCCAGTCAAGTAACTCACCTGTGAGCTACGCCCATGGAGTGCATGTATGCCACGCCGCTGAGCAGCTGCTTGAAGAAGCAGTTTGCCTCTTCTGTCGTAATCGGTCCACCGACACTAATCCGGGCAAACAGATCGCCGCCGGAGAGGTACTCCATCACAACACACCACTTGTTCCTCTGATTCCGTTCATGATGATGGGTTTTGAGAGCGTCGGCATCAGCCAACGACGAACACATCTCTTGCAGCATCAATGTTTACGTCCGAGTCGCTATCCAGGCTCTATGATAGAGCCACACTATGTGGCATGCTCCTCGCTCTCACAAACCTCGTCCTGCAGCAGGTCCACGGTTTCCACGACGTTGGGATGGTGCAGGCTTGAGCTGATGCAGAACTCGGCAATGAGTTTCTTGACGTATTCCTTTTTGGTTTCGTCCTTCCTTCGCTTCCGGAATTCCTGTGGAGTGGCGGCAGCGAAAGCCAAGTCAGTCAAAGACAGGCGATAACCAAGTGACGATGCACAGATCTGATGATCGAGCGACGGTCAGTCGCTGAGGTGGCCATTAGGTCCGATGGATCAGTGAAACAACGATCAAGTTCAAAAACATGACAAAAGTAGTCGGCAATATATCTCCCTGAACACAGCCGATCAGTGCCGGTGACAAACGCCGTGATATCCGTCAGAACATGTCGAATTGCGTCGCCGACCTTGATCGCGTAGAGTTTCTCCGGACATGTCGGCGAGTTCTTTTTCGTCTCTTTGAGGTGGGCCTGTCAATTGGAGTGTTGGCATCAGCAACAGAGCCTCAAACCTGACGCTGGTTCGCTTTACCCACCGCTCCTCGAATCGGGTTGCTTCAACACTGGAGGACAGAGAGATAATGACACATACCAGCCTGACCGTGGCGTTGGCACCCTTTCCAAGCACCTCGTCGACCTTGCCGTACTTTTCGGCCATCGAACTCTCAGATCGAGAGCGTTTGATTGTTTTCTTGCCGGTGTCCTGAGGCTCGTTGTTCGGCCTGCTGACAAGGGACTTGCGGGAAACGCTGTCTTTGAGGTTATATGGTCCGTCGTCCGAGTCAACGCTCTCGATTGACTTCTTGGCCGTTATCGAGTAGCCACGGCGGTGGCGCTTCTCCATCATGTCCTTGAAAAGCGAGGGTTCTTCCGAGTTTGAGTCTTTCCTATCATGGTCCTTTCGATCCAGTGTGGCCGCCGCACGCTTCTCCCTCTCTTGCGGCTTGTCCTTTCCCAGTTGAACGCTGAAAGATCGTGGGCGCTTGAAGATCCCGGAGAGCGACATCTTGGACGATCTTGGGCTCTGGATGCTATTGTTGCTGCTCCCATACTGTTCCGCGGAGCTGTAGGCTTCTCTCTGCGGGCTATGCACTGAGGACGGCGATGTCGGCGATGGGAAGCGCTCACTCGAATCGATCGAGCCGGACGGTGATGCTGCCTCTGCGCCCAAGGCCCTGCCTTCCATGATGAGCGTCTTGAGATTGTGGTGAGAAGCACTGGTGGGTATAGTGTTAGCACATTCCTTGGCTTCCCCACTCTGCTCTTCGCTTTCAAAGCCATGGAGATGAAACAGCTTGGAGAACAGAGTGGCTCTGTTGTGCTCGTAGTGCGCCATGCTGCGACGGGTATTGTCTGCCGGATAGTGAATCAGGCGGATGACGGTCTGCCCGCTGTTGTCTTCTCGATACAGGTCGTCGCCGCCGCTGAGCCGATGGCCCTGCGGAGTCGATGCCTTTCGGGTGGCCGGAGGGGACATTGTCGGGCTGGTGTTTGCAGATGATTGAGGCTGGTCGCTGCTGGGTCCGTCCTCGGCCGAATGGTTGTTGGAATGGGACTGCGGATGGAAGAGCCGGTACATGAAGCCGTGGTTCTTCTTTGGCAGAGGCGAGTTGCTGTAAATGTAAACAGGCCCCGATTTGACCTGGCTCCTTGAAAGCGTCGTGGTCGACGGCTGTGGTGAGGTTTCCAGGCTGAGCGGCGCGATGGAGCCCTGAATGCTGGCGCTTCGCAGTCTTGGGGAGACCGGGCAGCGCTGATCGTAGAGTGAAATCGAGCCCTTCTTCTTGTTCTTCTTCTTCTTCTTCTTGGATTTTTTGCCGTCCGGCTCGTCGAGATCTTCATCGGCGCTGCTATCCTCGGACTGGACATCGCCGATATCGAGGGCGGATCGAGACGCCTCTGCAATCGGCAGCAGGTCTGTGTTGGCAAGTACCCCGGTTGGCTTCAGGGACGAGGTGCTTTGACTCTCTGCCACTGTGGGAGAGCTCCGAAGCGAGGAACGGGAAGAGTTATCAAAGTCTTCGAGCTCGCTCATGTCTCCGTCGTCCGAGTCGAGGTAGATCGACACCGTAACCGAGTGCAGAGAGCTTTTGAGCCGAACGGCGCTGTCGCGGTTGGTGCTCTCCTGAGTGATGCTGTCGCGGGCGCTGCCCTCGTCGCTCGGACTGGCCTTTGGCTGTGTCCGAAGGTTTTCTTGGCTCAAGCATTTACGGGAGAATTCGTTCGGCAAGGAGGTATCGATTTTGCGTGGGATGTTGTCCCGAGGGCGGCGGAACTTTTGCAGCACCAACGGGGCGTTTCCGTGAGCATCCTCGGTGACGGTGAAGTTGTTTTCTATGCTGGCTATCAAGTCATTCAGGCTGGTCATTTTGGAGGGTGCGCAAGGGGCGTCATGTGTCGCTTGGAGGAAGGCCGCTCGTTCGATGTATTTGCCGACGAGGGAAAGAGGAGTATGTGTTGGCAGCTTGAAGCGGCCTGGACGATCCAGACTCACTTTTTGATTGCCGACGGCCGTTCCCACGCAGCATATTCGACTGGGCTTCACTCGGGGCCCGTCATTGTCCCGACGACAAGAGCACATTGGTGGAGCCAAGTAGCTCAGCTACACAGTGAGGAGATTAGCCCTTCTACCAATCAAAGAAGCACCCAAGGAATATGCCCACAGCGACTGCAAACAGAGACATTGATGGTGAAGCGGCCTTGGGCAAGAGCTGGCGAAATTCGGCCAGTGTGATTGACAAAAGCAATGCACACGACGACCGCCAAAAGGAAGAATTGGCGGCAGTTTGTTCTTGGCAATTATGGATGGACCTCTGTGCATCATCCGTCAATTGCCCGCAGCAGCCTCATGGCTCGCGGAAGCGATGGCGCTCCTCAAGGCCACACCGAGCGAACAGATCTGCCGATTCGGCAACGTACAGTGCTCGCGGATGGGGTCAAGTACTCAAACCAAGGGTATGGATATCGATGGCAGGCTCTGTTTGGATGATGCAGCAGTTTCTGTGAGCAACGATCGACGGCACATCGCTACTGCCTTTCTCTACATCCGCACGGGTGTTGCTGCATAGCGCTCGTGGGGTACACAGGATGAGCAAGCGAGCGAGTGTGTATTCAGAAACCAGAAAACGGTCGTCGGGACGCCAGGCATCATTCGACTTCACTGCGAGTGATGGAGGCGGGACACAGTCGGTCATGGAGCGGCTTGAGTCTCTACTTGTCTCTACTTGTTATCCCTCAGCATGTCGTTCAGGAGGGGCTGGAATTGCTTCCGGGAGTACTTGGCGTCCATGCGGCTGTAGAGTCGCATTGACAAGACTCGTTCATGCTGCGAAGGCTCCAAACCCAACGCAGACGAGCCCTCCAGCACCCCAAAGAGCCGGCTCTGCACAGAAGTGCTGCTGAGCCGCTGCCCTGCGGGAACGTGGACGGCAAGCTCCCGATTGAACCCGCGATCGGCTTGCTGCGAGTCGGCGAAATCGGAGGCGTGGTCAAAGGCTGCCATAACAACGAGGAGATCCAGCTGCCGGTCCTCGCCAAAGGCCTCCAAGGACCGAGCAACGCTTTCGAGTCCATCCCGCTCGATCCAGCCGCCGGGGCCTTCCAGATACCAAGTCACGCTGCTGATGCCGACCCGGAAGCCTTCCATCACCCACTCCTTGTAGTCTTTGCGGAGCAGGTCCCAGGAGGACAGATCGCTGACCGAGAACTTGGCGGCCTGCAGGCCGCCAAAGATCGTGCTCGCATATGCCTGCAGATCGGTGCCGGGCTTGGCCCCGCCGATGATCTGCAACAGCGACTCGGCAGCCTGCTGGTCCACCGGAGTGACTCGGCCAAACTTTGGATCGAGGTTGATGGTGTCGAGCAGGATGGGACACAACAGCAGCTCCGCCAGCGCCGGGTCGATGGGCTCGGAATCGAGACTGCTGGCGTATGACCTCCACTCGCGGACGACCAAGGAGGTGGCTGAGCCAACGAGCTCGATTGTGCGGGGTGAGGCCGACGGATACAGCCCGTCGTCGAAATGGTGGTCGATGATGCCGGTGACGTACTTGGAGTATTTTTCGAGCTGCGGCGAGATGCGGTTGTGATCCGTCAGGACAAGCTCGAGATCGTGGTTGCGCTCGAGGGCATCGAGGCCGAGATCAGAGAGAAAGGTCAGATCGTCGACAAGAGCCGTCGACGAGGCCGAGACGGAGCCCAAAGCGTGCTTGAGGGCATAGACGCAGTCCGTGCGGAGGGAAAAGTCCTGCCGAGGAATGTTGACGACAGGGACATAGAGCGGGTCGAGCACGGAGGCGGTACGGGGAGCCAACGGAGTCAGGGGCAGACCGGCCGAGTGCTGATGCTTATGGTGGAGCAGATATGCGTATGAGAGTGACGACACTAGCGAGTCCAGATCGGCGGCCTCGTTGCCGAGAACCAAGGTGATGCGATGCCGAGGGTGTGTGGGGGCGGACTGGAGCAGGGATGCCAGGCGCTGCTTGGAAGACTTGAGGAACTTGAGCAATCCGGACATGCTGGAAGACGACACGGGGCAGCGATGAGGGGATATGGGGGCAATGCTCAGAGAGGGTGCTGAGGAGGCCGCCAGCCGAGCAATCGGGCCAAGACAGATGCAGGGCGATCGAGGCCAACCTGCCCGACCGTGCGGATGCGCTCTGCAGATGGAATCTGTGCTGTGGACAAATTTTTCTGGTGGGGCTTGGCATTCTGAAACAGCTGCCGCCACCGAACATGGAGCATCTGTGGCAGAGGGTCCTGGTCCAACAACACCCGTCGCCATTCCCCCACTCTGCCAGTAGCTATGGTTGTCGTGGTGGATACGAGAGGATCTGTATTATAGGACTCAGTAGCACATTCGTGATGGACAGAAGCCACAGCAGGGCTCGAGGCAGCATCGGCGAGCACACGAGCCCGCCGACACACAATGGAGCAGTTACTTCCATCTATCTGGGTCGTCACTCGGGCGCCGTGGCTCTGCTGGTCTCTGGTGCGTTTAGCTGACAATGAGGCGGCCCTTCTTCATGCTAGTCTTCTGGTTCTTCTTGAGGTCCTTCTTGCGCTCTTTCTCCTCAAACTTGCGCTGCTCCTCGGGAGGGAGGTTGACGATGGCGTCGGATCTGGCCTTCTTCTCGGCATACTTCTTGTCCCGGAGTTGCTGTGATCACGACGACATGCGCTCTGGTTAGCGGGAGAGCATCGCCGAGATGGGTTTCGCTCCAGGACGACGAGTCAGGGAAGCGGAAGAATGTCATGACATGTGTTGTGAGTTACACCGTACCTGCTTTCGCTTCTCTTCTTCGATCTTGAGGACCTGGTACTCGGCGTTCTCGCGAATCTTGACGAGTCGGGCTTGGGTCTGGAGCCAGAGCGCATCAACGGGTCAGTGGAGGAGTAGTAGGGGGGGGTGGGAGGATCAATACCGGGGCAGTGCAAGTGCGATTCGGGAGCCAAGAGTGAAGGACAGTCGCTGACGATCCCAAGAGACAGCCATCCTTGGCAAGATGTGTGCGATACACCCTGCCCCGTATCTAGATCCGTGCGGGATCAGCTGTTCCTCTGCAACTGAGAGATAGGGCTATGGACGAAGGAACCCACCTCCTGGGAGAGCTTTCCAAACTGGCCAAGATAATCGACAAAGTCCATGGCCATCTGGCTGAGCACACGGGCGCTTTCCTGTGCTTCGGCGTTGGTTTCGATGTCGGTGGGGATGCGGAAGGTGAACGACAGGGTCTTGGGCGCCTGCTGGAGCTCCTCCTTGTTCTCAGGCTTCTGGTGGGGCATATCCGTCAAAACAATTCGCTCGAGCCAGGGGCGCTTCAGGGCGGTGCCCTTGCCGCTCTTGTCCAGACCAAGGCCGGCGTAAATGGCCTGTTGGAACTGGGGATCAGACCACACGAGGGTGGCAAACTCGGGAGCATCGGTGAGGAGGACATACTCCTTGGGGAATCCGACCAGGTTCTTGACTTTGGTGGGGATGGTGTCCTGCCGATCGAGAGGGAAGGCAAACGAGTCAGCCACGGCGCTGGAGCATGCGCTTCACCAGGGAGTGGGCAAGAGTCACTCTGCCGCCGAACTCACCAGATCCCATCGCTGCTTCAGGTTCTCATCCGCAAAGGACTTTTCAAGAATGGTGAAAATGAAGTTGGAGGACTCCTCGGTGTTGAGACGGACGTTGATGGTCTGGAAGATGGCACCGATCAGCGTCGTCAGCAGGTGCATGCCAGGCAAGGCATATCGTTTCCAAACACAAGCGGCTGTCTGCACACTCTGCACGATCATGGCGGGCAGCCAAGGCCTCGCGCGGGAGGTACTCACGACGTTGTCATAGAGCTGCTCAGTCTGGCCAGTTCGGTTCATAATGAAGCGCAGAGCAGTCGCAAGGACATCGTGACGGGGCTTGAGCTGTAGGCCACACAGATGCAGAATGCGCGAAAGACGGACATGGATGAATACGCGAGCGAGCAGAGCTGATGGCGACAGGAGGAATTATGCGCGATTCAGGTCATGCCACGATCCAATAGGTCTTCCAGCCCAAGCGCTGGGCTGGACAGTCGGGTGGCATGGGCAAGTCTCACCTCAACCTTGCCATAGATGCTTCTGCAGTGGACACGGCCAGTGGCATACAGAACATAGTCCGAGGGGCCGTCGTACTGAAGTCTGGCGCCGTTGCCGCTGCCGACCTGGGCAAAGTTCTTTTCCCAGACCGGAAGCGTAGCCTTGAACCTTTTGCGAGTGGACGGAGCAGCGGACGAAGGGGGACGCAAGTTGTGAATACAGGACAGATCAACCTCCGGCAGAGCAAGGCAAAGCCGAGCAGAGCGGAAAACACACAGCAAGCCCAAGCCTCATGCTGCCTCGATGCTGTTGACCTGACAGGGGTCAGGGGAACGAATTGCTGAGGCAGATCCAGTCGGATCTGCGATCTGCGATCGCCAATCGCCAAGGGGGAAGGTGGGAGAGGCATTCGCGAGGAGGCAGAGAAACGCGGGCTGCTGCATCTCCCAACGACCAGATACGACGGGGCCAGCCCAACGCACTGAATCGGGGCAGGAAGGCGTCACTCCGATGTGCCCAGCAGCGGAATCGTGCGCTCTGTTCATATCGGTTCATCTGGCACAATCTCTCCGCTGAATCGGTGAATGCGACACGGCAGAGTCCGTGCCCTCCACAGTCTCTTACCAAGCCGTGGCCAGCTTGCGGTTGTAGGACTTGCCGTAGTAGTGGAATGCCAGGTAGACCACGATGAGGGCCAACATGGTGGCCTCGGTCTTGAAGTTCTGGAGGAGGGCGAGGTCGATCATGTTGATGGGGATGGCTATTGGTTTTACGAAAGCGGGGGAGGCGAAACGGAGGGCGCTCCGGTTGAGGAAGAGGAATCCAAGGGGGAGAGTGGCGGCCTGGCGATGTGCTCGAGAGGCCGACGGGGACGCCTGGTGCTGCTGGCCGACAGGGGGAGGGAGACGGGCCTTGGGTCGCAGGATGCAGTCGAATCCGCAAAACAACTCGGCGAATCTCGCTGTGGAGCATATCGGGACAAGCGGTCGCACAGGCCAATCGCGCGCAGCCATCCGCCCCCGTTGAGCGGGGCGATTGGCAGAGTCAGTGATGCCGCCGAGGGCTCATTTGGATGCCATATGCGCCATTGAGTGCGCATCAGTAGCAGCAGCATCAGCATCAGCAGCAGCATCAGCAGCATCAGCATCAGCAGCAGCATCAGCAGCATCAGCAGCAGTAGCAGTAGCAGGGGTGTGGCGTGTGTGTTTATTGCTGCAAGGTTGTCGCTGAGGACATGCAGAAACAGCCTACCGGCCGGGCAGCTGCACTGATGTTGCGGGCGGATGGGGCAAGCAGACATGCTGGGAGCCGCAGTCCCGTCGCTCAGTCCACCCACACCAAGATCTTGCCGCCATTGGGACTCTCGACTTCGTTGACGTATCGCTCGAGGCAGTCGTGGACCTTGTCGAAGAGTCCGATCTTGCCACGGCCGAGCCCACCTTCGATGTTGACCTCGTTGGGGAGGTTGGTGGAGGAGACGCCCTTCAAACGGGCGTCGTAGGCGCCCCAGTTTGTCAGGAACCTGGGTTGTCAATGACGCACAGGAGCCCAAAGCAAATGCAATCCAATCCGGTCCGAGACGAGGTAATAGATGGCGTTAGTCATCGTGGGTCTGCGTCGGGCCGAATGTGCCGAGAGAGCATGGCAATTGTGTCCAGGGCTGGGTATATCCCCACACTCAAGTACACAAAGAGCAACACAGCGCCACGAGCACTCCGGGACGAGGAGCGAGACACCCACCAGTTGATAACGTCCTTCTTGGTCTTGGGAGGCTCCTCCTTACGAGAGCGACGGCCGCGGCCTGCAGAGCACAGCAAGCAGTGGCGAGGTGAGCGAACGATCTGGCTTGTGTGTCCGATACGGTCTCAGGGTCGCAGCGGGCAATCGCTAGCCTCCGCAACAATCTTACCTTCGACAACGCGCTTGACGTCGCGTTCGAAGGGCAGACCAGTCAGAGTGCGGTGGGGGTATTCCAGGAAAGTCAGCGAGTTGTGGAACTTGAAATGTTCATGGCGGCTGATGAAGCTCGAGGGTTTTTTGAACAGCGGTTCGGCGATGGACTTGATTGTACGCTCAGGGGTCAGCTCGGAGAAGCGAACCGACCACTCGGCTTCCTTCTGCTTCTTGACGAGCTTGGATTCGACGCCAACGACGAAATCGCCCTCTTTCTGTGGATTACAATGTGCGCAAGTCAGGTCGCATTAGGAGAGCAGATCACGGCGGTGATTCGGCCGCTATCGTCGATCACGATGTTGGCATGTCAATGCTCGTAGCTTGATCACAGCGAGCGCTCGTTTTGTGATACACCAACGAGCGATGGCCGACGACTTACGATGCAGTGCTCGCCGAGTCGGCGCTCCATGGCAAAGCACGACATGAAATCCAGGTTCTTTCCTTCGCGGAGCTGCATCAGGGTCAACTGTGGGATGGTGGAGGAATATCGTCAGGCGTTTTGTCCAGGCCAAAAGGAAAGCAAGACGGGTATACCAACCCCGAGACTGAGCGGCGAGGCTCCCTTGAGTGTATCGATGGTGCTTTGGGCCCACGGAGTGTTCTACATTGGAAAATAGGAGGTGTGAGCCACACGCTCTGCGATGAAGCGGAGATGTCGCATGGCGTGGATGCATATGTGGCTGTACAACAGATGCACTGGTCACCCCACAGCCAGACTTGCCTCCGCCTCCAGGGCCGCGACGATCTCTTCGATAGTATCGTACTTGAAGCATCTGGGTGGGATAGTGTCGTCTCAGAGTCAGATCTGGGGCTCAGGAGGCAGTGCGTAAAGTTGCAGAGGATCGACCGGCCTCCTGGGCCATGCAGAGCATTGGATGCGGCAGCTTACCGATCGATTGCGCGCCGAACCTCGCCAGACAAGCTCCAAGTCTTGTAGAGCTCGGGGTTGATGTCGCCTACAAGCAAATACAAGGGGAGGTGGTATCATGGACCGACAACGGGGCACCATGGTAGTGTTGGGTTAGCATGCATCAAAGTGACGGAAGTTGGACCAGCAAGTCCAAAGCCTTAAGGCACAGGCGAGTCTAGCTGCCAGCCGAATTCCCGATGCTGAGCTGCGATGCCACACGCATTAATCCTGGCGCCTGAACGGTCACATACCCACAAAATCTTCGATGGCATAGTTGATCACATCGATCTCATCGGTGCTGAGCTCGGACAGACGTGCCAGCAGGGCTGGGATGCGCTCGGACGGGACAAAGTGTGTGGCAATGCCAGCGAGGCTGCGTGTCCGGAATCATGAAGGACAGTGGTCAGTGGTCAGTGGTCCGTGGCGAGCTTGCGAAAGTCAAATGTTCTGGCAGTTGGCACTGGACTACTAGAGTCGAGTGCGCTAGCCGACAGCCGATTCGGAATAATGCGGCCACTTTGAGCCGATCAAAGCAGCCAACTGTGCAAACCAGGCGATAAGGGACCGGAGTCTGCTCAAGGCCGAGGCAGCGAGCGGATGCCATGTACAGGGGAGCCACTGGTGGCATGTCGATAGTAGTTAAGCAACGCTCCCATGCAACTTACACAGTCTCTTCTCCCTTCAGACGGTGGCCAGTGAGACCGAGGTAGGTGCCGATCTGGCCATCGAGCCTGGGCAGGAAGAATGAGCCGCCGACATCGGGGATGAGGCCGATGCTGGTTTCGGGCATGGCGAAGAGAGTCTTCTCGGTAGCGATCCGGAAAGGGGCGTGGACAGAGAGACCGACGCCGCCGCCCACTGTTGTTGTCGTTGTGGTTGACATGTTTGAATTGATTGCATCGGTGTCGTCGTTGTGATGGGATCAAGTTCGTCGAATGTCAGTAAGAATTTCAATGCCGACATACACGTTATGATGCGGTATTTGCCGTCGTTGTGTCGTTGCGATTGCCACTGGCGGCATGCCGATCCAGCAGGATGATCTTTGTGAGGATGGATACTGCGACAGGCGTATGCAAACAGGACATTACTTGTGATGCCATCCAGAACTGCCACGAAAGGGGTCTTGAGGGTGCCGATGAGGTGGTTGAGCTCGTACTCTTCCTTGAAAAAGTTGAAGCCTTCCTTGACGACCTCTGGGTTGGACGACTTGACCATGGAGACGATGCCTGCACATGCGTGTGTGTGTGTGTGTGTGTGTGTGGGTGGAGTTGCCATCAGTATGACCGACGAATGGCCATGCGCTGTCGGCATAGGTGGGTATCCGAATGGGCGGGTGCATCCAAAAGAGATCGCTGTCCCTGCCCATGTGGCCCAAGCAAGGTCATGGAAAGGGCTCAAGTGTCGTCGGATCGGGCGAGGGATGAATTGCAAACTGCTGGAGCAATACGACTGCGGATAGAGAAAAGGACAGTGCAGTCGGTGTCTCCAGTGGGGCAGGATCGGGAATGGGACTACAGAAATCTGGAGATGGTGATCAGGACAGATTACCGGTGACGTCGCCGCCAGCGCAGAAGGCGCGGGAGCCCTCGGCGGGAAGCATGACAATGTTCTTGACGAGCTCCGAGTCGTCCCAGACGAGCAGCTGTGGAGTGATGTTTCGGACCATGTCCAGATTGAGGGCATTGAGCTTGGTCGGACGGTTGAGGACAAAGTGGCGGGAAGAGTTGGCCTTGCGGTGGAGAACCTCGACCGAGGAGAGGTTCTGAACTCGAGACGACATGTTGCGAGTGTACACGAGGGGGATCCGGGGAGCAGCGAGGCTGCGGGAGGCGAGGGATCGTCCGAGCAGCAACATCTGAGCGGGGCGGTAGTCGGGCCGGGAGCAGCGACGGGGGCGAAAGGCGGATCGCAGGACAGCGATGGCGATGGCGATGGCGATGGCGATGGCTCGGCCCGAGAAGACGGAAGAAGAGACGCGGCCGGGCGGAATGCATGGTTGGAACCGCGCCGACTGCGGCTGGAGACGGGCATGTGACATCCACGCGACCGCGCGCCACACGGGACTGCGCTGGTGTGTGTGTGTGTGGCAGTCCCGCCTGCACTGCCACACAGGCCAGGCCCCGAAGCGAACAGCGCAGGGCAGAAGTAGAAGCAGAGGCAGAAGCAATGCAGACGCTGCAGTCTTGGCGTTCGCTGCATCCGTCGCCCGCATCTGTCGCTTGCGTCTGTCGCTTCTGTCGACCAGCCCGGATGATCGCGACCGGGACACCCGATTAGCCGGCCTCAGACGTGGCCGCCAGCCAATCGGACGGCGCCGTCACAATGACGGAAAGGCGGCGGGTTGCGGCTGGCCACCGGCTGGCCCGATGCGCCCCAGGCGATTGCCATTTCCGGAAAAAATGCGACAGCCAACCGCAAATTCGTTCGGGCGACGAGAGCCGGCGACGAGGGCATTCCTGCCCCCCAGACGCAGGCCGAGACGACGGGCGCGATGCCAAGGGCTGGAGACAGAGATCGGGCGGCTGGAGGAGCTGAGGCTGTGTGTGTTCGAACGAGTATTTCTGTGTCGAACGTCTTGCAGGCCACCGATATGGTTGCCAAACGGAAATCGAAACCGAAACCGCGAGAGCGAGAGGGTGTTAGCGAGAGCGAGAGGGCGCGCAGCGAGATGGCCTGCGCGTCCGGGTTTTTAAGCAGCCGCCCAGGCTCCGTGCTTCCGTCCAAGGCCGCTTTTCTCGCTGCGGGTCCGTTCCGGCACCGATCTCGTTTCCGTTGCCCCCAGTCTGCCCTCCCCCAAGGCCATCTGCTGCGTCCCCTGCTCTGGCCGCCGCTCTCTGCACCCCGGGCTGTCGCTTTCTGCAACGAATCGCACCCGATCTGACCTGCTGTCCTCGGCGTTGTCTGGCCTGAACCACCGTCGACACTATGACCAACGCCGCCTCCTTGGATGTCACTGACATCCTCATCCTCTCGGTGGTCGCCGTTGCCACCATCGGCTTCCTTGTCTGGCGCTCCGGCTCGCTCAAGAAGGCTCCGGCCACATCTACTTCTGGCACCAAGACCACTGCTAGCTCCAGCGGCAAGATCGATTTTACCGCAGGCAGTGGTGGCAAGCAATCCTTCCTCGACAAGCTGAATGCCGAGGAGAACCCTCACCAGCTCATCCTCTTCTATGGATCCCAGACCGGCACCGCAGAGGATCTCGCCAACCGTCTTGCCAATGAGGTCCAGGCCAAGTTCGGCATCGGCACCCTCATCTGCGATCTCGAGGAGTATGACATGACCGAACTGCTCCAGTGGCCTTCCCGCGAAGACCAGCGGGCCCAGGGCAAGACCTGGCTCTGCGGCTTCTTCCTTGCTACCTATGGCGAGGGTGAGCCCACCGATAACGCTGCTGACTTTTACGAATGGCTCATGGATGGCCGTGGCAAGGGTGACGACGAGGGCGTGGACGAGCCCGACGACAACTCGGAGCAACAGGCTGCCCAGATGATCGACTACATCGTCTTTGGCCTCGGCAACACTACATATGAGTACTATAATGCCACTGCCCGCCGCGTCGACAAGAAACTGCAGATGTGGGGCGCCAAGCGCCTTGGTGAGCGCGGTGAAGGCGACGACGATAACTCGCTCGAAGATGACTTCCTCAAGTGGAAGCCTGCTGTTCTCGAGAGCATTGCTGCCCTCTTCAACGTCACCGAAGGCTCCTCCAAGCAGGCTCGCGAGGCCCCGCATGTTCCTCTCTTCAATGTGTCGCTGCTCCCGGTTTCCCAGTTTGATGCTGCCCAGCTGTATCTTGGCGAGCATTCCGCCGCCACTCCTCGCCGATGGCTGGCAAAGTCTGAATCGACCTTTGCCGAAGTCAAGTAAGTTCTGGCCATCATCTCTGGGATTGGTAGCTCTGACATTGTGGGTACATTTGCTGGCGGTGCTGTCGCTCTCGTTTGATTTCTAATTGCATATTCCGGCATTGTCTTTATCACTTGTCTTTGCCATATCTCATCGCCGTCTTGGCCAATGCGACCATCACCGTCTCGCATCTACATCTTGGCTGCTGCGATTATGCCGTTGCTCAACTGCGGACACGGTCACGTTCGCCAGCCCTCGCAAGACCTTCGATATGAAGCATCCCTACTACAGCCCGCTGACGGTCAGCAAGCCTCTGTACTCCGAATCGAGCGACACCTTCTCGTTTGCACCGACTGCCCAGCCGCCTCCCACGCAAGATCCTAACTACCGCATCTCCAGTGCCGGCTCTGGTATCCAAGTCTCTGTTGACCGCCAGTGCTACCACCTCGAGCTCGACACCACCGGAAGCAACGTCAAGTACGAGACTGGTGACCACGTCGGTGTCTTGGCCGAGAATCGCGACCAAGATATCAATGAGCTAGTGCAAGTCCTTGGTCTCTCTGGCGTCAACCTGCGCGAGTCGGTAGTCAAGCTGGATGCCAACCTCGAGCATCCCTCCGGAAAGAACGCCAAGCGCCCCTTCCCACTCCCTGCGACCCTGTACACTGTTCTCAAATACTATCTCGACCTCAAGCAGCCTCTGAAGCAGCACCACTTTGAGGTACGCAAACCATTTGTCGATGCGGGACGAGCTCAATTTGTATCTCGGTCGAGCAGGCAATGTGCGAGAGGTCACCACTCGGCAATGTCACTGCTTGAGATGGCCTCCGCATCCAAGCTGCTGCCCCCGGCAACAGCTACAATTGTCAATCCTTCCTTTGACGTCCTCAAATGCATTTGAATCGTCCATGTCGCCTGTCCGGTATTCGTTTGGAGACGGTGTCCTCGGATGGATTAGTGCGCATGAGATGCTGATGCCTGTGTTTGTTACGGTAACAGATCCTCGGAAAGTATGCTGCTGACGAAGCCGAGCGGGCCCTGCTCTACCAGCTGGTTGACGACCGCGAGTTCTTCCTGAGAACTGTGGACAAAGGCCAGAAGACCCTCACCGACATCATTCGCGAGTTCCCGAGCGTCGCCAAGGTAACGGCTTCATCCACCAGACTCATCCTCCAAACCAATCACTCACATAAACCCACTGCTCTACTCACTCTATCCTGCCATCCGACCTGCCATCCGACCCGCAGATTCCACTTGCCGTCGTCTTGACGGAGATCTTGCCCCGCATTGCTATCCGGTACTACTCCATCTCGTCGTCATCCAAGCAAGAGCCCAACAAGATTGGCATCACCGCCGTTGTTGTGCGCTATGCGCTGGAGTCGCCCTTGGCCAAGAACGAGTCCAAGTCTGCGGTCTATCTCAAGGAGGGCCTCGCCACGTCGTGGCTCGAGCGCTGCCACAAGAAGCGCCTCGAGGTAGAAAGCGCCGTCGTTGTTGACAGCGACGCCAGGAACATCCTGCCTCATCTGCACTTGCCCATGTACATCCGCACCTCGACCTTCAAGCTCCCGCGCAACCCCTCAGTGCCGGTGATCATGGTTGGTCCCGGCACCGGTCTGGCTCCTTTCCGCGGTTTTGTCCACGACCGCTTCTTTGAGGCCCGGCGTGGCAAGGCAGTCGGTCGCACGCTCCTGTTTTATGGATGCCGAAGCCCCGATATTGATTTCCTGTACCGCCCTGAGTTTGAGGCTCTCCAAACGGAGCTGAAGTCGTGGAGCGCCGAAGGCTATGCCGGTCCCGAAAAGCCCTTCGACTTTGAGCTTGTCACTGCCTTCTCGCGGGTCCCTGATCAGAAGAAGGTGTATGTCCAGCATCGTTTGGCGGAGTACAAGGCCGAGATCTGGGAGATCCTCGAAAAGAAGAAGGGCTTCCTGTTCATTTGCGGGTAAGTACAGGGATCGGGCAGTTATCGAAAGATATGGCTGCGAAGTGAGTGGTTTTGTTGAGCGAGACGTGGGTGAATCGGTGACAAGATTCACATCGGCTGGCCCGACTGGCCGAGTCGGGCTCGTGATATCCCGCTAACACTCGTTGGGTCTATGACAGTGATGGCAAGTACATGGCCAAGGATGTCCACAAGGCCGTCATTTCGGTCGGTGTTGAGATTGGCGGCTTTGACGAGGAGCGCGCCCACACCTGGGTCAAGAACCTCAAGGCCCAGGGCCGTTACCTGGAAGATGTCTGGTGATTCGGATAGTGCTCCAACCCACCTTGGCGGTTGGAGGGCTCGCATTTAGATGACGACAACTTCATGTTCTGGCCCTCCTCACGGACTTGCTGCTCCGTGCCCATCCATTGCACTCTTGCATCTATTCCTTCGGATATCATTGCGGCGCATGCCTCAAATGAAACGCTATCTTCTATCCCATTGACCTTAGAGCTGTTGAGTAATTCAGTAGCGATAAACGGAATCGAGTCAGATTTGTCCCTTGCACTGGAACGACTGAAAAAGCACGATGATACCCGTTGGGAAAGGGGAGAGGTGTTGCTGGGATCGAGCGAGTGCAGCATCGTGGTCGGGTTGGATACCGACTCTTTCTTGGCCAATGCATGTCTTGGAGAAGGTGCTGCATGAGCCGATTCCGCTGAAAATAGCGGTGAAACGCCCGAATCATGGTCCGGGACTCACCGGCCGGACCGGCTTGGTGCTTTCGAGCGCAGCGTGCGGAGTGATGCCCAGCCGGGCCAAGAGGCACCTTGAGCAGGTTCATGGCCATGCTGGCCCGCAGGTGGCCCTCGAGACACAATCAGAGGGCCAGGCAGAGGGAAATGCCCAGCGCTGCCCGCCGAGGACCGCCTCCAAGGCCGCTGAAGCCGTCTGCGTGCTGCGTGCTGCTGCTCTTCAGCCATCAGAGGCCCCGCTCGACCTGCGCCCTCGTTCACTTTGCCGATCGATACGGCGCCAGCATCGACTCGCGTGATTATCTGACTGGTCTTTCGCATCGAGCTCCGTCAAAGCACCGTGATCCTGCGACTCACCGCCAGCATCTGACACCCCATCGATCTGCAGCCGACACGCATTTGTCGTTAACGCTTTGGCTGACAGCAGCAAGCAGAACTCCCCATCCACGTCGCTCCATCGTATCCTTTCGCTGCAATGCTGGCCCCTCGACTCAATGTCGATGGACCCAGTCCGAACCGCACAAACCTAAGCTTGGGCTCCCAGAAAGAAATTGCCTCTGGCCACCACAAGGCTAGTCACCGATCCAGTAGCAAGCTCTCGGCGCAAGCCCAGACCATCGACTTTCCCAAGCTGACGCTGTACGAATGGCTGGTCTTCAAGCTCGACATTCTCATCCCCGAGGAGAGGCCAAACTCGATGATGGTACCACACGATTGTCACCTCCAAAAGGTCAAGTACAGCCGCAAGAAATGGCGCTGGCGAATTGTCCGCAACTCGGACGCCAGCCTGCCCGAGTACCTGACCGACCACCGCGATGACAGCGAATACGACGTCATTTCCCCTGAGACGGGCTCGTTCCTGCCCGTCGTCGACATCCAGGGCAAGTTTATCAAGAAATGGGACGCGCTTGGACTGCTGCTGCTCTTGTTCACAGCATCGGTGACGCCGTTCGAAACAGCGTAAGTTGAGAGTGAGAGTGAGAGTGAGAGTGAGAGTGAGAGTGATGGGGATTTTGTGGTTCTATGGCCCCAGTTAACCCCCACCCTCGCGGTATTCTCAGCTTCCTCTCCCAGCAGCCCGGACAGCCCTTCCAGTTCGATATTCTCTTCCTCGTCGACAGCATCGTCGACTTTATCTTCTTTTGTGACATTTTGATTCAGATGCGCACCCCGTATCGCCACAAGCAGACCGGCAAGATCATCCGGTCCGAGTTTGGCATGTTCTGGAACTACTTTACCGGATGGTTCTCCATCGACTTGGTCTCCACACTTCCGTGGGAGCTGCTTTCGCTTGTGAACCAGAGCGGCGGCAATCTGCCCGTCAGCCAGCTCCGATTGCTGCGATTCTTGCGTCTGACGAGGCTACTCAAGCTGCTCCGTGTCATGCGCGCGAACCGAAAGCTCAGCCAGTGGAAAGCGCAGATCAATCTTCGATATGTAACCATTCAGATCCTGCAGGTAATCTGTCCTTCGCGCTGTCGTGTGGCCCGGCTGCAAGTGGCGAATGGGCATCGTGCCGATCGCTTTAGCTCGTGTGCCAGCACATCGTGCGCTGACAAACCTTACTCTGTTCCAGTGGTGCATCATCATGACCTTTATCATGCATTGGATCGCCTGTGGATATCGCCTCGCTGCGGAGCGGAACGACACCTCGGCGACCAGCACCGATCCCTTGGGGTGGCACGAACTCTATGCCGCCTCCCAGAACACCACCGTCGACGCCATCTCCATCTGGCTGCTCTACATCATGGCGCTCTCGTGGTCGGCCGGGACGGTCAGCCTGGTCGGAAACAGCGTCCCGGTGATGCAGCCCACCAACGACCGCGAGTGGGGATACAGCGTCTTTGCCTTCTTCATCTCGTATCTCCTCGCGGTGTGGTCGATTGCCACAATCTCGGATGTGCTGTCGCTCAGCAACCGAAGCCAGAGGACCCACGATCTCCATGTGGACCAGTATCTCGAGATGTTTGACCGACTCAAGCTCGAGCCGCGGCTCAAGATCAAGGTGTACGAGTACCTCTCGGACCACTATGCCAGCAAGCACAGCACCCGATACACCGAGCTCCTGCAGGACCTGCCGCCTCAGCTGCACGGGTTCATCACGATGGAGGTGTTTGTGTCGTTCATTGCCGACATTCCGTTCCTGGAGCCGTTCATTGACCGAGAGCCTGCACTGGCGCAGGACCTGTGCAGGTCGATCGAGATCCGGTCGGTGTCGGCCAACAGCCACCTGTTCACGGAGGGCTACGAGGGCATCTACCTGCTGAAGAGCGGGATAGTGGCGATCGAGGGACGGGTGTATCCGAGGTAAGCCGTGGACGCGGTGGGCGATGCGGTGGGCGAGTGAGCGAGTGAGTGGGCGAGTGAGTGGGCGAGTGAGTGAGTGAGTGAGTGAGTGAGTGAGTGAGTGAGTGAGTGAGTGAGTGAGTGAGTGAGTGGGCGAGCGAGCGAGTGAGTGGGCGAGTGAGTGGGCGAGTGAGTGAGTGAGTGAGTGAGTGAGCGATGGAGTGATGAAGTGATGGAACGAAGGAAGGGGCGAGACTGTTTGCCGTATCATAACCACAACCACAACCACACAACCACAACCACACAACCCGCAGTGGATCCATCTTTGGCCGTACCTGTCTCCGAGAAAAGATAAAGTCCAACGAGTGTCGGGCCCTCACCAACATCACCGTCCATCTCCTCAAGCGCGACGTCCTGGTCTCGGTGCTGGACAAGTGGCCCAAGATCAAGTACTATGCCAAGCGGTGGACGGCCTGGCAGGTGCTTCGGCGGTACATCTACACATACACCCGGCTCTACTACATGGCGGCACGGCGTGGGGCACGGATGCAGCCGCCGCTGGTCTCGCAGCGGCCCAACATGCGCGAGGGCGAGCTGGACGACATCGACATTGCTGTTCTCGAGCACATCGAGGAGTTTGGCTTCTGAGGGTCATCAGGACCACATTGGCTTGTGTCCCTTGCTCAAATCTTGTATGTGCATATTGTTCCAGACGATGACTCCCCCAGCGCCATTAATAGGATTGTGTTTGCCTTTATTTCAAAGCCCACTGCTCCATGGCAATTATTTCTAGTAACAGAATGCTCACTTGCCCCATGTACCGTGCCCCTCACTCTCCTCGGCGCTCTACTGCCTCTTGTCGCTTGTGGCAACATCGCCTTGCACTGCCAGCCAATCCTCTTGCGGGACTCGCTCCTCCGCTGTGGATCGTCTGCGCGGGATCATCCACCACCTCAGATGATTGGTGTGCTGCAGCGCTTTTGTTTCCGATGGAATCTTCAGCCAGTGCGGCTGACACAGTCCTCCCTCCACAACCTTCGCGGCTTTGGAGTGTCGTCCTCCGCCCGCCCAACCCGCCAGCACTGCCCTCGGCGCTGCTCGAAATCTCTCAAATACATCTCGTAACTCTTCTTCCTCTCACGCTCGGTATTTCGCGCCCCGCTGTCTCCTGCACCCCCCCCCACCTCGCCAAACAGAGGAAATTCATCCTTACGTCCCCTCTCTGTATCGGCACGACGATTCACCGAGGCCGTTCCTGAATATCTCGGCCACTGAGAGTCGTCCTTTGCCTCTCCTCTTCCTGTGAGGGCTACCATCAAGCACAGTATCCATTCGCGAATACCTTCCCATGTCGCTCCATCTGCACACGGACTCGGTAAACCTGGACGAGGGTTTCAGCTCCGTCGTCGAGCCCACCTCCGACAACGGAGAGGTGGAGAGTCTGCATCCTCCAGCGACCCCAAATCTCTCCACCAGCGTCCCATCCGCGCATACCCAGCTTCTCGACATCGGTACCAATAGCGAGGCTGGCGCCTCGTCGGGAATCCAAATGGACGGCTCCCTCGACAGCGTGCCGCGGGGACTATCACCGGCTCCTCCAAGCGAAGCCCCGATTCAAGCCTCGACTGACGTCGAGAGACCCAAGCCGCCCGAATTCATCCACATTCAGCTCATTCCATACAACCCAGACCCAACAAAGGCCGCGCCATCCATCGACATCATCGAGCGAAAGCTGAAAGACGGCTCCATCCTGAGAATCGGTCGCCAAGTCATCCGCGACGGACAAGCGACGGGCAAGCAAGGCAAAAACAGCGAGGGCATGGATGTGTGGTTCACCTCCAAGGTCGTGAGCCGAAATCACGCCGAAATCTGGTCTAAAGACGGCTTGGTGAGTCCGCCATTCCCACGACTGCCTGCTGGGCCGGAGCAGGAGGCGGCGCCCGTAAATGTCGATGCCGAATTGATTATTGGAGCCGCTGGCTTGCACACTCCGACTCGGGTCTGTTGTGATGGCTGAATGCGCTTCCTTTGCTGCACGGGTCGTCTTTCGCCAGGTCTATATCAAGGACATTGGCAGCTCCTCGGGAACATTCTTGAACAAGATGCGATTAAGTCCCTCGGGCAAGGAAAGTCGGCCCTATCCCATCAAAGAGGGCGACACCATCCAGTTTGGCATCGATTACAAGGGAAAGGAAGAAGGCAAGTACCCCTCGATGGCTCGATGCTCATTTGACGGGCACGGGCGTCTGTGGATGTTTGGTATCCGCAATGGTACCGTGGGTCTGACGTCGTGTGATGGTTCCAACGCTTGACCGTCTATCGAGCCTCTCGTCTCACGCGTATTATCCGCATGGTTGGCATCGCCGACGCTTGATTTGGTCGCTCTCGCCCTCCAGACATTTACAAAAGCGTCAATCTCAAGCTTGGATTCTACGACCAGTCGTGGATCAAGACTCAGCGGCAGAACGCCAATCCGGTCAGGTCGGCATCCAGCTTTGGCCCCAAGCAACGGCATCCGCACACCGCATCCATCCCTCTGCATGATACACACAGTCCGCACAATCCATTCGTTCGCCGCCTCCGCCCTGACGATGTCAATACTCTGTGCTTGCCAGGTTCCGAACAGCCCTCCGACAGCTTCTCGCTGCCACCAACCCATATGCCACTCACGGCCAACACGAGGAAGATGCCGCGGCCCCAACAGAGTGCTGCATCTGCATCGGCGTCATCGGGCCCTTCCAGGCACTCTTTATAGCGCCCTGTTCGCACTGCTACCACTACAAGTGCGTCGGGCAGCTGCTGGCGCAGTCCGCCATGTTCCAGTGCCCATTGTGCCGACAGGTTGCCAATCTTGCGGCCTCTGTGAGCGTCGAGAGCCTGTGTGAAATCGCCGAGGACGGCGAGTCCAAGGGGCCGCTGCAGATCGCCACCCCGCTCATCACCACGAATACCCCGGTGGCTACCGACCTCAACGACGTCGCATCGCCCGAAACCTCGAGCAAGGCAAACCCGCCGGCGCTGCCCACCGTCGCAAACGCACGACACAGTCTCGGCAGCAACACCTTCTTTTCCAAGCTGCGTACAGGCTCATCCTCGGCCGATGAAGGTGGCGACGCCGCTGGGACCAGCTCCTCCCGTCGGCGAAGCTCTGCGGGGGTATGTCCGACGTCTCCAGGCTTTGGCAAGCGCTCCTCCAAGGAAGAAGGCTCAGGCAGTCCCGACCTGGTGCCAAAGGCAAAGGGCCACAGCAGCTTTGGCAACAAGCTCAACTCGCTCTTTGGTCTTGGGCGCCATGTTCCGCCCCCAAACACACCTCCGTCTGCGAGCGCCTCCATCAGTGCCGCCAATGATGCAAGTCTGGGTCCTCCGGCCCAGGCGGCGGCTTCCAGTGGCCTTGGAGCTTCTTTGCAGCCACTCGGGACACAGATGAAGCACTGCGGCACCGCCAAAACCATGTCGACCGAGCCCGCCCAAGATGGGCACTCTCGCATGGCGTCAGACCAACCGCAATCGTCGACCTCGGAGCAACAAGGGGAGGGAAGCAGTGCGTGATGGCTGGCTGCCGTCGAGGTCGATGTTGGATTTGTGTGCACCATCCCGGCCTCCCCGGTATCTTGTCTGTTCTGCCTCCTCGCGGATGGCCTGGAGACCCCGATTTGGGACTGGTGCAAAATATACGCATGCAACGAGACTCAGGCATCCCAGCCAGCGCATACTGGCCACGCAGCTAGCACCGGGAGTTTCCTGTGCAAGCCACACGGTTTGGGTCAGAGCGGTGGCGGTTGCTCGGCGTGTGGATGACGGTGCAAATGTATTTCCTAGCGCTTGTGCGTAACGAAGAAAGAGTCAAGATGAGCGTGCCGTGGGCGAGCGACTGCATGCTGCGTCGGTCAGTACTGCTTTTGCATGCTTTTGAAGTAGGGATGTTCCAGCGCTCGCTTTGCCGAGATGCGATCCGCTGGGTTGTACACCAGCATTTTCTGTAACGACATGTGAGATGCAGAGGCTGATTAGCCAACTATTCGGATGATGAGTCACTGAAATGACGACTGGATCGAGCGTGGGCAAGCACAGCAACGGTTCTCGAGGCCGATGCCTACCGAGAGAAGGTCGATTCCATCGGCGTCGAGATAGGACTCGAGTCTGCGGAAGCCTTCCCGCTTCCATGTCGGGAAGTTGGGCTTGTAGTCGGGGAGGCTGGAAACACCGGGCCAGTCCGTCTCGGTCGGAGTGCCCAGGACCCTGGTGAAGGTGTTTGTCAATGTGGCAGAAGCGGAGTTTGAGAATGGAGCGGCGACGAGTCAGCGCAATTGCAGGGCTGGTGCACTGTGGATCGGCTACATCCTTCTCCACGCGCAGGCTGCGTACCTGAAGATCTGGAAGAGTTCGTCGATTTCCGAGTCGCCTGTGGATCGAGATGTCAGCATTGGTAGCACGCGAAGCAGCAGCAAGCAAACGTGCGAACGGAAGGGGCCAGACGGTCCTACCAGGAAACAGGGCCTCGCGCATCGCCATTTCGGCAAAGATTGTTCCGACACTCCACATGTCGACAGCTGTCGAGTAGTGCTTGGATCCCAGCAGGATCTCTGGGGCGCGATACCAAAGGGTGATCACCTGGCCGACAGCAGACGAGCATTGATGCACGGTTAGAGCCACTGTATGACGGATGGCCTGGGACTGAGAGCGCTTTGCATGCAACAGAGGCTGCGGGGGTGAATGGCCAGAGTCTGATGTCGCGCTTACCTCATGGGTGTAGGTTCGAAGGGGAACACCGACGGCACGGGCCAGGCCAAAATCGGCGAGCTTGAGCATGCCGTGCTGGTCAATGAGCACTGCAGTGTGTGGGGGTGGGTGGGACACGAGAGTAAATAGGTTGTGGTGGAGTAAAGCGAGACAGGGCGCTGCTTGGATAACAAGCGTGCGGCAATAGGAGCTGATGGATATCAGCAACAATGAAGCGAACGAGTACGAACGGTTTTGGGGCTTGAGATCGCGGTGGAGGATGCGGTGCGAGTGGCAGTAGAAGACGCCCTGTACCAGCTGGTACATGTAGCTCTGTTCAAGGACGCTGGATTAGCACGACACATCGAGCCCGGTACAGGATGGCTGTTGCAGTAGCAATCCAGCTCATGTATACTGGTGTGCCTGTGCCAGCACCGAGGACAGCAACCAAGCCGGAGGGCTACCTTGACGAGATCGGGGTGGAGCATGTGCGGGCTGACAGAGTCCATGTACTTTTTCAAGTCAAGATCGAGGAACTCAAAGATGAGATAAAGCTTGGTGTCGTTGTGGACGATATCGAGCAGCCTTGCAGTCAACGTCCCGACAGCGACAGCGGCGGCAAGATGAGGCGCGTTGGGAGGAATCAGGTGAAAGAAACAAGTCAGAATAGCCGCTCGGTCGACAGAGGGATCCTGGGCGATCGGGGCGGACAGAGCGAGAGCAGCTCGCTGGCGGAGGATGGTCGGCAGCGAGGGTACGGCTCCGAGCGATCGGACAGGATGGATGTCGTCCGAGCACTGGGCCAGATGCTGTTGAATTGAGATGTAACATCCACACTACAGCAGTTGGTCGCATCCGCTTGGTATGCATCTTCAGTCCCATCGGTATGTGCTTCTGGCAGCAGTGCTCACCTCACGACATTGGCATGGTTCAGCTCCTTCAGGAGCGAGATTTCGCGGATGGCTGTTGACGGGACGCCCTCGTCCTCGGTTTCCAAACGAATCTTCTTGAGGGCAACGATCCGACCGGTGTTCCGGCACCGCGCCTTGTAGACAACGCCATACGTGCCCTCACCGATCTTTTCAATCTTTTCGTAGTTGTCGTACGGGTTGGCTGGCTTGGAGGAGGGCATGGACGACGAATGGACGAGGGCAGGGCGATGGTTGGGCTGCTGGGCGTGCGACCGATGCGACACCAGGCCGCCGACGGCAGCCTGGGTGTCAAACATGTTGTGTTCGTCGTTGATCATGGCGGAAGCTGCGTTGGGAGACTGCGAGTGATCTGGATGGGCAGGATGGATCGGTGGAAGAAGGATGCAGGGTTGACGGGGACGAAGAGCGGCGACTTTCAATTCAGACGGATTTGGCAGGCGGCCACAAGCCGGCTCGAGTGCGACTGGGCGGCTCGAGCCGGCCGAAACGGGGGGCAGATTGATGTGTGTGTGTGTGGCGGGAGTGTTGGGATGGAGTGAGGCGGATTGCCGACTGGAGCAGAGATGCATGTACGCCATGGCAGGGAAGTATCCTGCTTCGGGTTTACATCGGTTGTATTGTGGTTCTCGATCATAGGCGGTAAAGCGGGCGACAGCACATGTTCGCCGTGGGGGAGGGGAGATTGAGTAGCAGTTTGCCGGTGGGGATTCGATCGCTTGGGTGGCAGCAGGGCCAGCCACGACAACGACAGCAACAACGGCAGCAACAACGACGGCAGCACCGTTAGTATATGTACGGGATAATGCGCCAGGGCGTCATCTTGCAGTAGGTCTCCCAGGCCTCGCCGTACTTGAGATGGCACATGCGGTTGTCGTCTCGCTCGCGCGGGATGAACAGCATCACATAGTAGAGTGGATAGATCCATGGGATCAGGCACATGTACCATGGATGGCCACCCCCGAGCATGACAATGAATCCAGGGAGGGCCAGGGCGATGGCTTGGATGATCTCGCCCAGGTAGTTGATGTGCCGACTGAGACTCCAGAAACCCGAGCAGATGATGCGGGTGCCCGGGATGGTCTTCTGCGGGATCAGCCCAAACAAGAACGTGGTCGCAGTCGGGTTCATCTTCAGGTGAAACTTTTGCATGTTGGGCCCGCGAGTCAGGACCCAACCGACGAGGAACAGGAGGCCGATGCCGACTGCACCGAGGACAGGAATGTCGGCATCCTGGCTCTGGGCGGCGGGTGCAAAGGTCATCAAGGGAATGCCGCCGATACAGTACAGGAACGGGTAGAAGCCCAGACAGCCCCAGAGCAGCTTGAATCCGATCTTTTCGGCAAACAGGTCGTATGTGTAGAGGTGGACGTTCTCGAAAAAGCTGTACTCGACGAGAAACCAGGTGAAGGCGATGACATAGACGACCATGGCGTTGGTGAGCACACTCTGGTTGGTTTGAATCTGGAGCATCATCATGGACAGGACGTTGAGCTGCAGAAGCACAGCGCCCCAGCAGTAGAGCATCATCTTCATGTCGATGCCGAGGAAGCGCGGGTTGAAGGCATGGCCGTTGAAAAAGTCCAGGATCGGGGACTTTTTGCGGTAGTTGGGGTCGGCAAGGGGCTGCTTGATGACTTTGTATGCGCCGGCGGTCTCGTCCCAGCTGACCATATCCCGGGTCAGACACCGCAGGTACTGGGCGTCCACCGGGGGCCAGACCCGGCCGAGGACGTCGTAGAGGATCGACAGAGCCAGACCGATGAGGGCACCGGAGAGCCAGCCAAACCAAAAGTTGCGAGCCAGAAAGGTGGCATCCTTGACGCCGAAATGAACCAAGACGACATAGAAGGCAACGACAACGAACAGGACCCAGAGCCCGTTCAGCTTGTAGGTGAGCGGCTTGCCGTCGAAGCTGCAGCAGTATCCCTGGCGAGAGGGGTAGGGGATGATCTTGTGCAGGACGACGCAGAGCAGGTAGACCTCGGCCACCTGCAGAAACGTGAGGCCAAAGTCGGAAGCCATGGTGCAGCTGGGCCGGCGGAGGCGGTTGGTGCGATGCAGCGATGGAAGCCGAGGTTGAGAAAGCCGACGGGGTCGCTGGGCTGGTTCGGTGGACAGGAAGTCCAAGGGGGTTTGCTGGACTTGGTGCCGAGAACGACATCCGCGGAAGATTGTCCAATCGCGGCGAATCGGAACCGAGCCAGCCACACACACACACAAGCATTTCTGGCAATGATCCATCCGCCGTCTGTTCTCCGTCCATCTCGTCTGCGCCCGCACGATGGCCACCGAGCTCGTCCACGATCCCCCATCGACGAGGGCTGATGCCGACAGCGATGGCCTCTTGGACGCACCGCACGGCTCTGAGCACAGAGCCGCTGGCCACATCACCAAGGCACAGCGGCTGCAGGCTGGCCTGGAATTCCTCACCTCGATCTCGTTCACGGGCTTCCCCTCTGACCGGGACGCTCTCTTGATATCAACGGCCTCTGGCGTCGCTGGCGAGCCGAGGGCCACATTCGCCGATGGTTTCCGCCCCGCCGGCCCTCCACACAGTCGGTTCTCCGTCAATATCAATGAGACGCCGCTCATACATCCACAATCCAGCGAGGTTCCTGCGCTCGATCTGCATCACCTCGGCCCAGCGGCCCTCGACGACCGTATCCCCTCAGCATACACTGCCAGCAAGGACACTGGCCCCTGGGCAACACCCCAGCCGGAATACAACGAGCGACAGAAGGCTGCCGTCGCCTTTCTGTCGTCGATACTGTACGAGTATATCGAGCAGGGAGCCAGCCAGAATGCATTGACGGTGACGTCGGCGCCCCTCCGGCCTGCCTTATCATTTTCCGAGCCGCTCGCTGCTCGGGCACACAGTCAGCCCCTCGAAACAGAGCCCAAGACCAACGAACCAAGGATACAGGAGTTGGTATCTGGATCGACATGCCACTTCCAGAACCCAGAAAATGCTGCTGTGTCGTTGACTGACGGCACACAGCCGGGTCAATCGAGCAAGAACTTGGAGCGCATGATTGCTTCAAATGCGGGAGAGTCCGAGGGTAAGGCTGCCGACCTCTGCGACTGCGATGCAATTCGACCAAGGAACGAGCCATCCAGACAGCCTCATGCACTTGTGACGAGATCCAAATCACTGACTGCTGTCCCTGGTCTCGTTTGGCCAATCTCTCTGACTCGACATTGACGGAACATCCCCCAATGCCCGACTGGATCTGCCTGGATGACGACTGAATGGCTACTGGGTAATGAACGACATTACAACGACACCACAACGACATCACAACGACACAGCCGAGGCCAGCCCAAAGTGGAATATCGTACCAGGCTCTCAGCTCGCCCAACTGGTCCGGAAACGCTCGAACGCCCAGTCCTCGGGTGGCCAGCGAGACTCGATCCTCGAGCACATCACCCAGGGCGGCGATATCATGCTCGTGGCCAAGTCGGGATGTCCTCTGTCGTACCTTTCGATCCTGCCCTTCCAAGACAATCGCCTGAGCCAGGCTCGTCGGAAGGGCCCCATGAAGAAGCAGCCCAAGAGCACGCTGGCGAGCCAGTACCTGTCAGTAGTGCTGGCCGTGGATTCAAGAACTGCATGGGTAGCTCAGGGCGATGCCGAGAGCACCGCCAAGACTACGCACTAACTACCGCATCCACCGAATCTACATTTGGAATCCAGCGAAATGATCGGGCTTCCGCAAGTGGCCGATGTAGTCAACAACATGGCCACGACAGCCAACAATCGCCGGAAAAAAACCTCCTATGTCGAGCTGCTGATGGAGACTGGCTGTCTCGGGTGAGTGGCAGCACCTCCAAGGGCAAGTCCATGGTCGCGAATGACGCCTATCGTTCAGGCGTGGGTTTCTGCGACGCGGACAATTGTATCCCTGTTTTGACTGCTTCTTCTGGCGTTTCATCCGCCAACGTCCGTTCTGTTGGCGGTTCTTCACAGCCTCGTTGCGCCAGAGGTCCTGTCGTATCTGCCGTTGCTGTTGGACAATCCAGAGCACCGCACAGGAAAGAACAGGACAATCATCACGCTTCCATGCTTTATTGTGAGTCGATGTTGACGCATATTGCCTTGGGACAAGTCATCCCAACACGAGCGATCCTCGACACCTGCGTGAGGAAAGAGAAGCGATCTGCCGTCTGACTGTATGGTTGGGCACCGGCCTACTAGGGATCCATCATATCATATTCTCGACCCTCGGACATCAAGCGAGAGCTGAACGAGCACTTCCGAGACACCCATCCGTCGGTCGACCCCTCGCTGACCCTGACGCAGATCCGCAAGCTCAAGCAGCGAATGGTTGAGATCGGAAAGGCCGTGGTTTGTATTGTCGCCAATAGGGATTAGGAGTGTGGTGGGAGAGAAATGGAGAATCCCGCTGCTCGAGGCTGGGACTGTTGGCGGGGTTGCAGCCCGATGTGGAGCTCTGACTGATAAACTCCATCGCTCCACACACAACGAACACAAACACAAACACATACACATACGCAGGATCTGGAGGTTACGACGGTGGCGTTTGCCATTGTCTATCTCGAGAAGCTGATACTCAAGGTTCGATATTCGTTTGTAGCACATGTCATAACGAAGAGCGTCCATGATCGCCAGGTGTATTGATCCTTCCATTCTGCGACAATCCTTTTTAGACCCAAGTCAACAAGGCATCCAGAAAGCTGATAGCAGGTTGGTCAGAGTTGCCTCGATCAGCGCATACTCGGCGGCGATCAGGGTTGGTCCAGGATGTTGCGCTGATTCCCATCCGAATGCAGCCGTGTGTTTGTTTTTGGCCATCAAGGTCAATGAATCGATACCGACAAAGGCCCAGATGCCGCCATACTTTTCAAGCATCATGGCGGTAAGAGCGTCCGAGTTCAGCGGTATTGGTTCGGGGTCATGAGACCGCCTCGACCATGGCGATGTGAACGGTGCAGGTCCCAACAGCTTCATCCAACCCCAGACCCTTGGCATGCTGGCTTCTCATGCAGTCGGGACAACTGCGATGTGGGGGCGACCCTGATGCTAATGACACCAATTACTGCCAACGACGGCGATAGTGCATCGAAGACAAGCTCGGCCCCATTGGCTCGAAGGAGGTGTACAGCAGCGAGTTTGCCGTGTATGCTCTTTTGGACTTTAATTTGTTCCTGCCCATGTGGGAGATCGAGCCGCATTTGCAGCGCATCCAATCTTCGTTCCCAGGTATGGCCAGACGAGTCCGTCGCTGCCTCATACTGGGTCTGAATCCGCAGCCGATCCGCGGCATGGATTGCTGACTTGCATACTTTTGGTCGACTGTCGCTCATCCCGCACCGGACTCACCGCCTTCCAGGGCCCCTGCCATCCGATCCCAACGCGCCACACCCGTTTTACGAGATCGGCTGCTAGAAAACCACCATCAATACAACCACAACATTACTCGGAGGGACTTTTCGGTGCTGAGACTGTTGAGAAGGTGCTGGACAGCTAGTAAAGCCAGGGCGGCCGGAACAGTGGATTCTGACTGCGACAATGCTCGGTGGGGTCCGACGCAAAGTGTCAGCGCAAGTCGTGGCGATTGTTATCAAGGGCGAACACAAGCAGATGGTGTGAATGGCGCTATTGGCTTCCTAACAAGCCCAGTTTGGCTGGGAACCAAACCAGCTGACAGGCACGGCAGACAGGGCGGTAATGAAGCCATGGGAGAAGTAGTCTGTGAGGATGCGCGAGGAAATGCATGCACAAATGGAAGAATCAAAGACAGGACGGTGGAGGAGACATAAGTGCAGGCACAGACGACATTCAGCACGAGTCCAGGGCCTCTCGGAAGGTGCGCTCCAGGTCGTCATAGTTTTCGGTGCCGACACTGACGCGGATCAGGTGCCGATCGACGCCAAAGCTCTTGGCCCAGTCGAGCTCTCCGTAGTGAGCGAGGATGGCATACGGGGAGGCCAGCGTAAAGATGGTGCCGAGCGACGGGCCTTTGGCAACATGGAGATGGTCGTAGAAGCGCGAAGCCTGTTGCTCGTCCTGCAAGACCACGGAAAAGAGCCCGCCGTAGCCACCCTGCGGCCGCTTGAAGCGGTCGTAGATTTCTCGGTCGGTGTACTTTGGATAGAACAGCTGAACCACTGTGGCGGCGACACACGGAGAGCAAATCGTCAACGTCATGCTCTGCCATGCACAGGAACACATTCCTGCTTGACAGCCGTTGTAACGTCGTGAAGCAACAGAGCTGCATTCCGAGTCGATGGTTATCAGTGGTTACCTTTGGGGTGACCGTGCAGGAACTCGCAAAGTCGCTCCGCGTTGGAGTCGATGATCTGGATGCGCTCGCGGTTCTTGCGAGAATTGCGTTCGAGGTAGATGGCGTCTTCGATCCACACGGTGTCTTCGTAGATTTCGTGCAGGGTTGCAAGGATGCGCTCGACGTGCCTGCCCGAAGGATTGACAACCAGGCTGGCGAGGGAGGGTCCGATATGCATGGGGTGCGTGGAGCGGGGAAGGGGCCGTGTGTGGACAGGGACAATCAAGCGTCGGAGAAGAGGGGTCAGCTTAGATGATGCCGTGGTTGTGGCGATTCAACAGTGATTTTTGCTTGACGAACGAGTTGGTGGTGTGTGGACGTTGGCGAGTTGGCCACGGCGAGCAGGCTCTGGGCCCATTGAAACGTACCTGCCACCAGTAACGTCGCTGTCACCGGAGAAGATTTTCGAGAGGCTGCTGACGACGACATCGGCATAATCGATTGCAGCCACGTTGACAAAGTTGCCGATGGTGTCATCGATGATGAGCAGGAAGCCGTACTGGTCTGCCAGCGACCGCAGTCGGGCAAGGTCAGCGGAACGCAGGAGTGGATTCGAGGGAAACTCGCAAAAGACGGCCGAGATGGGCTCGTTGGGCAAGATGTCATTGACCAGGTGGTCGAGGTCATTGGGCGAGCCGTGGCCGAGGAAATGGCAGCCGGGTCCGAACTTTTGCTGGATTTTGAGCGTGTCGAGGTAAGGGAACCTGGAACGAAGGCATTGAGATGGACCAGGCGATAAATCAAAATCGGGAAGGTGTTAGAGCTGGTGTTTGAAACTGAAACTGAAACTGAAACTGAAACTGAATGTTTTCAGTGATAGCTCACCCAAACTGCACCGATTTGAGTCCGGGGAAGAGTCTGAGGACGAGCCTGTGGGAATTGTAGATGGCGCTCATGCCGGTCGAGAACAGGAACACATTGGACTCGGGCAATCGGGATGAACGAGAAGCAGCTGCCCCAGCCGCTGTTTCGGGCTCGGCCGGCTGGCTGAGCTGCTCCAGGAGCTCATCGGATCCGTCCATGGAGTCGCCAAGGATGCCAGCGATTCGTTTGCGAAGGACGGCCTTGGCAGGGGCGCCAAAGGCCAAGTTCAGATTGCGGCCAAAGCGCTCATCCAGGAAGAGCTCCTGATCGCGGTCGATCGAGGACTGGAGCTGCTGCAGTGCGACGGCACTGCTGTTTTTGAACTGGGAGGCCTTGTAGTAGGGGTTCTGTGGGGCACGGCCATTGGAGCGACCAGCCTCGAGGGACAGCGCCCGCTCGTTGGATTCGATGATGCGAAGGGCATGCTCGGCGAAGCGGGAGGAGATGCCTTCGCCAGAGTGCTGCCAGAACTGCTTGGCGACGGGAGCCCATGACTTGGCGAACAGCACGACGTGAAGGTATATGGGAGCGGGGGCCGGAGCGGCTGCTGGAGCTGGCTTGGATGCATCGAGAGCCGAAAATGATTGGAGGCTGGAGGAGAGGGTGTATTCGGCGATGCGGGCAGGCGGCTTTGTGGGAGTTTTGGGCTGGGGCTCGGTGCCGGATGGAGGCGGGGCAAGCCGGGCGACCTGGATGCAGATAAAGTCGCGGCACTCTTGTGCGATGCGTCTGGAGCGAAAGACCAGACAGGATTCGGAGGGAAGGGCGAGCTTCTTCTCGAAGAAAGCGCAGAGCAGCTTGACCTTGGCGTGGTAGACGAAGCGGGGATATCCCGATTTCAGCTTGGTGATGACTTCGGGGTCGGCTTCTTCATAGCCGATGTTGTCGAGCCAGCTCGGGAGCGAGACCGAGATGGCGTGGGAGGAGATGGGTGGGATTGGCGACCCGAGTGGCAGCTGGATGGGGAGCGACTGGGACATTGGCAGGTGGAGCTGATGGGATCGATGGAGGATCGGCTCGGGTGTGCGATTAAGTTCGGTGGACGGCGGCAGGAACAAATATCAGATCAGATGGGAGATGCGATCGGACTGGGTGGAAGGTCAGAAGGAACTGGGAGAAGTGAGATCAAAACGGAGACGAGCGGGGCTGACGAATCAACGCCGCTCATGTGCGCGCAGCCGAGCGCAGCTGGGGTGGGTCAGATGACGACATCGTGTGGATGTGTATCACCATCCCCAGCCCAACGAACGACACAGCGGCTTCAGGAACGACACCACGAACGACCAGAGTATATATCGACATGGCGGGGAGTCGCATGATCTGCAATGCGTCTGCAATGTGTCTGCGATGTGTCTGGCTATGCAGAACTTGTCATTTTCCAGACATGGCTGCGAGGATTCATACTGACATTCGGATGCAGCGATACGGAGCGATACGATGTGAACTCTATCGATACGACCGAAGTGGAGCAATAGAATATGAACACTATCAATACGAAGCGAGCGGATCGAGACATCATTCGGGTCCACAGCACCCGCAGTGTTCCGAGCAGCACAGGCATGTCGACGCATGTCGTCGCATGTCCGGGCCGGGTTCGTTTGGGGCAAAGACAAAGCCGGTGCCCAAAATAGGACGGCCCAATCGGCGCCGGCCGTCTTGTTCTTGGCTCGCTCTCTCGCGGATATTGCCTCGTCGACCTGCCGGCTCTCCCACGCAATGTTCGCTCGGCCATCGACCGTCAAGATGATGAAGGAAAAGGTTGCACTGATCGGATCTGGGAACTGGTACAGATGCAGCGACGTTTCTGTCGACGATCGAGGGCAGTCCGAGTGGCCTCAGCAGAGCAGATCGTCGTTCATCCCCGCCCGGCTCGGGTGCATCGAGATGTGCAATCGGTCGGCGATACTCACCCACATCTGCGCTGTCTGATGCTGACGCTCCTTCGTCTCCATATCGTATCGACCCTGGCTCGCTGATCAACGTCCTGCGCCCACAGGGGCAGCGTCATTGCCAAGATCTGCGGACGCAACACCAGCGTCTATCCAGAGTTTGCCGACGAAGTGCGCATGTGGGTCTTTGAGGAGATGATCGAAGGCCAGCGACTCTCGGAAATCATCAACACCCGCCACGAGAACGTCAAGTACCTCCCAAACGTCCCGCTGCCCAGAAACATTGTGGCGTATCCTGATCTGCACAAGGCCGTCGAGGATGCCACGCTGCTGGTCTTTGTCATTCCGCACCAAGTAAGCATCAGTCTCTCCCTGATCTCGATGCCAAACCAGCGACAATAGGCCGCATCTGAGTTGTGCCTTTCGCCTTCGATCGCCAATGCGAGGCGGACTGGTCTCTGGATGCTGGCTCTCTCGATGACCTTCACATGTGCTGCTCGCTTTCTTGGTGCTGTTCACATGTCGATCGCATGACGATCGACGGCCGCTTGGGGGCATGTGCACGATGCTCTCTCTCGCCTCGCAGTAACCCTCTCTGTCCAATCCTTGCTGTTGCGCTCCTCCATTCAGTTTGTCAAGGGTGTGTGCCGGGAACTGCAAGGCAACATCCGGCCAGATGCACGTGCGATTTCGCTGATCAAGGGTGTGGATGTTGCCAGCAGCGGCCTGCATCTGATCTCGGATATGATCCGCGAGAACCTCAGCATCGACGTCAGTGTCCTCATGGGCGCCAACATTGCCTCTGAGGTCGCAAAGGAGCAGTTTTGCGAGGCCACCGTCGGCTCCCGGCGCATCAGCGACGGCCAGATCTGGAAGAAGCTCTTTGCCACCTCGTACTTTCATCTGTCTGTTGTCGATGACGTGGCCGGCGTCGAGCTCTGTGGTGCCCTCAAGAACGTCGTGGCCATCGCAGCTGGCCTGGTGGATGGACTCAAGTTTGGAGAAAACACAAAGGCCGCCATTATCCGCATCGGGCTCATGGAAATGAAAAAGTTTGCCAAGATGTTTTACCACGGCGTCAAAGACGAGACCTTTTTCGAAAGCTGTGGTGTTGCCGATGTAAGTGGTTGTCCGCCGATACGGGAATTGTCCGTCGTCCCGGAGCTCCGTCTGGCCCACTCACGTCCCACCCGAAACCGCAGGTGATCACTACATGTTTTGGTGGTCGCAACCGCCTTGTGGCCGAAGCCCGAGTCACCAGCGGAAAGAGTTTTGCTGCGCTGGAGCAAGAAATGCTCAACGGACAGAAGCTACAAGGCACCCTCACCAGCTACGAAGTCCACCAGATCCTCAAGATCAAGAACCTGGTGCAAGAGTTTCCGCTCTTTACCGCAGTCTATCGCATTTGCTATGAGGATGCGCCGCCAAAGTCGATCGTGGAAATGTATCTGTAAAGGACGAGATGGTGATCGAGCACCACCGGAGAGATCGAGTGGATGGTGGTGGAGCATCTCAGTGAGTAACTCGATCCGTGTTGATGGTCGAGTCTGGTCGGGCTGGAACAAGCGGCAGTATCCGATCGCTTCTGTTCACAGATGATGTCTGTTTTATATGGGTGCTCAATATTCTACGATGAAGTCGGAATCCTAAGCGACAGCCGTGTTGATATGTTGCCGTCGACTGGCTGCAGATTATCGCTGGCTTGGGTTGATGGCTGTGGGTGATCGCCGGTCCACCATAACGATACACATCGAAGGGAAATATCGTCGACTGGGATCAGGACATTGTATTGCTGGATGCAGTTCGATACCAGATGGAAAGTGTCCTATGCAATAAGGGAGTGTGAGCTGTTGTGTTGCCTAGATCACTGCCTGAAGCAGATAAGATCGGTGAGGACAAGGCAGAGATTATATGGCCGGCTATTGGATCAGCAGGGTGGTCGATGGATGGCTCAGAAGTTGAGCCGACGGTTGGCCTGATCGGCGCTGGGCATGTTGTTGCTTGCCCAGGGTCCCAGAAGCGAAACGATTGTCTTGAACTTGCCGCGCATGCGATCCAGTGTCTCCAGCATGGCTGCATCTTTGATGTTCTCCTTCGGAAAAGCTTCTGCCATATCTCTGAGCTGCTCAAGATGCTTGATGACCCTGGAGATCCTCAAGCGAAACAGGGATGGGATGAGCAAACAATCCGGGCGATCATCCGGACAGGATGAAAAGGCAGCTGGCTGGATGGAATGGTTTACCTGTGATTGAGTTTGTCCGCGTCAATGCGAGGGGCAATCAGGAGCCAGATCCTCGCAAATCCGAGGAAGAAGCCGATTTCCTTGCCCATCTCGAACGACCTGGCCAGGCCAAGATTCCGTCCTTCGTTCAGGCCGGCCCGTCGTCCGTCACGAAGTCCATCTTCGCGGCCGAGCTCATGGAACATGGTCTCGAGATGGACGAGATCCTCGACATGCTCGGGAGCCTGTGGGTCGTTGTGTGGGGGTTGGCTCATGGCGGACCAGCTGGGGAGTCGAGATCATGCTCAAGGAGGGATCGGGGAATGGCAACAGAGCGACCAAGGAAGCGCAGCAGAAACGGCGGATATTGGATGGTGAAGAGAGGAAAACAGCGACAAATAGCCTCAAACATCTTGTTGACCAGTGCCAGGCCGAATGGAACGATCCAGCTGAGAAACTCTCGCACTCTGTCCAGCCTGGAAGAAGTGTTCCTGGACCTGCAGGTAAAACAGGAGACATCATAGAACCGATTGGTGCTGACAATGGGCCCTCTTGGTCGATCATTGAACGAGGAAGTCATGGACGATCACTACGATGCCCCTGGACCAATTAAAAGGAGAGGGTCCATAAAATGAAGGCGAGTAAGGTGATGGGCACCGTCTCTGGCCACATGAAGATGAACAAACGCAGGGTGGAAGCACCGAGACCAGCCGATAGAAGCATAGTCCGGCCAATGTGGTTTCGCCGTCGCCAATGGGCCATCTCATTTGACGCTTAACGTATTCGACCGATCAGCCTGTGGTTCAAGAGAGGGATAGACCAAAGTGCCAACTTGCTTGACCAATGCATCGAAGTGCGGCCTGTCAGTGGGGAATGCTTGTCTGACTCTGTTTCCATCACATCGCGGACAACATCCAACTCGATTCCACCACTGCACGGATACCATACGTCTCATCCCTCCGCCACCAGTTCGGGTCCCACTCTGTTCGACCACGATTCAAGACACGAGAGGCAGAGGCACACGAGTGGATGAAAGCGTTTGTCTTTCGTTGTTTCAGCGAATGACAGCGACACGATTGTCAGGTCAAACATCGCACCAGGATCAATATCACATCCTTGTCCCAATCGAGATAGTCCATTTGTCATCATGACAGCTGGATACCCTCCAGATGATGTTTTTTTTTTTTTTTGTTTCGGTAGCGCACTTTGATACCCTCCAGATGTATGGACACTGCAATCCCCATCCGCCTTAAAAGCAGGCCGCTTCGTCCCTTTGCCCAGCCCTCAGTCTTCCTCACCTTCCGCACCATCGATCCGACGATACCCCCGGCTATGCTCACCGCCACCAGCAACCAGCTCTATTCCTGCCCCGTCCACGGCACCGACCACGACCTGTTCCTCTCATACCAAGCCCAGACTGATGCCGACACTGTCCAGGCTTTGAAGGAGGTGCTCACCTCGGTCGCCCTCCGTCGATATGGCAAACCCCTTTCCGTCTTCCACGATGTCGACTGCCTCAACAATCCCAGCGACCCTCAAGTCAGCCCTATCAGCGCCCTCCCCACCAGCAAGGCCGTCTTCCTGCTCCTCAGTCTGGAATCGTTTACACCTATGATAGAGAACACCCTTGCCGGTCAGGAGGACAGTGTTCTGCTCGAAATCAAGACCGCTCTCGATCTCAAGGATGCCAATCGCTCCCTCCCTGTCCTTCCCCTCGGTATCGCCACCAAGGAGACCAAGGATGGTGTCGATGTCTTCACTCCCTTCTTGCCGTACATGATGTCCCTCCCCGACGACCCTGCCTTTGCCCCCCTCAACCAGACCCTCGGCAGACTGAGAGACATCCAGTCCTTTGGCTTCCGCCCCGACCAGATGCACAAGCGAGTCTACCGCCTCCTCAACCTCGTCCATCCCATCCCACCCAACATGGATCTCATTACGTCCATCCATCGTAAATACTTTTGCGACTCCAAGTTCCGATTCGATCCCGCCCACCTCGACACCCTGCTCAAGCAGCTCACCCTGACTGGCCGTGCCGTCATCTCTGGCATGGGTGGTATGGGTAAGTCTGTCCTCGCCCTCCAGATCCTGTTCTTCATGATGGGCATTCTGAATGCGAGCAACAAGGAAGACCTCCTCGCCATCAAAGCCGAGACCATCGGCATCAAGCCACAGTACCGCCAGGTCTTCTGGCTCAACTGCTCGACCGAGTCGACTGCCCTCGATGGACTCATCGACATGTTCCCTGGTATCAAGCCCGACGAGATCAAGGAACATGCCTCGAGGTTCCTCGCCAACACTCACGGCTATCTCCTGGTGCTCGACAATGTCGATGACATCAACGTGGTCGACTCTGTGTTTGAGCACTCCAAGTCGGTCGGGTTCAGCGGCGATGTGGTGGTGACGACCCGGCTGGCCTCACTGCCTCCTGGTGCATTCGCCAGTGCTCTTGAGACCAAGGCACCGAGCTTCCAGCACGATCTGCTCCGTCTCGTCAACTGGGACGACAAAACTACACTCGACTATATCCTGTCGTCATCGCCGATGATTGTCCAGCGACTTGTGTCGGACGAGGCCAAGAAGTCACTGGACAGCATCGTGGCCAAGATCAGCGGATATCCACTCGTCATCCAGACATTCATGACGTTTGCCGAGAACTACGACACTCCCCTGTCGGAACTCGAGGCCACGTTTGCAGGAGCATTGGAGCTGCAGGACGGCGAGGACGAGACTCGGTCGTCGCTCAAGGTGATTGTGGATCTGTCGCTGGACTCGCTGATGAGGCGAGGTGATGAGGGCATCGAGGCAGCCAGGCTGTTCGGGGCCCTCAGTCTGGTGGCGCCGACCAACATCCAGTTCGAGTTGATCAAGGCGATTGCACAGAAGATGGAGCTCAAGACCGAAGGTGAGTTGGGATTGAATCGAAGTGCAATCAATGGTGCCAGTGCATGGATGCATGGAATTGATCAGTTTCCTGTCCACAGTGACCGATCTGATCAAGATGATGGTCCAGAGTGGTCTCCTCCGAAGTGGAGCCGAGGGACAGTACTCGACCCACTCGCTCACTCAGCAAGTGGCTCGAGAGTATGTCCAAGCACACAGTGAACTGAATGCCGAAGGAATCGAAGATACTATGGGTGAAGTGCTGCTCGAGCTGACCGGATCGCTTCTCACGGACACCTATCCCTACGTGAATCATCTCGAAGGGTTCGCTAAGGTGGTGACAATCAACGGTTATACCAAGGACCTTCACCAACAAATTGACTACCACGCCGCTCGGATTGCATCCGATCGCGGATTTTACAGTCAAGCCAAGGACTTGTACGAACGGCATCTCTCCAAATGCATCCAGTATTACGGCACACGGGAGAATCCACAAGTGGTTGAGGCCATTCATCATCTGGGAAACGTTTTCTTCGCGCAGGGGCAGTATATGACCGCCCTCAAGTACTACCAGGAAGAATTGGAGATGGAGACCAAAATATATGGCACCCGAGAACACCGAACAATCGCCTCCACGATCCACAGTTTCGGTGATGTGGCCATGTCGCTGGGCGACAACGAGGCTGCCCTCAAGCACTACCAGGAGGCACTCGACATCTATACCAAGGTTTATGGCACACGAGAGCACCTAGAGATTGCCGCCACGATTCATAACATGGGCAACATCGCCTACACCCAAGGCAATTACGAGGTTGCTCTCGAATACTACAAGGAATCGCGCGACATCAACATCACGATCCATGGCACTCGTGAGCATCCCAAGGTCGCAGCCACGATCAATAGCATAGGAAATGCCGTCAACAGACTGGGCAACACCGAGGCCGCATTCGAATGCTACCAAGAGTCCCTCGATATTATGGTCAAAGTTTATTGTTCCCGGGAACATCCATGGATTGGCACTGCACTCAACCAACTAGGCTGTATAGCCTACTCCCAACGCAACTACGAGACCGCCCTCAAGTACTACCAGGAGTCGGTTGATATCAAGATCAAGGTCTATAACACACGGGAGCACCATTCGATTGCTGCCACCCTCTTCAATATGGGCAATGTCGCCTACACCCAAGGTGACCTCGAGGCCGCTCTAAATTATTACCAAGAGTCGCACGACATCAAAGCCAAGATCTACGGCAAGCGAGAGCATCCCGAAGTCGCCGACACGATCCGCCACATGGGTCATGTCGCCTCATCTCAAGGCAACTACGAGGTTGCCCTCACACACTACCAGGAAGCGATCGACATCTATAAGAAAATTCATGGCACTCGACTAAATACTGACGCTGCCTCCACGCTCAGAGACATGGCGCAGGTTGCGGAGAAGCAAGGGGATTTTTCAGCCATGGTTCAACTTAAGGACGAGGCGGGGGTTATTCAAATGTTGTCTCAATGGGTAATTGTTGACACCAACATTGGTGCCTATCGACATTATCCATAATCTAGGACGATTCGTGGGCAGTACCAGCGCATTTTCAAGCCCTATCGTTTGTTCCTGTTCTCGTGGACAACGAAAAGCTGATGAATATATAATCTCACGCGCTGACCCATCCCAGGAGCGTGACTCTTGTTCATCCTTCTTGCTTCATTATATCCATAGCCAACTTCATTCAAGAAGACAAGCCATCAAGTCCAACAGGTTGGTACCCCGGCACGCTGAGTACACAGGCAAGCCTATCTACTCCTGTTGCAGCCTAATGCTGCCTCAGCTGCCCACAAGGTCTGAGACCAAGCGGGTGAACACATTTTCGAGCAGTTCCAACAAGGGAACAGCAGGATCGAGGGGAGGTCGGGGTGGTGGAGTGGCAAGTGCTGGCACTATACTACGCTGTGATGAGGGTGCAGGGAGAGACTGCAAGGGTGGGACTACACTGAGTGTGGGAACGGGTGCTGGTGCAGGGTGTGCACCAAGTGCGAATGCTCGGAAGGCAGTGCGGGGAGCGGGTACATGAGCAAGCGATCCAAGTGCGGGAGGGGTGCGACTGCGAGGGGGAGTGCGATCGAAAGAGCAGGTCCAGCAGGCTGACCCTCCAATGCACTGCTAACTATGACGAGTTGTCATAGCCGAGTCATTCGATAGTACACAGTGTCAATCAAGGATCCGAGGCAGGAGTCAGTCAAACTCGGGATCAAGGCCACTTGCTGAGCCCCTGGAGGATGTAGATGGCTCTATCGTGGCCTTGCTCCGCCGACTTGCGGTACCAAAAGACAGCAATGTCGATGTTGTTGGCAACACCACGGCCAAACTGATAACAATCACCAAGCTCGAACTGTCCGTTCCGATTGCCCTGTTCGGCTGACTTGCGATACCACTCAGCAGCTTTGGGGGTGATCTTCAGGGACTCCATCTCCCCAGCGATGGCAATATCCAAGCATCCACTGTCCGTACGAATTGCCTTGCTCGGCCGACTTCCCAAACCACTTGAATGCCTTTCTTGCGTTTTGCAACACGTTTCCCTGATACCGAAAACATTCACTGAACCACAACTGGCTGTCGCTGTGGCCGTCGTTGGCAAGTTGCTCAAATATATCCGCCGCTGCTTGTTCCTCCACTGCGACTCCGAACCCTTGGAATAGACACACGGCCATAAGATGCCTGCATAGCCAGTCTCGCTCCGATCCCAGCTGACACAGATTGAAGAGCTTGCGGGCAACGGGTGAGTCGGAGCAGTGGGAGCGCGATACAGCTAGACACTCGTCTTCTCCAAGTGGGAACTCAGGAGACTTGCTGTCTCGGATCGTTTTGATCCCCTTCTGTTCGTCTCGCACGGTGCCCCGGCCGAGATAGTGCATCCATCCGACCATGTGTGTGGCGATGGGTTTGAGGACTGGGTCAGTGGACAGGGTGCTGACTTCCTGCCAGTGGTTGAGCGCATTGACATCGCTCTGCTCGACATCATGGCCAATGAGCGAGAACCATCCACGGAGGAATGCGCTATGAAGTCGACCGTCGACATTGCCTTGATCTGCTGCCTTGGAATACCACAGGATGGCTGTGTCGTAGTCTTGATCGATGCCCTCGCCGCTCTCGTAGCATCGACCGAGGACAACTTGGGCACGGGCAAGTCCATTTTCTGCAAGGCTACGATATAAATCGAATGCCTTGGAGTGATTCTGACGAACCATGTTGCCGCTGCGGTGAAGCTCAGCCAGATGGAACTGGGCCACCAAGTGTTCAGCGCCAGCGGCCTTCTTCAGATATTGGACACTTTGATATCGCTTGGCTCGCCGCCGAGACTTGTAAGGCGAGGGCTGGGAGAAAAGTTCAGCTTGCAGGATCCTTGCCAGGAGATATGAAGCCGATGCGTTTCCCTGGTCAGCTAGTTCGATGAGCCAGGATCGGTCGGATGCGGCGAGATCATCACAGTGCAGGGAGATGACAATCTGATCGCTCGGTGTGAGGCCGATCCGCATCTGTCCGTCTGGACGGCACAGTTCTGCCTTCTGACACCATGAGTGGAAACGAGGAACCTTGGAGCTCAGGAGGGGTCGGGCTCGTTTGCATACTCTGAGCAGGATCTTGATGGTGTTGTGATCGAGAGCGGCCTGGAAGCTGTCGTTGCAGCATATGATGGTGAATCTATCTGGGTCGTGGTCGTCTATGGCCAATCGAGCCATGTCGGTTGAGGATGTGGAGGACTGTAATGTGAGGAGAGTGTAATGATGATATCCAGGCGATGATGATGTCCAGGCGATGAGGCGAGATGGGTGAAATGGAATGAGAGTGGCACAGTCACCAAACCAGGATCGCATTGGATCCATGGATCGAGTGCCAGTCAATCAGTACGTGTCACCCGCATTCCCACACATCCAGCACCTGTCATTACCACCGGCGTTGGATATCGATTGGTTGGCAGCAGCTCACTCACCCAGACCTGCAACGCCGTCCTCCATCGACAACTGTCATGATGATCACCATCAGGACCCACAGATCCAATGCCGAGACAGAGATGGGGTTGGGAATCGAGACAGCGACACAGAGGAGATACACAGATCTTCCGATGTGCCCAACTGGACTCAGCTGGTCTGGACGTGGTGAGTAGTGAGCGAGTGGTGAGTGAGTGGTTGTCGATGGACATCATTGCCTTAATGTGCAACCACACCACACACGTGCAACCACCAGTCCACGTGCTTGCGGATCGCTCCGGATCCAGTGCACTTGGCTCGATTCGGATTGCGCCGTCACACAACACAGCCACAGCTCAGCCACACATGGGTCCCAGCGACTTTGCCATTCCCATGGTGTTTCGCCTTCCCACGCCTCTGGCTCCGTTTGTCGATATAAATACCCCCTCACTCGCTTCGACTTCTGCCAACCACCCATCTCCATCTCCATCTCATATCATCTCATCCAATCCATGACGCCCGTGCCTGCATCCGCCGCCGAGTCGTGGCTGCTCTGGCTCCTGCCCTTCCTCGCCCACGAACAGGCGTCGCTGCTCGTCAGCCACGTCGTCTCGCTCGGCCATGCCGCCAACAGCGGTTGGACCCATCTGCAGCAGCAGCTGACCGGTGGCAGCCTCAAGCCCATCTACGATCTCTTCAGCCAGTCCCAGCTGCAGATGCTGCTGCTGGCCTGGGTCCCGGTCCACTTTGGCAACTACATCAACACCGGCATCTACGTCGTCGACATGTTCAGTGAGTGTTGTGCAGCCGAGTAGAGACGAGCCGAGACGAGCCTGTCCCCGGTGCTGCTCTCGTTCCGCACAGCAGCATGTCCTCGGGGTGGCTCTGTCTCTCGGGTGACTGTCCGTTCCCGCAGTGCTGACTCTCGACTCGCCCCACAGCAACCTCCGCCATCGTCACCATCGGCCTCGCCCTTGCCAAGTACATCTGGGACAACATCGGCAGCTGGATGCTCACTTCCGAAGACATCAGTCTCCGCGTCGAATACTTCCGCATCGACTCGTACGGCGAGCGCTGTGTCAACGAGCACTATCTGTCGCTCGCCTGGCTGATCTCCAAGCTGGCCAAGGGCCAGGAGGTCGGCGAGTTCCGGCTCGTCCCCTTCGAGTCCTCGGCCGGCATTTCTGGTACTCTCGCTGCCGGCTCAGCAGCAATGAGCAAGCCCGCAGCCTCAGACTCGGACCCGACCAAGGAGCCTGAGGGCGACGCCAAGCCGGGGAAGAGCGAGCTCGGTGCAGACGGCGCCATCTCGAACGACTCAGACGATGTCGATGACGAGGACATCTCGGACTTCAACATCCTCCCCGTCGACAACAGCAAGAGCATGAAGCTCCAGGACGACGGCGACACCTTCCGCGTCTGGTTCGAAAAGGCCGACAATGGCCAGGAAAACAACAACTCGGAGTCGTCTCGCTCGATGCGCGCCGGAGCCGAGCCCACGATCGTCATCTGCCCCGAGACCCCCGGCAAAAAGTACAACGTCGAGTGGATCCGCAACTGGGTCATCAAGGTCGCCCGCCAGTTCGAGCGCCATCGGAAGCGCAACAAGACCCGAGGCCGCTACGAGCGAGTCGCTGCCTCCTGGGACGCCGGCTCATACTACTGGAACATGACCTGCACTCTGCACTCGAGGTGAGCCATTCACCGTGAATCGGGCAGCCGGGATCGGGTCGCTTCTGTTGGTGCCAGCACATGCCTCGGTCCATCGCACCGACACAGCATCCATCGTCGCCCTGGCCATCTGCTTCGTCGCTGACCCACGCTGCCTGTGCATCTATCCAGCCGCGGCATCGACGCCGTTTCGCTCGACATGGCCCAGGAGAAGCAGTTGCGCAAGGACATTGCCACCTTCACGGCCGATCGCGAGTTCTACGCCCGCATGGGCATTCCCTACCGCCGCGGCTATCTGTTCTCAGGCCGACCGGGCACCGGCAAGTCCAGCCTGGTCAACGCCCTGTCCTCGTCGCTCAACCGCGACCTCTACTACATCAACCTCCGGGAGATCAAGGACGACAGCGCCCTGCAGTCGGCCTTCTCCAGCATCCCCAAGAACTCTCTGATTGTTTTTGAGGACATTGATGCCCAGTCCAAGACGGTGCACTCGCGGACCAGCCGTGCCCTGCTGCATGCCGAGATGCCTGCGTTTGAGGACATTAGCATCATGGGTCCTTCGCTGGACCAGAAGGCCAGGCTGTTTTCGACCGGCTTCACCCTCTCGGCGCTGCTCAACTGCCTCGACGGCTATGTCACCGAGGAGGGCATGATTGTCATCATGACGAGCAACCACCCCGAAGTCCTGGACCCGGCCCTGATCCGGCCCGGCCGCATCGACCTGCACATGGACCTGGGCTACTGCACCCAGTACCAGTTCGCGCACATGTACCGCGCCGTCATGGACGATCCTGCTGCTGTGCTCGAGGGCGTCGAGACCCTCCCCGAGCACGTCATCTCCCCTGCCGACGCCATGCGGATCATGATCCTGAACCGGGCTGCTCCCGACAGCGTGGTCCCGGAGCTCCTGAAGCGGGCCTCGGAGATCCAGGCTGGCGCAAAGTCCGAGTGGGAGATTGAGCAGGCGATCAAGGAAGCGTATCGGGCACAGCAGGAGCGCGAGGAAGAGCAGAAGCGCGAGGAAGAGCAGAAGCAGAATGAGAAAGAGAAGGCCGAGAACGGCGACTCGGACGGCAAGGACGGCAAGGACGCTTCGGCCGAGAAGGACACTTCTGGATCCAAGCCAAGCGACGGCGACTCGTAAACTGGCTGATATACTGCCAACAGCGGTCCAAGCACCACCAACTTTGCACCCGCCTCATGTGCATCCATCCCATCCCATTAATACCCACTCTGTATCATCTCATCGACCTGCTCTCTGCATGCACACCTGGACACTCCACAATGGTGCGGCTGTCTCGCATGCCAATATACACATGTCCAGTCCACGACTCTTGCTGCCCATGAGACAACCAGGACGGCGTAAGACCCGGGCCGATCTGATTCTGCTGAGTGGAAGGTCGATTCGGCTTCATTTCACAGCCTCTGCTATGTGACAGCACTTGGGTGCACGGCAGAGATCAGCTGTGTTGTCCAGTAGCCACGGCTGATCGGCATCTTGTGCGATGCCGCCGTCCGGGGCTTGCCGGTGATACCCTCTCAGAGTGATACCGTCGTCAGGATGGGACAAATAGACCTGGCTCATCTGTCCGTGCTGCTGCCACCGTTTCCAGCCGCGAGAGCGACTCACATGCCACTCTCCATCGTCGACTCTACATATTCTGCTCTATTTCGTGTCCTTCCTGGCCAAGCACAGCTGATGCTGATGTGTGGCAGCGGCTCTGACCACGTCGATTTCTTATCATCGATTCATTAGCGAGGCCGAGTCCACCAAGCGGCTGTATGGGGGCCTAACGATCAGCCAAGCCGTCCAGAAGCCACCCTGCGTCTACCTCGACAAGATGTGCACCAGGACGGCTCGCAGTGGAGAGTTGGCAGCCTGAACGGGATGTGGGTCTCAGCGTCACTGTCGAGCTGCCTTTGGGGAAGTGACTGGCTCCCACCCGCGAGGCTCATCCGAAACCCGACATCCAGTTCCCTGAGGTACGCATTCCGATGTCAGGACTGTGCTGACGGGGGCGTGCATCCTTCGGTCAGGAGTATGTCTCCGTTGTTGAATACTCAGTCTGTTTTATGTGGCCCGGGGAAACAGTCGACAACGGGTCTGTTGTTTGCAAGTTCGTTCCTGATCCCAACGAGTTGCTGAGATGGTCGCATTCATCATGGATCGAGTCAGACACCGGCCCGATTCCATTCTTCTCGGATGCACGATGCTCCATCCATCGCCATAGGCAGCAATCTCGGCACCAAGACAATCATGGCTCCGTCATGGCTTGATCACACCTCCATGACCATGAGCAGCGTCAAGCAACGACATCAAATGTCATGGCGCCTTCGAATCGTCCTGGACCAATCACCTCCGTCTTGGATCGAGGGCGTGGACAAGCCAACTCCTGTGGTTCGATTTGGTCCTGCCTTTCTCAATCCACCAGACGATTCTGGCAGACGTGTCTCGACAGAACAGACTTACTCACCGACCCCAGAGACCCGCCTGTTCCGTGTGGCTGCAGAGATGGACGGCCCCTTCGACCACTTCCTCGAACAAGCCGAGCTGCTCCGATATAAGTACAACCTCCTCGCAAACGGCATTGACGATGCCGCCCTGGTGAGTTTGGAGTGGCCACATCACAGAAGCCATGAGACATCTGCTCTGGTGGCGCTGGGCTAACATTCAGGTCAATCAGATCCTCGGCATGTCGGAGGCAGACATGCAAGAGGTGGACCTCGATTTAGGAGGCAAGATTCGGGTCCGAAGAGCCCAGGAGCAGCATCGCCAGCAACCACATTCCTCAATGCCTTCATCCACGGCCGAACCCAACACCGAAATCAATCCAGCGACCCCGGATATGCGCCCTCAACATTACACACCTGCAATCCCAACTGAAGGATGGAGGTGTCAGCTGGACTATGATGTCCACGATGTGTTCATCAGGTGAGTACGAAACCGAGCATCTCGCCGAGCACCGCCTCTTGTGGCAATCAGTGCTAACCCACAACCAGCTATCGAGTCAGGAGCGAGGCCGACAAAGCCACTGCTCTTCATGGAGCTCTGGCAGCCCACGGTCGGAACGAGACAGCCCTCCATCCGCACATCGACAGCCTCTGTCTCTGCAACAGCGACGATTTCGAGCAGGGCTTCATCAGTGGGCTGTATCAGTCAAGTGTGATCGTGGTGTTGCTCTCGGAGGAGGTTTGAGGCGCACCGTCGAAGCCCATGTCAAGGATGACAACCAACTACTCGAGGTAATGTGAAATCCAAATCCAAGTTGTGCATAGAACAGAAGCTGGCCATATCGGGGTCAATATTCGCATCAACCATGTTTCATGCTCAACAATAGATCCAGCACGCCCTCAAGCGGATGAAGGACACTGCCGGCACCGACCACCCTGTCATCGTCCAACCAGTTCTCATATGGTCGTCGGTGCAGACCATCGACGGCAGAATGGCGTCGATCAAGCACTTTCCACCTGTGGAGGACTTCCCAAAATGCGCCCCGATCCACAGGAAGTCACCGCTTTTCGATGGACGACCAATGACCATCCAGCAAACATTCAAGGAGCTGATGAAACTCCAGGCTCTCGACGCCGCGGATATCAGTGCTCTCAGAAGGTGAGCACCACTTGGCGCTTTGACGGTCAGACTGTCCGATATGCGATCGTTTGGGGAGCACATCGACACCATCACGCCGGAACACAGCCATCCACCCACTGCCGATTTACTTGGACTCACGGCCGATGGAGACGAATGACTGAACTGAGCCATCGATCCACAGACTCGTCCCCAGTATCCGAAACCTGATCACCAAGACCAAGACTGCTGCAGATCAAGGAGCAACATACCACAAGGATAGTCCCATCCAGCTCACCGCCGACCAGGATTCGCTCTTGCGATCCCTCCTCGATCCAGTCGACTCCACTTCCGACAGAAGGGCACTCGAGGATCTGTATGTCGAGGGAACCCGCCAGTGGCTGTTCGACCAAACAACCGACTGGGTCAACCAGGACACCACCGACACTGTCCTGTGGGTCAATGCCGTTGCTGGAGTGGGCAAATCTGTCGCTGCTGCCCAGATCGCCAACATCCTCACAGCCACCAACCAGCTGGTGTCGGCGCTGTTCCTCAAATACAATGACATCCGCAAGAGCGATCCACGAGTGGTGCTGAACACCATCGCATACGGTCTGTGCAAGTGGCACTCGCCGATTGGCCGCAAGCTGCTCGAGGCTGGCCACACCAAGGACAGTCTCGACAAGATGAGCATCCCCGATCTGTTCAGGGCCGTGATTGAGGATCCACTCGAAGCCATCGGCGACTACAGACCCAAGGGATCAGTGATGATCCTGGTGGATGCACTCGACGAGTGTTCTCCGCGCGACCAGCTGCTCAGTCTGCTTGCCTGGCGCTTCGTCGAGCTGAACAAGACCCGTCCATGGCTCAAGTTGCTGCTGACATCCCGTCCCGAAGAGGACATCAAGGCAGCATTCGATGGAGTCCCGACCAAGACAATCGAACCCTCGAGCGAGGAGAACGTCCGTGACCTCGAGGTGTTCATCCGCCACCGACTGCGAGCGTATGACACTCTCAGTGACTCGGATCGCACCGAGGCAGTCGCCATCCTGCTGGACCAGTCCAAGACATTCGTGTGGATCAGCCTGCTCCTCAACACCGTCGACGCAGCATCCAGAGCCGGCCCAGTCGATCCTGACCCCACAGATCATCGCCCATGTGTTTGGACTCGAGATCGGCGTCGTTCGCGAGTGTCTCAAGAGCCTCAGTCTGGTCCTCGATCCTGGCGCCAATAGATTGGGTCCCCGAGGCAGCCAGTCCACCAACACCGAAGTCAAGTTCAACCACAAGTCGGTGGCGGACTATCTCCTCGGCGACGCATCGGCTGGCTATCCGTGGCATGTGTCGGACTCGTTCCACACGATGTTTGCCAAGGGATGTCTCGGCGTGATCCTCTCGCACGAGCCAGTGATCAACATCTGCGAGATCTTCGACTTTCACGACAAGATCCCAGACCTCGAGGACAGGGTCGCAGCCAAGATCACACCGTCGCTGCGATACAGCGTCGCCCACTGGATCACACACTTTGTGTGGTGTGTGGAAGGAGTGGCCGAGTCGAGTCCGGTGTGGCAGTCGGCCGAGATGGTCGATGTGGCAGCGGTGCTCACTCGGTTCGTCAAGACGCATGTGTTCTTCTGGCTCGAGTGTGGGTCGCTCACACATGTGGTCAAGCCGATCATTGAGCAACTGGCTGTGCTGCGAGGAGTGACCAACATGGCACCCAGCACCATCGTCGACGACACCACGAAGGAACTGGTCAAGGACACGTATCGATTCATCCGCGAGTTTGCCGATCCGATCATCAAGAGTGCACCACAGGTGTACAACTCGGGATATGCATTCACACCAAAGGAGACAACGATCTACAAGACATATGCCGACCAACTCGAGGACAAGATCCCGTTCCTGGTCACGGCTGGTCCAGCACCCACCTGGGATCCGTGGATGATGACACTCACAGGACATACACACTGGGTGAACTCTGCGGCGATCTCGCCCAATGGCAAGTGGATTGTCTCTGGCTCGGTCGACAACAAGATCAAAGTGTGGGATGGAGTACTGGCCAGCTGAAACACACCCTCCGGGGATATACCAACTGGGTTACCTCCGTCATTATGGCACATGGGAGCAACTGGATCATTTCTGCTTCTGGCGACCACAAAATCAAGATATGGGATGCCGCCTCAGGTCGTCTGAAACAAATTCTTGATGGCCACGACAGCTACCTAATATCAATTGTTATCTCAGCCGATAGTAAGTTTATCAGGTCTCGGGATATCTATGCCAATCAAATCCTCTGGAGCTAGCGAAGCAATGGATTTGCTCGTGTCTCCGAAGCTTCTGTCTACCATAAAATTGTATTCCACCCACCCTTTTTGAATGAGTGGATCAAAGTCGACAATGCACCCCAGTGGATTCGCCATGCCAACGATATTGTCAAAGTTCCTCAATACTTATTCGATGAAGATTGGGATATCCATACATTAACTCCGTCTGGTGGTCTTGTCATGGTCAAAACTCATCCTGTTGTCATTCAGGTGAGCTTTTTCCTCCGCCATATTCGATTCTTGGCCCATCACTGACACCTTCACCACCAGCCAAGCTTCTGTTTCACATTCCCTGCCAGCACAAACCTCATCCAACAACGTAATCGAATCAATCATCGTGAATAATTCATAGCATGTCAGAGACGTCAATAACAAGCGAGTCGGGATGGGTATGAAGTCGCCAAATACCGTCAAATGAAACAATCTCGGCGACAATTTATACACAAACGAAGTTGCCCAAGAAATGGCCCAAACCATCACGTCGAGCATTGGGCTCCTCATTGAACATGTTAAAAACTTCAAGTGGCGAGTCAAGTTTCCAAACTCCAATTGATCAATCAATGGGAAGCAAGGAATATCTCCGGTCCAACCTTGAATGGGTATTGTATGGCTTTTTGCCCACTCAGTCTCGACCGTTAACGCAGATTTTATAACAGCAAAACTCTTCAATCAGTCTGATTTATTACCGCAAGCAACGGATTTCCACCCAGTTGTCTCTCCCGAGCAAGTATTTGTCCTCGGTCGTAGAAGAGCATGTCATCAAATCAAACGAACTCAAGATACCTTTAAGAGTTCTCTTATCGGGGAGTAAGATGATCAGTTCCAGTGGGATGACAAACCGCTCTATCTGGGATGGTTGGATGGTCAGTTCACGGGAGCAATTAATTTGAGGCAAATCGATCATCAAACGTCCACAGAATGCGGCGTGAGTCCTCACGCTCACCTATTTGCAGATGTTGTATTTGGCCCGTTGTATGAAATTTGAAATCATGTTTACATATTGAGGGCCTTGAGTCTGTTGGTGGCATCTTCATGACCTTGGTCGGCGGACTTTCGATACCACATAATGGCACTGTTGGTGTCTTCGGCAAGACCAACGCCGAATCGATAGCAGTCGCCGAGTTCAGCCTGTCCATATCGATTGTCTTGCTCGGCTGATTTGCGATACCACTCAAGTGCTTTGGATTCGTCCAGGCTCGTAGCGCGTCCGCCACAGTAGCACCAACCAACCATCCACTGCCCATACGAGTTGCCTTGGTTGGCCGACTCGTTGTACCACTCGAATGCCTTTGCTTCGTCCTCCGATACTCCCCGGCCCCAGTAGAGACACATTCCGATCCAGAACTGGCTGTCACTATGGCCTTCGTTGGCGAGCTGTTCGAAAACACCCGCTGCCTTCATCCAGTCCTCTGCGGCTCCGAATCCATGGAACACACACACACGGCCATGAGGTGCCTGCAAAGCCAGTCTCGATTTGATCCCAGCTTGCATAGCGTAAAGAACTTGCGAGCTTCGGGTGAGGCGGAGCCCACACTATTCCATCGTGATGCCAGGCACTCGGCCTCCCCGAGCTTGAACACATCCGACTTGTTCTCGCGGATGATCTTGATACCCTTTTGCATGTCCTGCTTGGTGCCTCGGCCAAGATAGTGCATCCACCCGACCATGTGTGCGGCGATAGGCTTGAGGGCCGCGTCGGTGGACTTGTTGCTAACTTCTTGCCAGTACCAGAGTGCGCTGCGGTCACTCTTGGTCACCCCCTCGCCCAGGAAAGCGAGCCAGCCAAGCTGGAAGGATGCTTCGAGGCTGCCACGGTCAGCAGCGGCCTTGAAGAGCTGGGCAGCAAGCTTCCAACCCGCGTGGCGGGCAGGGAGACCTTCCGATACCACCTTGGCGGCATCGAGACAAGCATCGGGATGGCCTTGCTTGGCGCGAGTGATCAGGTTGACTGGGATATCGGTAGAGTCGATGCCATCAAACTTGAGTTCGGGGGGACGACTGGACTGGGACGGGGAGCGACGGTTTATATCGAGGCTGCCGAAATGGCTGGCAACCCAGCCGACGGAAGGGGTCTTGACAGTGCCGAGAGCGGGGCCGGCAGCGACGGCGGCATGACTGTATGGCTTGAGGATGACAAGGATATCAGGGAAGGCAGGGCGGTGGGTCGGGTCGTGGGCCCAGCAGCGTTCGATGAGCGCCCAGACGTCGTCGGGAATGGCGCTGATCCGCTTGGGGCGCTTGCCCTTGCAGGAAATGCGTTCAATCACCCGAGCGCGCATGGCTTGTCCGTCCTCTGTCGTCCAGACAGGCTTGGCATCGTTGAGGACCTCGTACATGGTGATGGCAAATGCATAAACATCGGTCTTCATGGTAGATCCGCTGGGGTCATCGTCGAGCATCTCGGGAGCCATATAGCCTTCGGTGCCGCCAGTCGGCCTGCTGTTTCGGTTGCGGTCCATCGAGGCAGAAGTGTGCTTGGTGCGGGACATGCCAAAGTCGGTGATGACAGCACTAAACGAGGCATTCAGGAGGATGTTCAGGGCCTTGAGGTCGCCATGGATGATGCGGCGGCCGTGAAGATATGCCATCCCCGAAGCCACTTGGTAGAGCAGACGGAGCTTCTCCTCGAGTGGCACAGTGTTGTTGGCAACATAGTCACGCACTGTGCCGTTGGGCATGAACGGCGAGACCATGAATGGAGGAATCGGGTTGCCGCCCTCGTCCTGGTCGCAGGCGCCGAGCAGCGGTAGGATGTGTGGATGGCTGAGCTGACTCGATATGTTGATCTCATCGCGGTGATCAATGAGTTCGCGCTTGCTGCATGCGCCGAGGAGCTGCTTGATGGCGACCTGGGAGCCAAAGTATGTGCCGGTGAAGACCTCGCCAAAGCCACCACGGCCGATGGGGTTGGCCGAGCGGCCGGTGATGTCGCTGGGCGAGATGTACCAGGACTGGCACTCGGCGGGGGGCCGAACAATCCTCTGGCTGGCCATGTTGCAGGGGCGGGTGGAAGCAAGTGGGCGGAAGCAAGTGGGTGCAAGCCAGAGACGAGACGAGGGGAGACGAGGGAAAGGTCGAAAGCGAGGAGCGAAATGCATCGAAATGTCCCAATGCACGACACTATCGCCAAATGGAGCGATTTTGAGTGACACGGTCGCGACTTGCGAGCCTTGGACGAGGCAAATATCGCAGGCCAGGAACACTTGACCTGAGCAATACGATCGTGGTACGATTTTCTTGCAAACTACCCTTGGCCAACATTCTCGGAATCGATCAGGAGCTGGATCCTAGGGTCCTGCAATTGAGATTTACGTGTTGCTACAGATGATCTGCGCGGCATGTCTCTGCTGCCAGTCCAGTCCCGACCACACCAACGAAAGGGCGAGAGCGGTAGCGGCAGTTGCGGTCACTGCAAGTCATGGCAAGATGAGGGAGGAAGTCGCATCGCAGAGAGCAGATCGCTGGAACAACTCGGCGAGCGGATTATAGGGCTTATGTGCCGATCGAAGCCGTTCAGTCCATGCATTGAGATGTCCCGTTTCAGGATGAGTTCGTAATGTGACTCACATACACGAATGTCACAGTTGCTGCGCTTCGAACGCCTGGGACAAGCCCTGTGCCACAGCCAAGCCACACCCTTGGCGAGCTTGTCTATCAGGCCTTGCTGCAGCCCCGCCGTGGCGTGTTCACAGGGAGCGGGGGCGTTGCCTGCGCTTCCAACAAAGAGTCGCTCTCGCACAGGTTTCAGAATCGCCGCCTTGCACCACAAACAGAGGGCCTTGCATCACGGTATCAGTCCAAGCATATCGACCAGACAAGGCCAGCGGGAGTCACAAAACGTGTCGGCTGTTTCCCTTCTCGATCCACTGAAGGCCACGGAGACGCTTTGGGGATCCCATGTTTCAGATGAGCGCGTTGGCGCCTCACGTTGCCCTCCTCCACCAAGCGAGCCCACGGCCATAGAAAAGGACGGTGCCGCTCTCGCCCCGTTCGAATCCCCAAGGTTGATGCTGAGACCTTCCGAACGCTGGGACACCATGATTCTATCTCAACTTGCGTCTCTTCTTGGGTTCTCGGCTGCCCTCAACTCCACTGCCCCGTCAAGGCTCACTCCCACTGCTGGGCAGTTTCCGGTGAGACTAGCTCTCCTTGCGCATCCCAGCGGTTCAGATATGGATAGAACCGACCGAGGAGCTGATCGATGGCAAACGTGCCTTGCCTCAGAGCTGGAGTTGGAAATCAAGGACGGCGCCCAGAACTTGACAGGCTGACCTGATTCGCTACTCACACTTGATATCCTCGCTTTGTCAAGACCGTCTGGAACAATGGATCTTCGTACTCAATCCCGCTCACATGGACAATTAACGGCGATGGCCGATATACTTCGGGCGATCTTGTTCAAATTCTCATTTATCCTGCTGTAAGTTGATTTCTCCAAAGCAAATGGCTCTTACGCAATGTACCATCCGGAGCATCCATCTTTGGTGGCGGATATTGACCCCGCTTTCGTTTGATTCCATACTCTGAATAGAGTGAATTAGCAGCATCCTTCACCAATGGTCAAATCGGACAGCTTACCGTGCCCAATGGCGGATCTCAAACTGTTCAAGTGACCGTCCCGCCAGATACACCTTCAAATGTCTATGAAGTGGAAATTTTGGATCCTAATTCAGATGGCTTTTATTCAGTAATCGGAACCGTCACAGTCAAGGATGTTGCGCCAACACCTCCGCCACCGCCTCCAAGCACCTCATCGGTAAGCTATCCACTGTTGAACAATAATTCAACCCTCTCTCCCTCCCACATTCTCGCATGCAACTCACAGAATCTCGTCCTTGTCCTTGACATTTGTCCAGTCCTCAACCACGACCACGACCACGACCAAGACGACAACGACGACCACGACCACGACGACGACCACGACGACGATCAGATCCTCCACAACCACCACTGCGACGTCTTCGCTGGCGTCCTCATCTTCGTCTTCTCCCCTGTCGTCCACCACAACAACCAGCTTGTCTCCGCTGAGTACCGTCGCCGTCCCTCCTTCCCCCACCCAGCCAGATGGCACGGCCGGAGGAAGCGGTGCAGGCGGAGGCGCAAGTGTATCCCCCAGTCCGTCTCCTTCGCCACTGCCACAAGGCTCGCCCCCAAACCCTCTACTCATTACTGCTGGAGTGGTTGGTGGGGCAGCTGTCGTCGGCACGTTTGCCTTCTTGGGAACAAAGTACTACCACCAGAGACTGGGCAAGTCCGCCAATGTCACCATGAACTGCGAACAAGGCGAGCAAGTCCTGCAGAGTCCAAAGCCCCACCACCACCACCAAGACCGACATCACCACCATGACCATGACCGTCACCACCACCATGACCAAGACCGACATCACCACCACCACCATTCTCACCACGAATTGCCTCACCCTCAACCCCCTCCACAACCTAATCCTCAACAACCCCAGAATCCTGCTGAGCCCAACGATCCTGCCCACGCAGATGCCAATCCAAACCGCGGACAACCTCTCCAGCCAAACAAAAACAACACCCCACCCCTTGCGAACCATCCAAGTTCAAGTAACCCAATCCCCCAATCTGGTGGTGGCGGCGGCGTTCCCGATAGCATTAGTGGCATCCCTGCACCTGGCACGGGCGGCGGAGTCTCTGGCCCCGTCGTCGCCTCAGGAATCGTCAAGGTCATGGCCCCATCCATCCCGTTTGCCAAGTACATTGCCATGAGAACGACAAAAGAAAACGGTTCCGCCGAGCCTCATAACGATCTGTTGGTCGATGTGCCTCATGGGGCCATTGCCCTTGACGGCTCAAATCCTTACTCCTACCATCATGTTGCCGGACAGGCCTATCAAGGAAACAACCTCGCCGAAGTCATGTTCTCGAGAGCTGCTGCCGGTCCGAGTGAAATCGACATCTGGACCTACCAGAGGGTGTGTGTGCTGGAAGAATGGCCCAACGGCTGGTGTCTCATTGAGAACGAACACCGTCAACGCGGCTATGCGCCCACGAACCATCTCAGACGACTTTGATCTGACAACGCCTCGCACAAAAACACACGGGGCACCCAACAGACAACGAGCTGCCCGATTTCTCTCTTGTATGAATGATGTTATCTTCTATTCGATTATCAATACGAAATGATTGGATTCTTACCACCACTGCTGCCTCCAGTCACCTGGGCGATTATCAGCTTGAGAGCCTGTCCGTATTCCTTGGCTGATCCTCAGAGGTGCTAGACGACATGAGCAATCTGGGAAGCAAGGGTGGTGGAACAGGTAGCGTCCGTGTCTCTGTCGAGTCGGAGGTCGTTGGCTCGTTCTGGGTTGGCCTCGGATTTGAGCGGCGAGGGCTTTGATCCTCTGTCGACACTGTTCTGTTCGCGGGTGTTGATCGAGCCACCGAAATCGGGGTTCACCACAGATCCTCGGATTCAGAATCAGTTTAGCTTAACTTTGTGTTTGCTATCTGGATAATTTCTGATATAAATCCCAAATAGTATAGTGGCTAGTACTCCCGCCTGTCACGCGGGCGACCAGGGTTCGATTCCCTGTTTGGGAGATTTGCTTTTTGGTGTTTTCCAGTCACACCGACACTTCCACATTCTTTCCATATTCTCCTCCGTCTCTCAACTTGTCCAAAAAGAAACTCGCCAAAGTGCGATTCGCCTCTGACTGCACAATGCACCCTCAATTCGTGATTCACAGAGTATTCACTCCGCATGGACAGAGACATCGTGATTCCATCTTGAACCAAAAACAAATACACCAGATTCTAGGCTACAACACAACACAACAATACACTTGATGTTTCGGCACTTTTTTTTGTGTCTCTCCATCCGCCCGCCCGCTCCGCCGTGCTCCAGGGGAAAGGAATCGCTGCAATCCAGGTGACGGTCGCAAGTAGAGTAAGGAGGGGGGGGGCAGTCCAAGATTCACACGGTTTGTGCGGTATGAGATAGGCTGCTCTTCCACTACAAAATACCATTTGAATAGTACTGAAGCACGAATCGATGTGCCGCATGGGAAGGCGCAGAGAAGAAAGGTTCAAATATGAGTAAAACGCAGACCCGAATGGGTGTTGCACGCTACGACATCGCTCCAATACAGTATCGCTGCAAAAGTCGTTTCACCATTTTGCACTCACTCACTCGCTCGCTCCCCCTCCCTCCCGGTCTGTCAAGACTGAGCCATACCTGGAACGCATCATAGAGTCGTGTGAACACGTTGTTGCAGCTGCTGTCAACCAGTCGATCGACCAGCTCGGACACCTGCTTGTCGGTCAGGATCAACTGGAAACGCTCCTGGAGAGCGGCACTGACAGGATACTGGTCGCGTTGATGCGCGGTCGTCTGTTGCGCAGAGATCGAGCTCGAGCTGCTGGTCGCGCTGAGTGGGGCCGGATGCTGCTGTCCCGCGAGGCCTTGAGCCGCATGGGCAACGGCATCGTGGCCACCGGCGGCGCCACCCTCTTTGGAAAAGAAGGGAAGCATGGACGACGCCGTGGGCGGGATGTACACAGTCGTGGGCTTTTGCGAGGCTCCGGTGAAGCAAGGCAGCGTCGACTCTGCCATGTGGTTGATCGGCAAGATGAAATCGACAATGTGTGTCAGGATCACTGTAGCAGACTGATTTGCACGTCGCCAACCACGCCTTTGCCCATCGCAAGCATCACAGCCATCACCATCATGGGCAGCAGTGCAAAGATGCATTCACAACGAGCACTATGCAGCTCCGAGCAAGTGTCCGCTCTGGAGCAAGCAGGGCGACTCGCACATCGTCTCACCTTTCTCCATCATCTCGACAAGGACGACGATCTGCTCGTATTTCTTGCGCAGTGCCAGGAAGGCCTGCTTCAGCAAACTCCGGAACTCCTTGAACTTATCGCTACCAAGCCCGCCGAGGATGTCAATGTATTCCTGGGGGAGCTTGAACGGCGCCAGCTCGAAGCCGACCGAGCCGGGCGAGTTGGTCAGCATGAAGCCAAAGTCAATGTGGATGCAGTGGCCCTGGTTGTCGAGCAGAATGTTGCCATTGTGTCTGCGAATCCGATGGTGTTGAGTCGATGACAAACAAGTGTGCCAGATCAATGGGTGGATCAGCGCACAGTTTTGGATGCAAGGGCAGCGCACAGTTCCGGATGCAAGGGCAGTATGCAGCACATGAGCGGAGCCAAGTCGCTCGGCTAGCTGCCAAAGATGGCTACTGACCTATCCTTGATCTGGAAAAGGTGGCAAATGACGGAATAGCCCGCCAAACTGCGCATGAAGCAATCCTGGGCCTGCCGGAACGACTCCGAGTCAGGGTGGCCAAATTCCTGCGGCACAAACGGGTGGTTTTAGTGACGTGTCGCCGAGATTGCGTTTCCAGCGATGTCCGTGCAGAACAGAGTGGCTTGCTGTCTCAGAATAGAATGACGATTGCTGCAGCATGCTTTTCCTGTGCTGGACGCTTCAAGTCGACCTCAACTTTGCAGCCGACCGTTCCGTATCCACGGCAGTCATGACCAATCGACGCAGAAAAATAACGAGCGGTACCTGGATAAAGTAGTCGTAGAGAGTGAACTGCGCTCCTTCCTCATGCTGCTTGCGCGAGTAGCCCTCCTTCTTGATGGAGTGGATCGAAATCGAGTTGCGGATGGTCTCGACAAGTCCAGACTGGTCCGATGTAACAAGGATTCGGAAGCTTTATCGACATCCCCAGAAGAAGTCGGCATCGAGGCAAACGCCAGGGTCAGCGAAGCAGGCCAGGAGCGACTCGGATATACTCAAGCGGAACCAAGTGGCCGCGCCGGAAGACACGGCTGCACTCAACCCGGATGTCCTCCGCTCCAGACTGCGTAACACCGGGGTATCGTGTCGCGGCCTTACTTGTGGACCCAGGCGGGGCATTTGGCTTCGTCCCAGATCATCTGGCACTCTCGAATCAGCTGAAGAGCAAGCTGCTCCTGGCGAAGATCTGCGCCTGACTTGACAATGACCGAGAGGAGGGTCCAGTCGGGGTACTTGCCGTATGGCGACGAGGCGCGGATACGAGCCTCCTTGGCCTCCCAGGTCTCCCGGAAGACCGCCGCTGGATGGCCGGAACCGTCAGGAACAAGTTCTTAGTTCGAAATCCAACCGGATCGGCAGCCAGTCCCCCGTCTCACGACAAATCAGAGACATGACCGCATCACTGCATGGACAGATCCAAGGGAAACAGCACACCATTTCCTGCCACATACCGCTTGGGTCTTCCTTGTCCTTCCTGATGACATCGTACACAATCTCCTTGGTCTGGCCATCCACCAGATACCCGTCCTCGACCTCGGCAACTTGTGTGCCGCTGTCCTTGCCAGCCGCTCGGCTGGCAGTCTGTTGCTGGAGAGCACTCATGCGGCGCTCCTCCAGGGCAGTCATCTCAACGATGATCCGCTTGCGGATGTTTTCGTAGTCGGCGGAGGACTTTGATGCGTTGCGCCGCGAGAGTGTGTCGCGCCGCGCAGGCTTGGGGGTCGAGGGGTTTGAATCGCCCTTACCCGCGGATGCAGCAGAGCTGTCCGCCTCGCGCTGCTGCTGGTGGTAGAGCTGCGAAAGCATAACCGCAGCGGTTCTCATCCGCTCCGAGAACTCGTCCACCTTGATGTTCTGGAGGGCGTTGTGGCGACGGTCCTGGATCTCCTGGTGGTACTGCAGACTGCTCGCGCGTCCGCTGTGGTCCGCTGGGCTGGAGTTGGGCACGTCGGGCACGGACGTAGAGTTGGAGTCTCCGTGCTCTTGCGCAGGCGAGTCGGAGGTCCGTGGGGTGGTCGTCGGTGGGGTCACGATGCCAAGCTGCTCCGGCGCAGAGACGGCCTTGACCGCGCCGGCGACATCCGAATCGATATCGCTCGGGTGATCCGCTGCCTCAAAGTGCACAGCATCGGCCAGCTCGATGTGGCTGATGTTCTCGGAGGCGATCGGCGTGGGCATATGCTCGAGAACCTCTACTACGATCAAATACGGAACCTGAACAAAGACATACGCGACGCATGAGCCACGGCAAAAGCACAGCCTCAGCCCGTTCGGATCGGCCATGGGTGAGGGGAGCAGAAGTTGTGCGCAAACAAGCAAATGCCTGCAGAGTAACCCTGGCCTTGCCACAGCATCGTCGCCGCTGCACATGCTATGCCTACCCGGTCCGCCGAGTTCAGGACAACCGAGTCTTCGGATGAAATCCGCACAATGCGGTGGTGTTCTCCCACAGTGCTGTTTGCCGGACACCACATTGGAATGCAGACTTCGGCCGGGAGGTTGTGGTTCAGCAGCTCGAGCTCGGCAATGAGGCTGTTTTGCCGAGCAGGCTTTGGCACCGAGCGGAGGCGGTCGCCGATATCGACCAGGGTCATGACAAACTGCAGCTGCGAGTGGAAGTAGTGGCTGTGAACAAGACTCTCGGTAAGGTGCTGGGCGCCGACTTCGGGGCGAAGCTGCGGCGAGTGCTCGTGCAGCGATGCCGCCGACGAGTTAGTGCGCGGTGTTTGCATGCCAAGGGCTTGAGATGTCTTTTCGACATAGCGGTCAAAGGAGAAGGCGGAGCCCTGGTGCAGATCCTCGAGCGAGGGCGACGTGACGGGAAACCGGGACTGGGCCTTGATGCTCGCAACGACCGCACTCTCGCCGCGCGGTTCAGCCGAGGATGCAGATACAGCGGTGCTGGTGCGTGCTCCCAGGGATAGTCGGCCCTCTTCCTCGCCCGTGCTTGCTTGCGTCCAGAAGCTGGGGAGCCAGGAGCAAAACTTTCGCGCCTGGCTGAGGATCATGGAATGCGTGGACTGCGTCAGGGCAGGCGATGCAACGCCAGCCAGGATCATGCCCATGCCGACGAGCACGGGCTTGGCGTTGGGCTGGATGTGGAAAGTCGGGTACTCGGGCACTCGGGAGGGCTCGTTGGGCTTCAAGTCGGCAAAGACGATACTCTGACACCGGTGGTATATCCGACTGCCGACACGGAACGTGCGGCTTTGCGGATTGACTCGGACGTCGTTGATGGCAGCTTTGAGATACCAGAGTGTCTGTTGTGCAGGGCCGAGCATCGAGCACGAGTGCACGATGAGAATCGAACGGACAAAGCTGGGCCTTGGGACAGGTCTGCACCCGAATAGCCACCGAAGCACCCAGGACTGCGATGGCGACCAACGGCCTGCAGGCACAGATGGATTCACATACCAGGATCGCCATATGGTGCGATCGCTCGCACTGACTCATCAAGAAATCTTCGAGGGCAACCGAGGCCGACGATTTAGTGAGCAAGAGATGGCTGTCCGATGGGAACGGCAAAGACAGACGACGTCAGAGAAGCGATCCAGCAAGCAACGGCTGGCGACGTAGAGGTGCCTGCAGGAACCCGACGAGTGGCCCCGGCCTGACGTGGCCATGTGTCCGTTCAGGTTTCGAAGGTGGTAGGGTTGTCGCCATTCGGCAGACTGCTGTGATAATCGCAGCTCCATAAAATCGACCAATCCAAGCCTCCGTGCTGCACCGAAGCAGCCCACCAGTCCGGCGCCTGAGCGCGGCATTCTATCGAGGTCGGTAGAGCTGGCGACTCGCCCACAGGGATGGCAGTGTTCCGGTCAGAAGTCCTGCATCGGCCGCATCTCCTCGTGGCTAGGTTGTTTGGCAATCCAGGCAAGGCTGTTTTTTCCACCCGTCGATGGCCGATGTCGAGCTTCCTTATAATGCCGCTTCTTGGCAAAGCGAGCACGCCGCAAGGAGGACAGAGCAGGACAGGGCAGGACAGAGCAGGACAGCACGGGCGCTGCAGAGAGGCAAAGGAAGGGCCGTACCACAGCTGCGGGAGGAGAAACTCGATTTCATCTTGGGGAAACTCGTTGAGCCGATTGCAGATGTAGTGCTGAATGCCGACCGAGTCGGGGTATCGATGCAGGTACTGAATTGCGAGGCGAGAGTCGAAGAATTCGGATTCAAAGAGCCGCAGCAGCCACGACGAGTGCAGCGACATATTGACAGAGGATGGCGGTGGTTGGCAAGCTGGCGAGAGGAACTGAGGACCCGAGGGCTGAGAAAGGGGGACCTGGCGGGTATTTCCCGGTCAGCGGTTCTGGCAAAGACCGAGAGTATGATGATGGAATTGAGCACAGCGAGCACAAGAGGGAGGAAGGAGGCCCCCGGACCCTGCAAATCAACAAGCGATGCGGCCTGGAAGAGAGAGTGGTCGGTAGGCAGACGAGCAGGCTTGCTTGGGAGAGGGCTTGTTGGCGTCCTCGGCAATCAATCGGGCGAATGGGCGCTGGGAACCGTACACAACTCAGAGACAATCACAATCGGAAGGCGGGGGCTAACACGCACAGATCGGCAGGCCTGGAGGAGCGGGAGCGACGCAGGAGACTTGTCGGTGGCGATCCCAAGACGGCGATCCCGAGGCGGCAGCGGATGAGCAGGGCTGGCGAATGCCGCGGCGATCAGGCAAGAGACGAAGAGCCAGGAGGGGCACTGGCCGGATTTGGCCGAGCCAGGAGTGCCGAAAGCGACGCCAAACACGATGCGCGCGTGACACAGGCACGGCGACGGGCGGCGTGCACATGTACTGCCTGGAGATAACCCCTCCAATCCCAAATAGTATAGTGGCTAGTACTCCCGCCTGTCACGCGGGCGACCAGGGTTCGATTCCCTGTTTGGGAGATTTGCTTCTTTTTTTGGCAAATCTGCGTCTCTCAGGCCTCGTTCCTCTTCTGTCAGTGTTGCTGGGATATGCTGCTCGTTTTGATCGATGCACTGGTGTTTGAGTTTGGCGATCGCCAGTCTCTGCGTGTCCACACCCGCATCCGCTCGCCCAAAGATGGTGCCATGGACATCGAGAGATCCGTCTGCGCCGCCGCAGCAACGCCCCGCAGCGGCCATACTTCATCCGGAGGCCCATATATATATATATTCGCCTTCGTATTGACTTTGATTCCAAGGCCTCCGACTCGGCGGCCCGGTCTCTCTGCTCCACGGCCATTTCGAACTGCGCGATGGATGCGTGTATGTTGATCAGAGTCGGTGCTTGGTTCTCTCAGTTGGGGTTTCTCAGGCGAGCCAGTCGCTCTGCCAGGTCATCCTGCTCTTTCTCAGCCGTGGCGGTGCCCACCAGGGTGGCTTTTCCGGCACCGGGCAGTTCCATCTGCAGCTCGAGGCCGTTCTCGTCCGCCACTTGCTGCATCAGCTCGTCGATCTGCTCCTGCGGCATCGAGGCAGCAGTGGTCTGTGACATGGCGCCGTCCATGTACGCCGTCTGAACATCCAGATCCTCAAACTGGCTCTCGAATTTGTCCATGACTGCAGAAATCTGGAAAGAAAGAGAGGATGGAGGCAAAGGAGAGTGAGTCGATGCATGGCCCAGCCATCCGAGGCACATTCCCAGTCCAGCTTCGACCAGTGCATCGATAAGACCCATCTCGCAGCCATGGCACAGCCTCACTCTACCCTCCCCATCGTACCTGTTCGAGATTCATGGTCTGCATCGCCTTTTCCATTCCCTTGACGACGCCGGCCATGCTCTGCGTGACCTTGCGCATCGTCACTGCCGTCTGCACCCGAGATGCCACGCCGTCGATTCGCGACGACAGCTTGAGAAAGTTGAGCGATTCGTTCTTCTTGCGGATCGCGTTTGCAGCGTATATCCGAGCACCCTCCATGTTGCCTTGCTGGATGGCCTGAGGGATACAGGGGGGGTGTTTGTATGCAAGTGCAGAGACGAGGGTCAGAAGGGTCGCAATAGTTCCCGCATGTACGCCGATGGACAGAGAGGGTAAAACTGGAGACACGAGCGTCGCTGCAGGATGGTCTTGGGGAGGCGAATCCCTCGTCGACCCTCCCCCACATCCCTGCTCCCTGCATTTTTCTTTCTCGACGCTGGCTTTGGCTCGCCACGCACCTTTTTGAGCTTGGCTTTCTCGGTCGCCTCATCCTTCTGGCATTTCTTGGACTGCCGCTGGAGCTGCTTGGCCGTGAACTTGGGCATTGGAGAAATTCGCGTCGCCAAAGATGTTTCGGGTGGGCATAGGCCGTATGGAATATGCCCAGGGGGAAGGGAGAATGAGAGAGCAATGCTTAGGACCGCGCTGAATAGGCCCTGGGCCCTTGTGGCATCCACCACAGCGAGACCGATTCGATGAGCGTTGGATGAGCGACGGGGCCGGCAGTGCTTGTGAAGTGGGGCTCACCTTCAGTTGGAACAGATGGTCTATTTCGATTCAGGCGGTTGCCGATGCGAGTTGCCGGAACGGTCCACAGACGCACACGGGGATGGGAGAAAAACAAGAGACGTTGATGATGAGACGATCGGACGCGGACCCGAAAGTCGATATCGAACGGCCGAGGCGACGGCGGCAAGTGGGGAAGCCAGGAGAGAAGCGGACAAGGGGATAACAGATAGGAGGGCTCGAGCAGGCGCTAGCGTCCAGTGCCCCTCGCGAGAAATCCGGGCATCTCGTCCTGTCCCGGCAGAATACCCTGGGTCTCAGCCGGGGCAAATGAAGCGGCCCTGATGCACATTTGGATCGCTGCCTCTCGCCCGGCTGGAAGGATACGGCACTGTCGATCGGACAGATACACACTCTCCATTGCGAGCGGCTGCTTGGATTGTGTTGCGTTGGTTTGGATTCAGAGGGCTGATACCGGACAAGCCGAGGAACGGTCGAGGACGCTCGGAAGATGGGGGGCAGAGACAGGAACGGGGCCGACACAGGGTTGTTCGGATGGATGATGCGCGGATTCCAAGAAACCAGGATGCATCTGGCCTTGGCGCTTGTCACGCTATCGTCTGGCTGTCTCTGCTCGCTGCTGCGATGGCCGAGTGATATGCTTTTGCACAATTTCCGTTCGATGACGCAGGCCAAGGCATCCTGCGCAGCGCTCCCTCAAAAAGCGCCGTCTCTTCTGCTCACTCGACTCAAATGCACAGTTGACTCCGATTCACCCTCGACCTGGATGCCCTCGGCCATTATTGAGGTGCAAACTGGACAGCATCCATGCACACAGGCAACTACACACAGGTAACGACACAGGTAACGGCAACTGGGCAACTACGTATTCAGCCACTGCATGGCAAGGTATATCCTCTGCACCACAAGCGGCATTGGCGATGCAGGCCGGCCACAGACGAGACTCAATCGAGCGCGGTATCATGGGTTCTTGGAGACCATGTTCTGGATCGTAGCCGCATAGAAGCTGCCATCTCCGTAGGTTGCAGTGCGATTGATCTGTTGGTGAGCCTCCTTGGAGACGATGCGCTCGATGATCTCGCCAGAGCCCTTGACGAGTCTGCGAGGGATCCAGATGGATGGTCAGTGTGGTCAGTGTGGTCCACCTTGGTCGGGACCAATTGCACTCCTCCCCTCGACGGCGTGACGAGATCCGGGTATCGATGCCAAATGGAGTTGGATGGCCGCCGTGGTTCTGGCTCCAGCCGCCTCGGATCCATCCCCGTGGCAGCACCATCGGACAATTGGATCCAGCAGATCGATCGCCGCGCGGCTGGGCTCGATTCTGCGATCATGGCCGTGGCCAGCCCGGTTCGGTGGCGATCGAGTCTCACCTGGTGCGTCCTGAGAGCGGATCAAAGACCTCACGCACGACGGACTGCTCCTGATCGTATTCGGACTTTGTCTGTGGAGCCATGGCTCTCCGCCGAGCCGCAGTTTGGCTCGATGGTGCTGGTGTTGGTGCTGGAGCTGTTGCTGACGCTGGTGCGCTGGAGCTGTCGGTGCTTCTCTTGGCTATCGTCAGGACTGGAATAGCTGAAGCATCGGGTGCGATGGACGACGGGAGCCGTGAGGGAGCCGAGGTTGGCCGCGGCTTCCCGAGCAGAGATGCATCGTCGTCGGCCAGAGAGCGGACGAGATCCAGAATGCGTGACGGAGACGATGATGGTCGAGCGCCACTGGTATGGTGGTGGCTGGAGGACTTTGATTTGGAGTTGGAGTTGGAGTTGGAGTTGGAGTTGGATTTGGATTTGGATTTGGATTTAGATTTGGACTTTTTCTTGTGCTTATGTCGCTCATCCTTGTTTTTGCGGCTTTCCGACCTGTCCTGGCTCTTGTGTCTTCGGGACTTGTCCTTGCTCTTGGAGTGCTCTTTCTTTTTGGAATGCGAGTGCGAGTGGCGTCTGCGATCACGATGCTCTCGCGACGGCGACCGAGAGGACGAAGAAGATGATGACGATGATGACGATGATGAGGAGGAGGCGGTCGATGGCGATCGGCTCTGGTGCTTGTGGCGGCTCCGCCTCGAGGGAGAGGACGACGAGACCCGCCGCCGGGCATCGTTCTCGGCTGGGGAACGACGACGAGCGACAGGCGAGCGGGATCGGCCACGATGGCGATTGCGGGAGGGCGAGCCCATCGAGAAGCGAGGGAGGGGTATGCAGCCGGAGATGCAGCGGGGATGCAGATGAAAGCCGATAGAGACGCGATTCAGCGCAGGACGGAATGACGGCCAGATCGTTTCGGCGAATCTCAGGAGAGCTCCGACCTTGGCCGACCACACCGCCAAGGGATCGCAGGGCGGATGAGTCTGGCCATCGCCCGGCCTTTCCGCCTGTTGTGCTGCAAGCAGCAAAGCCATGATCCACCGAAGAATGCCACGGCGACATTGCCGGGCTCGATCGGTCGTCGGCATCGATACGCTCCACCGATATCCACCGATATTCCCCGGAGATACACCCCGTCGCCGCTTTTCGGTGAGGACTCCGCCCGCCTCCGTTCCCACCCTGGCGGAGGCAGCGGCGAGCAGATGTCGTCAGCAAGGAAGCAGACACATGCCGGTGGAGAGATCCGAAGCGCACGCCCCCCGGCCGGGATGCGGAAGGGGGAGAGAAGGATGGTATGCGATCACTGCGATGGTATGCGATCACTGCGATGGTATGCGGTCACTGTGATGGTATCCAAACGATCTGCATCCGCAGAGAGCCGACTGACTGTCGATCGTCAATGAGCCCAGAACTTTCGTGGGCAGTTTGGCTTCGTTAAGCTTGCCCGCCGGCCCGACAAGATCACTTGGCGGCGATGGTCGGTTGCCAGCCGATGGCATGTCTCCCGGCGCTCCATGCGCTCTCCGTCCGTCTCCCACCGACCCATACGTTTTTTTTCTTTGCTTCTGCTCCGGCCCCGCATGCTGGTCCGATATCCTTCTGCCGTGGCGGAGAATGCCGATGACGGATGCTGCGAGCCAGCTCGATCCGGCCGAGTGGTTGCTGCCAACGACACCTACGACACCAACGACACCAACAGCACCAACAACACCAACGACACCAACGACACCAACGACACCAACGCCAAAGCGATGCACCCAGACACCAGCGCACCACCAAGCAACTCCAAACACCACGCCGCCACCCGCGCGGCCGGCGGAGGCTGCCCCGAGCGGCGTCGAGGTGCGGGCTCGTCCGGCTGACCGTCTCCGCGGCGTCTGGCAAACCAATGAGCAGACCAATGGGCGAGCCAATGAACAGATCATTGAACAGACCAGTGGACAAACCAATGAACAGACCAATGAACAGACCAACGGACAAGCCAATGGGCCCGGCGCTCTCTGGCTCGCCGGAAGCGCTCGGACAGGGTGGGTGGAGGGGTCCGGCTCAGCCTCGACAGCAGCCGCGGAGACTGTGTTTGGGTTGCATTGGCGGCTCTGGTTCGGACGGCCGGGCGAGTGGGCCAGAGCAGTGTGGGTTGTGTCGAGGGCAAGACAGTGCGATCGACGGGAGCGCAAGATCAGTCGGCAGCAAAGTAGCGCACAGCAGAGCAAGGCGATGCGTTTTGGTGTGATTGCGTTTTGGTGTGATGGAGACCAGAGCGCCGAGCACCGTCAACAAACGCAACCCAGGAGCCGGCTGCGGTGGGTCATGGGAGGTGATGTCGGTGAGGTGATTTGGCGTTGTCTGGCGTTGTGTGATGTGATTTGTTAGATAATGTGATTCGGTGTTGGCTGATGCGATTCGGTGTCGTCGAGTCGGTTTGGAGTGCACTTGGCCAGGACAGAGCCGTCGCCTGCCGATGCGATACCCAACACAACATCAAAGCGCCGCCAGCACCGTCTGTCCGGACGGTCGTTGGGGCCGGTGCTGCAGTTTGCCGTGCCGTCCGACTCGTTCAACGGCGCTGTCGCAATAGCAAGACCACACCCCGCGCGATTAACGTTAATGTTAATAGCAGCCACATCAACATCAACGGCCACGGCAACACCAACTCCAATTGACATCCTCATCCACATTCGCATCCCCCCCCCGTCGACACCCGCCGCCGTCGCCAGCAACGGACACCCGCCAAGCACCCGCCAAGCACCCGTCTGCTCGCATGCCCCCGTTCGGCTCCACAGCTGCCGCCCGCCCGCGGACACAGCACAGCACCCGCAATGCACCCGCAATGCCGTCCGCACTGTGCCCGCTATGCGCCCGCAATGTCCCAGCAGCGACTGTACCGGCCCGCATGGGGAACACCCGCGAACGGGGCGACCGACGATGGGTCACTCTGTCTCTTCAGACGCCCCACACGAGACCTGGAAGTTGTGGAAAGCGCCGTCGCCCCCTCTTCTCATGAAACCTGCCCACAGAGACACCACTTCCCCCCCCCAGGCACCCTCGCTTGCGCTTTAAACCAGGCCGTCGACCCTTCCCGGCCCCGCCCCGTCCAACTCGCCTCCCTTTCTTGCTCGCTGATCATCGCCCTTGCTCCTCGGGGGGATCGGCCTATTGAATCCTTCAGTGCTTTGCATCCGTCTCCCTCTCCTCCGCCTCCCGCCCCTCCTCCTTCCTTTGACCCACACCGGCCTGCCGTCCTCGCCGTGCCCATCTCCATTCCTCCCTCCTTCTGGTCTCTCAATTCTCCTTCCCACGCCCAGTATCCCACTCGTCCGCACTGCCATTCCCACACCCGGCCCAATTCGCCATTCGATCACTCTCCCAACCTGTCCTTTGGCGTCCCTTGTCCTTCTGCTTGTCTGACCCTGGTCCAGGTCGCTGATTTGCTTATCCACCCACACTTTGATCCGCAACCTACTGTTGGTAAAAGCGGCATTCTTGTTCCACTGACCGCCTTCCTGTCTGAATTGCCCACCATTCGTTTGGATCAACCTCGCCATTCGTTTGGACTTGACCTGTCACTCGTCTGAGCTGGCCTGTCACTTGCCCTTCCCTCCCCCCTCAGCCGCTTTGGCAATTCTCGAGCCATCATCAGCCGTCCCCTGCAACTCGGTCTCGCCTTTGCTCTGTGGTTGATCACTTTCCTTCCCTTTGGGCATTTCCGGCCCACCATTGCTCCATCTGATCACCTCCGACACCGACTGCATCGCCAGTCATAGTCCCTTGTTCGTTTGCTCCCCCAAACCCCCAGTCCTAACACAATTCCAACATCCTCCAATTCCAATATCCTCAATTGCAACATCCTCCAATTCCCAGCGCCCAGTCTACAGCATCATGACTCTTCTTGGCTATCCCTCGCCCCCCATCTCTCGCCGCCCTTCGCCGCCGCCGTCCTCGGTCATGGATTGCTATCAACAGCCAACCCCGACCTCGCTCTGCGATTCCGTCTCTCGCGACCTCCGCTCGGCCCTTGCCGTAGACCAGCCCGACTCGTCAGAGTCGTCTCCATCCCCCGTTGCCTCCCTTCGCAGCCTGGACTCGCTGCCGGGTAGCCTTGATTCCGACTCGTCTGCATGCTCATCCTTTGCTTGCTCGCTCGGCCCGCTCGTCGTGCCCTGCAGCGTCGTCGATTCCACATCCATCGATGCCCTGACGTCCGGTCTGCCCTTCCCCACGGGCCCGGCTCCGTCCCCCCCGCTTGTGCCTGTGTCGGCCCCTGCTCCGGCTGCCTCTGGCCGGATTGCCTCGTGCCGGTTCACTTCTCAGTCAAGCTCGACGGCCAGATGCGCCGGGCTCGCGACGGTCCCCTCCCAGAAGGACCGCAAAAACCGCAATCCGCAGCGATCCATTGCGCGTCCTCTCCGGCCTGATGACTCCGAAGCTTGCAACACCGACACCTTCAGGCTCGATTTCTACTCGACCTATCTAATGGATCCCTCCTCGCTGCTGCCGGTCAAGCGGCGAAAGGGCATCGACCGCTCGATCCTCGGACCGGCCTTTGAGTTCATGCATCCCCAGCACGAATGCTCGTCCACAAAGGCTGCTCTCGCCGAGTCATGCAAGCCCCGGTCGGTCCGCCCACACGCCCCATCCGTCAAATCCATCACCCACTCCTTCGAGAATGTCCTGGTCTTGCCGCGAAGGGCCAGCCACGGCAGTACATCCTCGGGCGACGAGAGCAGCTCATTCCAGTCCGTGCCCAATCTGCATCGCAACAGCGCAGCCTCAGCAGCCTCTCTGTCTGGCGTCCCTGCGGTGCCGAGCGAGGTCCCCGAATCGCTGTCGCTGTTGCCCTCCGACCCAGCCTCAATGGATATCGATGTCCCAGCGGCTCCTTTGTCGGTGACGCACCAGGTTGCGACCCTGTCTGCAGACGATGCAGGCTCTGGAACCGAAGGCGATGCCGACCCGAGCTCGTCGCCATCATCGCCTGGCGCCGGGGCCTCGACACAGCCCTGCTCCTCCAAACGAGGCTTCGTCTCGCCCGTCGTCCCCATCATCAACCCCAAGATGCGCGGCAGCACCATGAAGGGCCAGAAGCCCCTGCCCGACTTTTTGGCCAAGCTCTTCAACCACGAGGGCCAGGCGCTGAATGTCAACATGTCCGATTACAGCGACACCAAGGGCGCCTCGGCCATCGTCTGGAAAGGTAGCGTAATCTGGCGGCTGCACTGAATCGATCGTGAGCCTGGGCCGGGGCTTGGACGAGCTGGGGCGAATTGCCGGCATTGGTATGGGTATGGGTATGGGTGGTGCTGATTCGGATGTCACAGCTCCTGCCTTTGGTTTCTTGCCCTGCTCCTGCCCTGCTCCTGCCCTGCTTCTGCCCTGCTCCTGCCCTGCTTCTGCGTTCCCCCCCTGCATGAGCGCCCCGCATGTCCCACGCGCGACCCGCTGTGGCTAGCCGCTGCGCAGCCCCCGCCGCCGCGACCAATCGCCGCTGCCGGTGGGGGGCGTGACCCTTCCGCCACGCCATTGGCGACCACGCGCCGTCCTCTGGTCGCGCACAGGCCCCATGGCCTTGTTGGGATGCCTTGCTGGCCGACCAACCAACGCTCCGCGTGGCGCAGGCGGCAAACCACTCGGCACCCGCCAGACCCGCGCCAGACGATCGGCACGGGCCGGGTGGACCTGGGTGTGCGGGCCGTCCTGTGCATGGGGGCATGTCCTTGCTTCGGGTGCCCGAAAGCCACCGGGCAGCGCGGTTGTGGTGACAGCCGGGGACAGATGGGGACAGCACGGCGGATATGGCAGCCCGTCAAACAGCCGTGTCATTGCCCCCACTCACTCGCACAGCTGCGTTTCTGATTGACACCCGTCTCCCATCCATCGTTCCGCCTCTAGGCTCGCCGCTAAAGATCCCGTCGTCGTGCGAGCACTACGACGACCTGACGATGGAGGAACTGCGTTCTTGCTCGGTGCTCCGCATCTATCCGGCGCAGTATCTCCACATCAAGCAGACGCTGCTCGCCGCCGTCAAGGCCATCGGACCCTTCAAGAAGCGCGATGCCCAGGGTTGGTTCCACATCGACGTCAACAAGACCAACAAAGTCTATGACTGGTTCGTCTCTATCGGCTGGATCCCGACCCAGGAGGAGTGGGAGTCCAGAATTGCCAGCAGCGGCGGCGCAACCCTCAACGAGCGCAAGCGCAAGAACAGACTCAGCAAGTCATGATCGTCGTCTCAGCGCCTCGACAGCGACGACGTCCTGTCGCCCCCTGCACCTGCACTTCGTGGCGATTGCAGTGACACGGGGGAGCTCTGAGCTCCTTGGATCCGCGCTATACGTCGAATGAGCCTTTCTGCTCGTCTCCGCATCGAAGAGCAACCTTGCCCAACCACACCAACGCCACCATTCGCATCCGACATCTATCACCATGCACATTCTTTTATTCGATCAAAATCATTATCGCTGCCTGCTCTCTCTCTCTCTCTCTCTCTCTCTCTCTCTCTCTCTCTCTCTTTATTTCTCTCTATCTCTATCCCTCTTTTTCCTTCCGTTTCCGATACTATTTGCGCATCGACTTGGGCATCGACTTGCCCCTTGCTCGCACAAGCGATGCCCTTTTCCCCTTCCCTCATCCCCCCCACTACCCATATATACGCATACCGTTTTATATATTGGACTCTATTGATTATACCGCGCGTCTGTCGCTGCCATACTCTTTTTTCTTTTATTGCGTATCTCCCGCCCTCATTTCCTTTGTCGTGATCAGCTTTCCTTCACCCTCCCCCGTTTCTTGTCATGAAGTGCCCTTTCTTCAGCCCTATCTGTTTTCTATTCCATCGCTGGCTCATCAGATCCCGAGCAGCCATATAGTCCCCTCCCTTTCTTTCCATAGTTTTTGGCCTTCTTGCCCATTACCCTCCTCCCCCCCCCACGATCCCATGATTCATGATCTGCAATCTCAGCCACCCGTCGAATCCGCCTTCGTGGCTCCCGCCCCAACTTTGACCATTCGACATTTGCCCTGTCAAGTGTGGTGCGGCTATCCATTCTTCCCTCGATCCTTCAGGCTGGGGTTGCGGCTTTCCTCCTCCTCCCCCCCCGTCCTCTGGTCATTCTATTCGTTTTTGGATAATCATATATCTGCACTGAGACCATTCCCGCTTTAGCAACCCATCCACCCCCTTCGACATCCTATTCTTTGAAAGGGGGGGTTCCATTTTCTTATTCGAGTGGAGCCAGCTGGCAATCGTTGCTCTGAGGATTCAATGTCTGTTCATGTGGCAATTCGTTCCTCCTCCTGCCCATGCCCCTCTCTACGTATCCATCCATCCATCTATTCAACCTATCCATCCCGTTCTCCACTCGATTGCTGTACTCTCAGCACCCCTCCTCTCGATAGCATAAGATGGATGCCACTCGCCACATTTCTCTCTCTCTGTCTATCTCCCTCGTGCTTGGCCGATGATCCGGGGTCCGCGTTTGCATCTCCTCCCTCCACAAGAGTCGTATGTGCTCTATTTTGATTTCAGGACCGCTGGCTCTGAGCCAGGGGCACACGCTGCCCACCGCATCTGTTTATCCGCCTCCGTTGTATCTCCAAGCGGCTTTGCTATATCTCCCATCGAGCAGACTCGATTCCCATTTTCCACCGCTAATCCCCCCCGCCTTTTTCTTTCTCGCCTTGATTCTCATCCTCGCCCCACCCTATCTCTCGCTTCATTTGGTATGATCGGTCTCGATAATTCCCTTATCGATTTCCAAATAAGCTTGTTATTTCCCACTTCGTGCTTGCACTGTTTTTATCCCCCCCTCCTCTCCTCCCAAACTTTTCCTCTTTAACTTCACTATTGGTTGTTCTTTATTTTTCCATTGTCATATTTGCATACTTTCAAAAAGGACATGTCCTTCCCACCGTTGCCCCAACAGCAATAACAAAAAAATGTCAGCAACAACCCTATGATACAGTCCATCCAGAAAGAAACAGGACACTCTCTGGTTTCATATGTCTGAAGCCTGCTGAACCGTAGGTTATTGTGGGCAAGCCATGGGATTGTTTCCCGTCCTGGTTGGCAATCACTTTGTTTTCGATGGTTTGGGGAGCATGGTCCTGAATACACTCAGTCGATATCCTGGATGCATATCCCTTCCCCTGTTTCCAGGAGGCATTCCCAAAGGCAATCACCACCTCGGTCTCTTTGGACATGCTTGCTTGGCCATGATTGCAATGAGTGCGTGGGTGTATTCAGTTCCCAGAAAATCAACTGCTCTGGTTCAAAACAGGGTGTGTGCCTTTTCAAAGCGGGTGCTCTATAAGCCCCCTCCCACCATGTCGGAGAGTGTGGGGCGAGAGGAGGGTGCAGTGTTTCTCCAGGCAAATTCTTCCACTGCCGATCGTTGCTGTTGTCGTCGTGGCACCTCGGCTGTCCAGGCCACTGCCACCTCAGAGCACGAACATTCTAGAACATGAACATCGCAGAGCCAAATGGTTCAGCAGCTACCAGTGTCCTGTCATCGCTACTGCCGCTTGCTCTGAGCCTGCTTGCCCTTCAACATCACATCGCGCATGAGTGTTCCTACGACTTTGACATTCAGCGAGTTGCCAAGCAGCTTCCACTGCTGCTGGATCGAAAGCTTTCTCGGAAAGTCGAGCGTGTGCTTCTCGATCTCGACGGGGGACTCGACCGAATCGGCAGCCTCGATCAGGTCGTCGTACTCGTGCAGGGTGTTTGGGCGGTCGACGGGGAAGAAGTGGAGCCGAGCCACCTCTGTTGGAGTGAAGAAGCGCAGCCCGAGCGTCAGGAGTGCCTCGGGGTCGTTGAGGTCATACGTCTGCTCAAGGTTTTGCGTCTGCAGGAAGGAGCCTGATCCAACAACGTGGTGGGTTCCGTATGCCTTGGTGAAGGTCGAGCAGCGAGAATCGGTGGGCTGGACGATATCTGTCCTCAAGTTCGAGAGTTGGCGGTTAGTGTGGATGTGGATGAGAGAAACGAGTTATATATCAGAGACGCAGGTCCCCATCCGTTCGAACCGCTGTCTCAAGCAACGGAGCACTTTGGCGCTCACACTTCTTGCACCGCATATCACGCTCTAAGAGCGATCCCTCGCTACATCCTTACCAAATCGGAATCCCTTCCGCTTCAAAATGTACTCGGGAGGAACCATGTACTGGCTTGGGTCGGCCAGGTCCTCGAGGTACCTCATGAGCATCGGTGGCTCGGGATAGTTCTGGATCATCGACACCCCAGGAATCGGCCACTGGGTGTGGATCTGGGCTTGGTCAATGTATCGAGTAGTTTTGGCATGTGAGCCCGTTCGAGATGCCTTGAGGGGGGGGGAAGCCAGATGTGGAATCCATTCAGGGTATGTGTGAGGCGGCGATCCATATTCATATCGGTGCGTGAAGCAAAGGGATAGCGTCCGATCAGCGCGAATGCCAACAACAAGAGGAAGTGGGATGGTACTTACGCACAGATAGTAGCGTCGACGGTCGTTGGACATGCCAAACTGCAGTGGGGAGACCAGGAACTCGCTGATTTTGTACCCCAGATCGTCGAGGGTGTTGACCAGGCGCTCTCGGCTCCTTGACGCCTGCAGAAACGAGAAATTGATGGTTCAGTGCACCTCCTCAATCCACGAGGGCCCATGTCTTCTGTAGGTACCTCAGATCCAGCCGATCCAGTCAAATCCAACGAGTCCCCTTGAGAATGTAACCCAAGCCTCGAGACGCGCCTACCTCAAAGTTGGGAACGTTTTCGAGGAAGAAATACTGTGGAGGCGTCTCAAGGACCTTGAGCTGGGCAATGAGGTTTATGAGACCTGCAGCGCGGTTGTCCTCGTCGTCCAGCATCTTTCCACCTGGGTTGATCCGTCAAGAGTCATCCGATTGCCCCCCCCCAAGCGCACCAATGGCAAGACAACGGTGTTAGGAGTATCTTCTGATGATCCAAGCTTCTTGTCCAGTGAGAGTCACCGTCAATGAAGTGGGTACGACGAACATCTCGGGGGAACACATGGAATCAAGTTCGCATGATGCAACAGCACGCAGGGCAGCATGAATCGAGCATTCATTCTGTCGAGATGCAGCCCTCACCTGCCGTGTAGGGTTGGCAGGGCGGCGAGAGCAGCCAGCAGTTGGCCTTGAACGAGTCGAGTTTGGCTTTGTTGAGAAACTCGATTCCGATCTTTGAGGGCCACAGCGACATTGGCCGAGGTCCAGGCATCGGACCAGAGGGCGGTGTGCAGGGGCAATGAGCATAACGATTCAGCAAGGGCGGGAGCTCGGTGATCTTGCAGTCGCTATGCAGGCCAGCACCTTTGCGTCTTGCCAATCAATCCATGCCTGCCGCTCCCTCGGAGATACGCTGTCTGCCGGCCACGATCCAACAGGCATATGCATTCCGCTCGCGCGTTTGAATCGATACCATCATTTCGTCGCGCTTGCCGAAGGCGATCCGACACATGACGACCATGAAATGCATCCGCCTGAAGGGGCCATCGCGATTTGGACCAGCATGCACCATCCCGGGCAGCTGTGTCTCTCATCTACCACCACCACATCTCTCCCGGCTGACGCTGGAGATCCTCCGCAGGTCCTACCACACTGGGCTTGATCCCAAAGTTATGAGCGTAGCAGCTGTTTGCGTTCTCGTTGATGTCGAAGCTGGCGACGAGTTTGAGGGCTCGGCCGAGGCTAGCTGCAGCAAGCTCGAGGCCGTAATGCAGCCCGCCGATGCCCGAGAAAAACTCGAGGACCCGCAGCTCGCCGAGCTCCTCGACATGGGCATCCATATCCAGCCTGAACTTTTTGTCGAGCGACTGCAGATGCACGGTGCCGGGAGCTTCAGATTTGCGCTTCGAGAAGAGGTCGTCGGAGGCGGACATGGCCGGGAAGTCGCAGGAGGGACGGCGGGACGGGAGGCTGGAGATTGGGGTGGAGATGGAGATAGAGGCGACGATGGAGGTGGTCGTGCTGGCGGAGACGGAGATCGCCGAGCCGGCGGTCGTGATCGTGGATGTCGGGCAGGAAGGGCATCGAGGTGCTGCGGATCGGAGGATCGGGCTGCGCACGGGCAGTGGCAGTGCAGGGCGACTCGATCCAGCCAGCCGCCGACTCGATCCGGCCGCCTCCGATTCGATCCGAAGCAGCCGATTGCGTCATTGCGCTGCGCACACGCCCTCGCCGCGCATTGGTCGTCGATGGCGTGCTCGGGCGGGGCGATGCCGCGATACGGCTGCTGCGCACTCCTGCGCCACACGCAGCATCCGGCGGCGGCCGCCGATTGCGCGATCGGCCGATACCGGCAGGCGGCGCAGTCTCTGTGTGGGCAACTAGGTGACTCACAGCGACTGCACAGCCTCTGTGGTGCACATACAACAGGACGGCGAGACAACAGCGCCCGCCACAGTCTCTGTGCGCCGTCGCCACTGCCCCAGCGTGTCCAATCGCGGCCGCTCTGTCGCCATCGCCCCACCGAACCTTCACTTCCTTCGCGTATATAACCCCTCGCGGTCGCCCTCCTCCTTCGCTCGGCCTTCTCGAGCTCGCCCGTTGTTTTTGGTTCCTTGCCCTGTTCTTTTGGATTCCGACGCACCGCCGATCACCAGCCTGGCGGCCCCTTCTGTCGACCCTATCGTCCGTAACGCTTCTCGGCCTTGCGTCCTCCTCCTTCTCGGTGTCGCTGCACACACATCGCCTCGCTGCCGCCTGTTTTCCCACGCCTGCTCGCTCTATTGGCAGTACCAGTCCTTGCATCTTCTCCAAAGCCATGCCCATGATGACCCCGAAACGATGGTTGCGAACCCGAGTCAACCCCTCGAAATCCGTCGCTCCGGTCTTCTCGCAGCCCTGCCCGCGGATCACGACCCGGCCAGTCGCCCGGCCCTCTTCAGCTACCACGCCCGCCTCCAGCTCTACCCAGTCGCACTACCTCTTTGGCTACGGCTCGCTCATCAATCCGTTCTCGCGCTCCCGCACCGTCCAGTCCGATACCTCCGACTCGATTCCCGTGCTCGTCTCGGGCTACCAACGCTCCTGGAACTACAACTGCCGCTCCAGCTACACCGCCGTGGGCGTCAAGCGCACCAGCCTCGCCGAGCCTCCAATCAACGGCGTCCTGATTCCAATTGCCGATCCTTCGACCGACTTCCCGCGGCTGGACGAGCGCGAAAAGTGCTACGTCCGTAAAACCATCGACCTGTCGCAGATCCGGGTCATGGATGCCACCGACTCGATCGTGCCCTTTGACCGCTTCATCCAGACCGACAAGGTCGTCATCTGGGTCTACGAGATTCCCACCGCCGACTCGCTGCACGCCGGCTGCTCCCAAGCCGCCCCCACGGACTGCCACCGGCCCTCGCTCGACATTCCCATCCCCCAGTCCTACGTCGACTGCATCCTCTCTGGCTGCCTGTCAATCTCGCTCGGATTCGCAAAGTACTTTATCGAATCGACCGGCGGCTGGGACGGCCAGGCCTGGCTCAACGACCGCGACGCCCACCCGGCTCTGATGAAGTATCGCCCGCACGTCGAGGGCGGCGAGGTTCACGCCGACCCGCAGGTCCTCGACAGCTTGCTCGAGCAGCACCTCCCGACCCACATCCCGCAGCGGGTCCATTGGTCACTCGTCTGAGCCGGGAGCGCCGCCCCCCCGGTCATGCCTCCCACCAATTTCGCAATCCTCTTTACCCACGCGGACCGGACAGGCTTTCGCCATCGCCATCCTACTCCGGATTGGATCCTCGATGACGCTACCAAATGTCCTGCCGACGACACGAGGCTGTCACCAGCCCCGCCCTTAGTTTTGATTCGTTTGTTTCCTTCTGCCTCCCCCCCCCAGAAATTTGGGCTCCGGGGCTTGGTCGGCTCTGTTCTGTCAGTGTACTTTGGGTTCCCGCCTGTTTCCAAAGACAATGAATGGGGACAAGCCACGCCCTGGCCTGTGTTTCCGATACCACAAACCTTCTGTACGTACTTTCGATCCTCCCACGGCTCTGCCCCCCTCTTCCGTCGTCGCCAGCGCCGACCTATCAGACATCGATGGCCCCACGGCCCATCCGTCTGCCTCCACATCCGCATCCGCCCATCCGCGCGGCCCCCAACTTGACTCCCATGACCTGAGGGATCAGATTTTTGAATACGGTCTGCCATTGTCGCTATTGTTTTTTGCGTCGTTTTTGCTTTCTTTTACCCTCCCCTTATTGCTCGGCACTTGCCTCACTCATCCCCCGCATTGCACCATCGCCTGTCCAATCCCGGGTCAAGCCCCACACATACAATACATACCTAGATCTGTGTCGATATGCTGCCGCAGATTTCGCCATCGATCGCTGCTATTGCGCCAAGGGTGATGGCTTTGGCCCGTTCGGTCAGGTCGGTGAATGGATCAGTGCACGGGCAGCCAATGGAAGACGTACTCGGCTGGCTGACGCTCGAGGCGTGGGATGTGCATGCCATCGACGGACCGTGCGTGTGATGTCGCCAGGGGCGGAGGCCGCGAGGAAACAATGCCGAAATGGACCGGGGTGTGTGGTGTGGGAAGGCTTGGAGATGATGCAATCTGCAGATCCACATGCAAGTGAGGAGCCGGCCGCCACCGCTGCCAACAAGGCCCAAATCTCGCTTTTGATCCAAAAGAGTGCCCTCCAAAGCAGCTCATCCTTGCAAACAAGCTCCGCTTGGGTCGGCGGGCTGGCACGTCGGCGTCAGACGAGCGGCCATATGTCGCAAGCCATTGCGCCGATGGCGAACAGAACCTTCTGCGTGTGGGGCCAGCAGCGGGAGCGGTGCGGAAGAGAGAAATCTCGGATGTCGAGGCAGTGCCTCTTTCGTCAACAGCTTTGGCGATCGATCGCGGCTTTCGCTCTCGCAGTTGCAGTCCATCTGCACACGCCGTCAGCAATACCAGACTGTGTGTGGTACTAGTAGAGTCTCAACTCTGGTATCAATAGTAGTCTCGACTCTGGTATCAATAGTAGTCTCGACTCTGGTATCAATAGCAGTCTCGACTCTGGTATCAATAGCAGTCTCGACTCTGGTATCAATAGTGGTCCATGGCGACACATCGCCACGGACACGGCGCTGGATCTCGATTTGACAGGTGCCTGTCGTGCTGCCTATCATCCCGATCATCACAGTTCGGCCATCTGTTATTCGGATCGCCAAAGCACTGCCACAGATTCTGCTCGAATGCGTCCACTCTCTCTGGAGCGCAAGCATGCGTGCCGTCACTCCCTCTGGAGCACAAGCCCTGTCGCTTCCATTTTTCCTGAGTGGCCAAGCTCGCTCAGCCCCAAGTTCGCTCAGCCTCGACCCGCAGTCCCTGAACCAATCGAATCGACCGCCACAGCGCCAAGCAGGGTGTCCGCTGTCTGCTCCTTTCAGTCCATTTGTCAGATGCGTTGGGGCAGAGTTCGGAAAACCACACACACTCCTTTCCTCTGTGTTCTTTCGTCGGCGGTGTCGTGGGATGAGCGGTGTCGGCATGGGGCAAGCCGAGGGAATGGCGGGGGTGGGCAGCCAGGGCAACGAGGGATCGACCTTGCTTCGGATCATGGACAACATGGTCGAGAGAGAGCTTGGCGCTCTGAACATCTGGTATCCGATACCAGGAGCCACCGACGCTCCGCTGCGGATCGACCGTGGGGATGGCCGGCCTTGGTTGCTCGGCGCCGGCGGTGCTGGTGGTGCTGGTGTGGGGGTCTGCTGCGTTTCACAGACCCCAGCTCAGCAGACCTCGTGTGTCCTCCCGTGGCTCCGCCACTGACGACCACCTGAGGGACTGCAGCAAGCCGCGGGTCTGCAATGCAGCGGGGTCTGTTGGACCGCGAGCTCCTCGGGACCGCTCTGGCTTGGTCGATGGCGGGCCATCCGGGGGGAGGAACAGGGGAGTCGCTGAACCCTCCACGGCGGCTTCTCCCAGCCCGGCTGCTGCTGAGCCTGGGACCATGCGCCCAGGCGGGCTGCGCTGCCTGGTCAGGCGCCCGGTAGACCGCGCGTCTGCTGGTACTTGCCGCCCCTGTACTGGGGCGGCGAGCGCAAGGGTTGGGGGTCACCGCCGCGGTGCGACCCGCCGTCACACGGCACCTGTACCCTGGGTTGCACTGTACCAGGCTCGCGGCAAGGCGGCCTTGCTGCCGTGGCGCGTGCGCGTGCCTGGTCCGCCGCCTGATCAGGCTAAACCCGCGCATCCAATGTGCACTGGCTTGTTATGCCGGCCCGCTCCTGGTGTACACCCGCTCGCGTGACCCTTGCGCCACGGCCGCCTGCTGCGCGGCTGTCGGGGGTGTCTGTGCACAAGCAGGCCCCCTTGTTTGGGCGAGGGACATCCCGCACGCAGCCTCGGCCCTGGCCGGCGGCTATAAAAGCGATCCCGCCCATCGCAGGCCCTGTTCCCGCCATCCCTCGTTTTCCTCTCCCTCCTGCGCCGCCATGCTCGTCAAGGCGCTGCTGTCGCTGGGCTTGCTCGCCGGAGCCCTGGCAACTCCCACCCCTCCTCCCGTCCAGCATCGTCCCATCACCGACTATCTCTGGCCCATGCCCAGACAGGTACTGTCGTGGGTCGATCGCCTGCCCAGTCGTCCTGCTCATCGGCTTCTTGTCCGTGTCTGACACTCTCCCTTCGCCTCCCGTTTGGCTCTCCACAGGTCGTCGATGCCAACGCCACGGTTGCCTGCAACGACTTCTGGATCGACATCAAGTCCAACAACCCCGATGTCTTCAACATCGTCTCCAACGCCTTTGACCGCTTCCAGAACTCGGTCTCGGTCAAGACCCACGGCAAGTGGGGCGGCTCCACTCTGCCCGTCACCATCCATGTCGCCGACGAGACCAAGGCCAGCACCCCCGCCGCTCTCGCCGGCATCGACGAGTCGTACTCCCTCCAGGCGACAAAGTCCGGCATCGTCATCAATGCCACCACCCAGGCCGGTGCCGTCTATGGCCTCCAGACCCTCAGCCAGCTGGTCACCCCCGATGCCAACCTGGTCCTCGGTAGCATCACCGACTCTCCGCGCTTCCCCTACCGCGGCATCCTGCTCGACACGGCTCGCAACTACTTCCCCGTCGAGGACATCAAGCGCATCCTCGATGGCCTGGCGTACTCCAAGATCAACGTCATGAAGTGGCTGCTCTACGAGGCCCAGTCCTTCACGATCGTCTGGGACAAGTACCCGGTGCTCTACCAGGAGGGCGCCTACAAGGATGCCCAGGGCAAGCCCAAGGTCTTCACCAAGCAGGACATTCAGGACGTCATCAACTACGCCTTTGAGCGCAACATCCGCATCATCCCCGTGTTCGAGACCCCCTCGCACAACGGCATGTTTGGTCTCGTTGACCCCAGCTTCGTCTCTGGCTGGAAGCACGCCCCCTTTGACGGCGACAGCTACGACTGGGCCAACAGCAGCTACCCCGCCGGCACCATCGTCTGGTTCGGCCGCCAGTACTGCTTCGGTCCTCCCTGTGGCGGTCTCGATCCTCGTGTCCCCGGCGCCCTGAACCTCCTCACCGAGTTCCTGACTGAGGTCGGCAGCTGGTTCCCCGATCCCGTCATCCACGTCGGCCACTCTGAGGCCAACCCGCGTCTCTACGGTGTCGTTCCCGACAGCTGGGATATTGCCGACCAGTCCACTCTCGATCCCTTCATGCGCGCCTTTGAGCCTCAGCTGGTCAACATCCTCAAGAGCATCAACAAAAAGTACGGCGCCTGGGATGTCATTACCACCGTAAGTAGCTGAGGAGTGGCAGGGAAGGGAGGGGGTAGAGCATTTGTGCCAGGGGTTTGCTCGGTAGAGAAGCAACCGGTTGCTTTACACTTGCACCCTGGATTGCCTGTTGCACGCTGCGCTGGTTGACTGCCGCTGCGGACTGCCTCTGATTGCTGTTACTCCTTCCTCGCAGCTCGGCATGATGGATCTCGTTCCCAAGGATGGCATCATTACTCTCGGCGAGCTCGGCGGCGATCCGGTCGGCATCATCGAAACCCTGGCTGCCGCCGGATTTGAAAACGTCGTCGTCAGCCCCGATCCGTTCTACTTCCTCGACTGCTCCCCCTCGCAGAGCTGGTGCCTGTACGACTACGAGGCCGTCTCCCCCGCCGACACCTACAACCTCCCCGGCTACATTGTCTCTCCCGGCCAGTGGCACAACTGGACAAAGATCTACACCTACGACCCTCTTGACGGCCTCTCTCCCGCTGCGGCCAAGACCGTCAAGGGCGGCTTCGGCACCATGTGGGCCGAGACCCTCAAGCGTCACAACATCGACCGCTTCATCTTCCCGCGTATCGCCTCCATCGCCGAGCGCATGTGGACCTACGATGCCGTCGCCCTCAACAACAAGACCGGCGTCCGTCTCGACCGCTTCCGTGCCTCGCTCGTCAACGAGCTCAAGATCGCTGCTGCCGACATCAACTACCTCGGCAACCAGGAGGGCATGATCTACCGCCCCGAGTACTGCGACACCCATCTCAACACCCCCGACCAGACCGTCAGCGCCTTTGTCTTCATCGGTGCTCCTCTGACCGACCGCGACGGCAACCCCCCCGTCGATCCTCTGCAATCGCACTATGCCGCCCACGCCGACTGGTGCAAGATCGCCTCGCTCTACACCACCAACAGCTTTGTCTACACTGCCCCCAACCCTGTACCTTATCCTTACTAAATCTGAACCCAGTCCCCCCCCCTTCTCTATGAACTCTCTCCAGCAAAATAGCCACCCCACATCTATGGCGCACTTTGGCATGTCTATGGTGATTACTCGCTTATATCTATAGGCCCCCACTTGCGAATACAGTCCGTCTAAATATACTACTATCCACAAATGGCCCACCTGCATTGCTCGCAGCGAGTGTCGGTGATTATCATCTTTGGCGTGGCGGTATGGCGGTATCGATCCACCATTTGCGCTGTCCCTCGTTTGAAACTATTTCGGCCGGTGCGGCACCTCGGCCCGCACCCTGGTTGCTTGCCCTGGCTCGCGCGCCGATTTGCCTCGCCCGTTGTCGCTCGACAGCGTCGCTTGGATCTTCATCGGCCATCTGCGACCCAGCCCTGCGATATCCACCCTCTTTGGGCCTGCAGCCGCTCTCGCCCGCCTTCTCTTCTGTGGCCCCCGACCTCATCTGCCCGCTCGCACTGCCGTTGCTCTGCTCCTCTTCGCCTTCAAGACGGTCCGCCTCGCACCCACAGCCGCCCGCATGTCCAATCCCAGTCCCTCGGTTTCGCTGGCGTCCTTCAAGACCGTTGCAGCCGCCCTGGCCGGCGTGCTGCTGGGCATGGCCCTCGTCAACCTCGCCACCTCATCGGGCTTCTTTCGTTGGAGCCGTCAGTCGCCAGCATCGCCGTCGTCGGGATCTTCCAAAAAGCCTCGGTCTGTATCCAAAAGGACACCGATTCGCCGACAAAACACCGAGGGCTCCTCTTCTTCCTCCACCACCCACGACGCCCGCCCTTCCAGTCGTCAAGCAGTCTCGGACTCGGACCAGCACGAGCCCCAGTCAGCCGGACCGGATGATCCTGCCTCGGCCGCCGATGAGGATGATCGCCTCGAGACCCGCGAGGGTCGTGAGGCCGAGCAGGACGACGACGTCGATGACGAGCAAGGAGGAAGCGTTGCGATCGAAAGCCCCGGCGATGAAAACGAAGGATCGACCCTGGAGCTGCGTGGAAACCAGCTCCATACCTCGGACGAGAGCGATACGTTGCTGACGCTCCTGTATTCGATCGCAGAAGACCAGGCGCGAAAAGGTAAAGTAGCCATCGATCGGCAGCGCCGGCCCAATCGAGCCTCTGGGAGGGTGTGGATTGGGCATCTATGCTCGTTTAATGACGATCATGCGACGTTCGGACGAGCGGATGGTTGACGAAAACCCTCTTTCTCTCTTGCCTCGGACCCTGTCCTTGGATTCGGAATCTGTTTGTTCCCCTTCCTCCTCACTCGCCTCGGCCTCCATCGCATCATCCACATCCTCCAGACGGCTACGTCCACCGCTCGATCACCTGCAACCACTGCGGCACCTCGCCTATTCGGGGATTCCGCTTCAAATGCGCCAACTGCATCGATTACGACCTCTGCGAAACCTGCGAGCCGCTCGAGGTTCACTACAAGACCCATACCTTCCTCAAGATCCGCATCCCCATCCCGCCGCTCGCCAACGCCCGCGCCCCGCTGACATCGGTGTTGTATCCAGGTACGCATCTGGGGGCTGTTCATTGCACTCTGGCCGTGCCAGAGAGAGAATGAGAGAATGAGAGAGAAGGAAACAGACGGAGGGGCCACGATGGCTGCGGATCGCACCGGAAGCACCCAGCCAGCTCTGTCTCGACTCTGATCCCTGTCCCGGATTGTACTATCGGCGCTGGTCCCTGCCATGTCGGCATCTCGTCGATAGGCATACCCTTCCAGGCTGGCACAAGCACCTATGACTTTACACAGCTTCAAAAAACGACGCACTGTAAGCTTGCCGCGCTCCCATCCTGCGCGCATGAATGCGTCCGCTGGCCTGCCAAGAGCAAAGGATTACCTGGTGGAGAGGCACAATCAGATGGATAGGAACTTCCGTGACGCTCGCCGCACGACTGACCCCGGCTTGTTCTGAATTATGGATGCCGCCGCCTGGTGCTCCGACCCACTCGCCAAACATCCGACCTGCACGGACTCAACAACAGTCGACGTTGTCGAGCTCGAGGCCCTCTACGACCAGTTCCGCTCGCTCTCGACCGTCGAGGGCTCCAAGGGCGGCATCACCAAGGATACCTTCGAGTACTGCCTCGGCCCCCTCGGCGTGGAGAAGAACTTGATCATCGATCGCATCTTTTCGTTCTTTGACCAAGACGACGACGGCATCATCAGCTTTGAGGAGCTGGTCTTTGGGTCCAGCATCCTGTGCAAGGGCAGCCTTGACGAGCGTATCAAGTGTAAGTCGGCGTCATGATGGATCGCTGGGCTCAAATTTGGTTCTACATCCTCGATCTGATCCTGTATGCTCGATACGCTCCTACACGTCGATACGCTCCTACATGCGCCATCCGGTGCGGCTCTGACCATTTGGCTGCAATGCATTCCCCCCCCCACAGACGCCTTCAAGGGCTACGATCTGGATGGCGACGGATTCATCTCGAGAGAGGAGCTTCGTCGCATGCTCAAGTCGTATCTGCATCTCACCATGGAGCTGGTGCGCGACGTTGTCAAGACCATGGAGGAGGGCATGATGGAGAGCTTTGACGATGAGGCAGCCAAGCCCGTCTCGGCATCGTTCTATGCTCCGATCCAGAGCCAAGGCAACCCCTCCACCTTTGACGATGAGGACGACGAGGAGGAGGGCGAAGGCTCGGCTCGGGTGGGCGAGCTGCCGCCACTCGACCCCGCCGCCGCTCAACGACGCACCCGCCGACAGAAGCGAATGTCGATGGAGGGCGACTTTTCGGGCTCGCTTCTGCTTGGCGTTTCGAACCGGTCGAGCGACGGACAGCCCTCGAGCAGCATGGCGGCCCCGACCTCGGCCACCGGGCCCGATGCTCCGGCCAGCAGCACTCTCTCCAACATCAACACCACCGCCAACGCCCGCAGCTCGCGGCTGCTGCGACGCTCGTTCGGCAACGGCATCCCCGTGGGTGCTCCCGCCTGGATCCCGCAGGGATCTCCATCCAGCCCGTTCTCGCGGCCCGAGTCGCCCACACATGCCACCCTGCCGTCACCGCACATGGCCACGAGTCTGCCGGACTCGATGCTGTCGACAAGCGATGACCAGCGCCGCATCCAAACGATCCTCCAGAACCGCTCGACCAATGTGTCGCCGACGCCGAGCGACACCAACACCGCGCGCGAGAGCGGGCTGTTCCATGGATACAACCCCTCGCACGGCTCCTTCTCGATGACGGACGGCGACCATGTGCACTTCCCGGTCATGGAGGAGATGTCGCAGGACGCGATCGAGGAAATGGTCGACAAGACCTTCCAGGCTGCCAAGGTCGAGCGCAAGGACTACATGTCCTTTGAGGAGTTCAAGGGCGTGGTCGAGAAGGACAGCAACTTGCTATCGTGGTTCGAGGTAGGCGACCTGCCTTCATTGTCTGATTGCCTGCAGACCGATTGATTGCGACTGCAGGTGGTGGTATCTGATTCCTCTCTCGTTTGCGCTCGTGTCGTCACCACACAGTCCCTCGGCAGCGTATTCTAGATTGCAAATCCAGAGCCGCACACGACGGTTGATGCGGAGACGGGTTGCAGCTGTTGCTGTTGTTGCTGTTGTTGTTGTTGTTGAGATATGCTATAGAGCCGAATATACTGTCGCTCCGACACAGTCCTCCACACGCCCCCGTGCGCACTAGTGCACTGTTGATGGTTGGCGGCGAGCAACACATCGGCGAGCTTTGCCAGCGATATCACGACCTTGATCGGCGTGCCGCCAGGACGGAACAGGATGACGGTGTGCAAGTCGATCATCGCTCATGGAGATCAACCCCCCATATATTTCACGATTATTATGCTCCCAACAGTTTCTGGGGAGGAACTGCGCAGGCCGGACAGACGGTGGTGGTGGTGATGGCGGTGGTGCACTTACGGTCACAAAGCTTGGAAGGCACTCAGAATAGAGAGGAATCGAAAGAAAAGAAAGAAACGTCGACAAGCGCACAGAGGAGCAAGAAAAAGAAAAAATGTGTGTAAGGGAGCAGTGGCGATTTGGAACCGGTGTTCAGTAGGCGATGTGCTGTGGACGGGGAGAGACGGTGTTTCCGTTGCGCCTCTCGGTCAAGGAAACTGGGCCAGCCGAGCGAGCACACTCAGGCGTGGTGGTGGTTGGGCTTGGGCTTGCTGGCCAGCTTGACCAGCTCGTCAAACTCGCCCGAGTCCTGGCACATCTTGTTGAAGATGCCGCCCTCCTTGTGCATCAGCTCCAGCGGTGTGCCCGTCTCGGCCACCTCTCCGTGGCTGAGCACCAGGATCTGGTCATAGTCGGCGATGGTGCGGACGCGGTGGGCGATACACAGCACCGTCGAGCGCGAGAACTCGGGTCCGCGGATGGTTTCCTGGATAAAGGCGTCGGTGTCGTTGTCGACCGAGGCCGTGGCTTCGTCGAGGATCGTGACGGCCGAGCGCTTCAGCAGCGCACGGGCCAAGCACAGCAGCTGGCGCTGGCCCTGACTGAAGTTGGAGCCGCCCTCGGAGACGGAGCTGGCCAGCGAGAACCCGGCCTTTTCGGCCGACTCGCGGTTGTTGAGTTCGTTGCGCTCGTTGCGCTGCTGTTGCTTCGAGTCCTCCACCTGCGGCAGATCGAGGGTCGAGTCGCTCGAGGCCAGCGAAGCCGCGCCCGAGTCCGTCTCGAGCTTCTTCTGCAGGGTCTGCAGGAAGCGCACGCGGATCAACACGTCCCACAGCTCGTCGTCGGGGTGCTCGTTGAAGGGGTCCAGGTTCGAGCGGATGTCGCCGTTGAAGAGGACAGGCTCCTGCGGGATGATGGTCAGCTTGCGGCGCAGGTCGCGCAGGCCGATCTTGGAGATGTCGACGCCGTCGATGGTGATGGTGCCCTGGGCGAGCTCCATGATGCGGAAGAGCGCGAGGGTCAGGGTCGACTTGCCGGCGCCGGTGCGGCCGACGATGCCGATCTTGCGGCGGCCCTTGAACTCGTACGAGATGCCGCGCAGGACCGGCTCCAGGTCGGGAGCATAGCGCACCTCGACGTTTTCAAAGACGATGCGGCCGTGTGTCGGCCAGTTCTCGGCAGGGCGGGTCTCGGGGATCTCCATGGGCGGCTCGTTGTCGATCTGCATGTACTCGTGCACACGCTCGACCGAGTTCATGCCCATCTCCATCTGGGCGTGCATGCGCACCAGCCAGAGCAGGTTCTCGGCAATGACAGTGACCCAGGTCAAGCTGAGGCCGGCAAAGCCGGCGCCGATAATGTCGCGCGACAGCAGGATCGAGCAGCCGGCAAAGAGGATGACAAGGCCAGTGATCAGGACGATGCGGACACTGAGCCAGCGGTTCGACGACCACATCATCTTGTGCACGCGGTGGTTCTTGTCGACCTTCTCCATGTTGTCCTGGATAAAGCGCTGCTCGTGGCCGTAGGCGCGGATGGTCGACACGCCGACGAGGCACTCGCTGAAGCTGCTGAAGATGGGGCTTCGCGAGACACTCTGCAGGCGCTTCATTTCTCTGCTCGAGGCGAGGTAGTACTGCGCAATCTTGATGTAGACGTAGCCGATGGGGAAGACGATGACCAGGAAGAGCGGCGTGATCCAGCCGACAATCGCGATGATGCTGAGGGTGCTGGTGACCTGGGTCAGGAACCACACGCAGCCGCCCATGACTTCGGTGTCGACCGAGGCAACGTCCTTCGACAGGCGGTTGGAGATGCGGCCCAGGGGGGTAACGTCGAACCAGCGGACAGGCGCATACATGACTCGCTCGATCAGCATCTCGTGCAGCTTCTTGGCAGCGCCGTAGGCGCCGAAGCAGCGGAAGGCGTACATGCCCGTGGTCACGACGACCAGGAAGATGTTCAAGGCCACGTAGATCGCCAGGTAGTAGCCAATATCGACGTCAGCAAGGGCGTTGAAGGCCGAGGTGTTGATGAAGAACGGAGTCAGGGGCTGCGCCTCGACGGCGGCGTAGGCTTCGGCCCAGATCTTGAGCCAGTAGTCGACCAGGAAGCGGACGCCGTTCTGGGCAAACAGGCCAGCGACAAAGATGAGGGCCAGGGCGAGGCCGCCGGTGGCCTGCAAATAGAACCAGTAGATCTTGGCCTTGACCGAGCCGGTGTCGGATCCCTCGTTCTCGATGAGCTTCTTGGCCTCCTCGGGGGTCTTGCCGTTGGCAAAGTCGGTGGTGGCGTCGGTGGCATCGGCATCGAGTTCCTCGCTGTGGGTCTCGGGCTGCTCCAGGCTGAGTCGGGCCTCTTCGGCGGCGATGATGGTGTCGACGCCAGAGACGTTCATTACCTCGCGGACGGCGCCGTGGGCAAAGATCCGGCCCTGGTTGACGACAACGAGGAAATCGGTGGAGGGGAGGGCAACACTGGTGGCGTGGGTGACGAGGATGCGGGTGCGGTGCTTGAGCAGGCCGACAATGCACTTGTGGAACAGGTGGCGGGCCGTGGGGGCGTCGACGGCAGAGAGCGGGTCGTCCAGCAGGATGTAGTGAGCTCGGGAGTATGCGGCGCGGGCGAGCGACACTCGCTGCTTCTGGCCGCCGGACAGGTTGATGCCCTTCTCGCCGATCTCGGTCAGGTCGCCGGCCTCGAATCCCTTGAGGTCCTTGGTCAGAGCGCAGGCCTCGATAACGCGCGCATAGCGGGCAGCGTCGTAGGGCTCGCCGAACAGAATGTTGTCGCGGATCGTGGCGTTGGCGAGCCAGGCCGTCTGGGCAACAAAGGCAACACCGGAACGGGGACCAGTCTTGAAGCGAGGATCGATCATGCGGTTCGAGCCCTGCAGGACGCTCATCTCGCCAAGGAGAGCACGGATAATCGACGACTTGCCAGAGCCGGTGGAGCCACAGATGGTGCTGAGCTTGCCGTCAGGGAAGGTGATGTTGATGTCGCGGAGGGTGAAGGACGCCTTCGGGGACTCGCTCGAGGACGAGCCGCTGGTGGAGGCGCCGTCGAGAAGCGGGGTGGTCTCGGGGGTCTTCTTGCGGAACAGGTTGCGCCACTTGCTGGGGTTGCTCGCGGTGGTCTCGGGGGTCGGGGAGTGGTGCCACTCGAACCAGGCGTCAGAGAAGCCGATGGCCGAGATGCTTTCGCCCTGGCTGATGACGGACTGCTCGGTGACCGAGTCGCTGTACTTTTCGAGCTCGGGCTCGTTGAGATAGCGGTTGATGCGGTTGACGGACACGTTCAGCTGGATGGCCTCCGAGATCATTTCGGGGAAGGCGGTGAGCGGGAACTTGAGGGTGTTGAAGAGAGCCAGGCAGGTGAAGGCCGTGGTGACGTCCAGGTCGTGGCCAAAGACGACGGTGTAGGTGAAGAAGGTGAAGATGGTGACCAGAGTTGGAACCAGACCCCAGAGGATGATGCTGAGGCCGTTGTAGGTAAAGTAACGGATCCACTCCTGCAGCTCGAGGTTTCGGGCCTCGGTGATGCGGTTCAGGAACTGCGGCTCCCAGGCAAAGAACTTGATGATGCGGATGGCCTGCAGGGCCTCCTGGGTGCGGGTGTTGCGCTTGTCGGACATGGCAAGCATCTTGTCGTAGCTGTGAGGCGATGGCGGCGTTAGCAGCGGCGAGGATATTGAGGCACAGAGTACAGCGACGCAGCAGTGGGCAGCGATTAGTGGGGTGCCGCAGCATCCACGGAGAGCCTGGGGTCAAGAACACCACATCAGCAGCGAGTGCACGCACGGCACGGGGGCCACACACTTACTAGGTGTTGAGACTGGTGGTGACAAAGGAGGTCAGGGGCATACTCAGGATCATAACACCGACACCGGCGAGCGCCGACCAGCCCAGGAAGCTGATCAGGGCAGCAATCGCAAAGATGATCTGGAGCGGCGTGGTGAAGATATAGACGAGGTAGTTGGAGCTGTTGGCGATCTTCTCGGCATCGAGCGACATGAGCGACACAATCTTGCCGTTGGTCTCGTCCTCGCCGCTCTCGAGGTTCTTGATGGGGGCCTGGGTCTTCTTGAGCGACTTTTCAAAGATCTGGGTGATGAGGACAGCGCGGATGCGGTGGATCATGCGGCCGCCGATGTAGAAGGCCTGGTTGTCGAGGATGGTCTCCATGATGGTGACAAAGAACAGGATGACGACAAAGGCCAGGCCAAAGGTGATGGGGCGGCCGTCGGGGGTCTGGATGTAGTTCATGATGTGGTAGGTGCAGAAGGGGGCGCCAAAGCTCAGGACGGCGGTGAGCAGCGTCAAACCGAGCTGCATCAGGAAGGGGTGGAGCTCCATGGCAATCAGACGGTAGCCCAGATGGGTGTAGCGGCTCTTGTACTGGCCCTTGTAGCGCTGGCTGACGCTCTCGGCACGATCAAAGGGCAGGAGCTCGAAGGCGTTGGTTATCTTGAACGGCGACTTGAAGCCATCGGCGAGAGTGTTGTCCATCCAGGCAAAGGTGCAGAACTCGAGAAGCGAGTACTGGAACTCGGGCGAGGGAACGGCCTGTCGACAGCGGCTCTGGTCAGCAAAGGGATACGGAGGACGTTGCACTCGACACACAAGCCGGTCCAAATCCAGGGGAACAGAGCTCAACTTACGCCCTTGCCGTCGGGTCCACGGAGATAGTTTTGCTCTTCTCGGGCATAGCTGTTGCGGATCTGGATGCGCAGAACAACGTCGGAGCTCCACAGCGCCACTGAGACGATCAGCGCGATCGAGATGTAGGCAACATCGGCCGACTCGCCCGCGAGGAGAGCGTTGTGGAGTTGGAAGCCCTTGATGAGCACACAGGCGAAAGCAAAGATCTGGGCGACAGACCGCAGTTGGGGCTTGGCCTGGGTAGTGGCAGTACGGGTGGAGACGAGCTCGATGACAAACACAACAGCCTGGGAAACGGACCGGATTAGAGCGATTCACGGCGATCCACAGCGATTCACGGCGATCCACGGCGATCCACGGCGATCCACGGCGATCCACAGCGATTCACAGCGATTCACAGCGATCCACAGCGATTCACGGCGATTCACAGCGATTCACGCACCAGCGAGTGTGCGCCTGCATCTCCCCCTCACACAGACGGTCTCCACCACGACGCAACTCACCCAGAGACTGGTCCAAATCAGAATCGAGGCGCTTTCGATCGAGTCCTTCGATCCAGCATAGACACCCGAGGCCCACTCATACACGCTGACGGCGATCTCGAGGGTAATGATGCTCAAGGTGGCCGCGCGCAAGGTGGGCGAGAAAGCAAGCGACTTGACAGAGACGTGGGCTTCGGTGGTCTCCTCGGTCGGGATGGCTCCGTAGCTGTGTCCGGCCGAGCCCGCCAGCAGGGGCGAGACAGAGGCCGACGAGCCAAGTCGGCTGAAGCGATGCCACAGCTGGGGGCCGTAGATGGCAAGGATGGCCAGGAGCAGAACAGTGGCAGGGGCAGCGGTGCCGAGGTAGCTGTCCGGGACAGGAGCGAGAGAGGGGCGAGTGAGCGACTGTCGAGCCAAACCGAGCCAAACCGAGCCAAGGCCCCGGCGCTGTTCTCGAATGCGATTCAGACGACCAGCCCACCCTCCGCCATGCGGAATCGGAGACTTACAAGTGCTCGTAGCAGGACTGGAGCCAGTAGTGCCCGGCGGAGCCTTCCCAGACGGGAGCGCTGCACAGAGTGAGGGCCATGGCGGACAGCAGAGGGCTATCTCGGACAGGCAGCAGGAGAGATGCAGGTCAAGACCGACGAGCGCACACCCGCTGGCTTTATAGGGCCTAAATCGGGCATATGACCGCCTGTCCCATCCCCGTCCCATGCCTGGTCTCCCAAAAAAAAAAAGTTGATCCGTCCAGCGCGGTCAGCGTGGCCTTGCTGTCGCCAGCGACCCAAAATTAGAGCAATTCGCAACAGCGCCGGGCTGCGACAGCTTGCTGCGACGTCGCACTCACGCAGCGCCGCGCAGAGATTTCAAATGCCATGGGCGCGAGCCCCGCAAGCCTTGCTGGTCTGTGGTTGTTTGCCGACAAGCCGAGCGAGGTCGGCGATGGCCTTGTGGGTTTGTACACCGGGCTGGGGGCCAGCCGTGGAAGGCGCAGTTCCCACGGCCCAACCACCAACCTCCACGGGGCGCCGCAGACCGAGACTGCCCGATCACAGCCCGGCCCGAGGGTTGCGGGCGGTGCTGTCGCTGTCGATATCGCTGCGGCGCCTGCCCGAGAGCCGCCAGCGATGTGCCAGCGATGTGCCAGCAATAGCGCCAAGCATCGGTGCCAGCAATGTCGTCAAGCACTGTCGCAGGACAGAGTCGCTGACCGAGATGCCCGGTCGCCGATGGCACTGCTCGTTGCCAAGAAGCGTGGGGTCGATCGCCAAGACAAGACCGCACTCTCCTTGTCGGCCCCGCCAACGGCGTGCCCGCACATGGCTCTCGACCTTGCAACAGACCCTGGCTCGGGCCGGCCACCCTGGTCGTTGGGCAGCCATGGCACGGGGCGGCGGACGAGCCATGCGACTCATGCAATCTCTGCCATGCGACTCATGCAATCCCGGCCATTCGTCATCATCGTCAGGGTCGGGTACGGTCTGTCGATTGTCGAATCCCACCCTTTGGCGACTCGCCATAGCACCCCAATTCCGGCGCATCGACTCGTACGCTGATGGTTCCGCTCGCTGTCGATCCTTGCGGCATTCGCCCTCTTCGCTTGGCCAACGCTTTTCCGCATTCGGGCGTTTGCAAACGAGTCTATCGAGGGGGAGGGGATGGATTGTATCGCTCCTCCGCTGGAGCAACACAACGGCAGCAACAGCGCGGGGCTCCCATTCAGCATGCAGGCGTTCGCCGCGATATGGCCGCTGAGCAGTATTGGGTGGTTCGGGACCGTCTCCTCATACCGATGGTATCTGCGGCAGCTCCAATGAGCACGAATCCCTCGTGGCCGACCGGCGGCTTCGTGCTTGCAGCGCCTGCGAAACGCTGCCAATCGACGATCGGATAAAAGCAATCCTCGGACAGCCAAGCTATCGCAACCAAGCTATCACAACCAAGCTATCACAACCAAGCCATCGCAGTCCGGCCAGACCAGAGCAAACCCGCATAGCTGCTGCCTCATGTCCACTCCAGAGAAGCTCGGCAGCCAAGGTAAGCCTCGGCTCGCGAAACACATCGACCAGACCAGGATGCAGACGTCTCGCTCGACGACTCACATTCTTTTGGCCGGGCCCGTTTGCCCTTGGCTTGCCTCGCGGCGGCTCGCCAGTCGACCAAATCTTGAACTGGAAGTGTGCTCTGAGTCGGCAGAAACATGATGTCTTCATCAGGTATGGCTCTGTTTGTGCTGCTACCCCAACAGCCCAGCACCGGTCTAATCTTCTCTGGCCCTTCTCCTCCCACAGCTACCGAGCGGCAACAGAAGAGCATGTTGCAACTGCGCTCCATTCGGCGCTCAGTGTCGCTCATCTCACGGGCAGAGCGATCCATCCCTATCTCGACCGTCTTTGCATTCCAAAGAGCACAGATTGGCCGAGAGAGTTTGTCAATGGGCTCCTGAGCTCCCAGATCATTACGATTTTGATTTCAAAGGACGGGCTGGAGAAGGCCAAGCGAGCCCACATCGAGCCCGACAATTTCTTCCTCGAGGTGAGCCACATCGCATTGTGCATCAGTGGTGTCGGCATTGCGGACCCGCATGGGCCTGTCCAGCCCCAGCGACCAACATCCGTCCTTGCCTGTTTGTCTGCCGCCACTGCTGCCCCGAACAGATACAGCTTGCCATGCTTCAGAAGATCTCGTCCACGAACACCGGTCGCCCGGTGGTTGTTCAGCCGGTGTTCATGTTCACCAAGCAGACAATCGACAACGACGAGGTCTTTCGGTCCTTCCAGCCCAATCCCAGGGAGTTTCCTGAAGAGCTCCCCTGTCACCCAGACTCCCCCTTGTTTGACGGGAAGCGGTGGTCTATTCGACAAACAATCCAGCAGATCCTCACGATCCAATCTCTCCATGCTACAAACGCACAGAATCTCGTGCTGTAGGTATCCGGACATATGGGAGGGTCGATCCCCACTCGTTTCGCAGATGGGTGCTGACGGATGCTGACGGATGCTGACGGATGCTAATGGGTCCAGCAGCGTACTGACCGATCTTGTTGTGCCAGCCTCGCACCGCACTTCCTTCAGCTCTGTTCCAGGGCCGAGGTGGCTTCTCGCCCAATGTCCTTCTATGATGTCCAGGAACACATCTTCTTGACGGCAGCCGAGGACACGCAGCTGCGTGTCCTCCTCGAGCCCGTCGACTCGAATCCAGACAGAAGAGTCCTTGAGGCCCTCTACGTCAAGGATACCCGCCAGTGGCTGTTGGACCATGTCGCCGACTGGGTCAACCAGAAAAATGACGACCGCGTGCTGTGGCTGAGTGCCATCGCCGGTGTCGGCAAGTCCGTCGCTGCTGCCCAGATCGCCAACATGCTCCAGAGCCGGGACCAGTTGGCAACCTCGATCTTCCTCAAGTACAACGACACCCGCAAGAACAACCCCCGCATCCTGCTGACCACAATTGCGTATGGCTTATGCAAGTGGTATGCTCCCATCGGCCGCCGATTGCTGGCCTCCGGCCTCACCAAGAGCGACATCGCCAACAGAACCATCCCCGAGCTATTCAAGGCACTGGTCGAGAATCCGCTGTACGCCCTGAGCAAGTATCAGCCCAGGGGAGCTGTCGTCGTGATGGTCGATGGATTGGACGAATGCCATCCCCGCGACGAGATTCTCTCGCTGCTTGCTGGCGGACTCCATCAACTCCAGTCGCACAAATCCTGGCTCAAGCTGCTGTTGACATCTCGCCCCGAGGTCGATATCAAAACTGCCTTCCGAGACGTCCCTACCAAGACGATCGAGCCGTCGAGCGCGGACAACATCCGTGACCTCCGTGTGTTCATCAACCACCGGCTCAGGAATCATGTCAACTTGAGCGATCGAGACCGCGCCGAGGCCATCGAGGTCCTCCTCAACGAACCAGCGCAAGCGACGTATGATCCAAACAAGACCTTCGTTTGGGTCAACTTGGTCCTCAACACACTCGAGCAGGACGCTGGCCGGGACGCCCTGACCCTTACTCAGATCCGCGAAGCTGTCGCAAACCCGGGGGATCTCAAGGCCCTCTATCAGAGGACCTTTGAGAACATCTATACGCACTGTCCGCACCAGTCGCAACTTGTGGTGGTGATCTCGGCCCTCGCCACCGCCCAGTCGATCCTGACCCCCAAAATCCTGGCCGATATCTTTTTTTGGGACATTAGCCGGAACGATGCCCTCGCGGTCATCAACAAGTGTCTCACGGCCCTCAGTCTTCTGCTCGACTGGTGTGGCGATACAGCCCAAGACGACGCAACGGTCCGCTTCAACCACAAGTCCGTGCCCGATTATCTCCTTGGCGATGGCTCCAGAGGCGAGATCTGGCACGTTCGCAGTCGATTCCACCTTACCTTTGCGGCCCGGTGTCTCCTCCAGATCACCCGCAGTCGCCATACCATCAACATCTGCGACATTTACGATTTTCATGACCGGATTCCCGATTTTGAGGATCGGGTCAAGGACAAGATCACGCCCACGCTTCGATATAGCGTCGCTCACTGGATCACCCATTTTGTGTGGCTTTTCAACGAGACGGAGGAAGCCCCGCCCCAGTCGCCGAAACTGTCTGCACACACATCAAAGACGAGCACCAGCACGAAGGGCATCTGGACCGAGTACCAATCCAGTACGCTCATCGGATTCGACAGCACTGGCAGCGGCGATGTGTCCACGCTTCTCCCCAAGTTCCTGTCGAGCCATGTACTCTTCTGGCTCGAATGCGGCTCGCTGACCCGGGTCACTCGCTATCTCATCGGGCAGCTCGGCAATCTCCGGCTGCTTGTCGCCCGAGCACCCAGCACCCTCGTCGACGACAGTACCAAGACCCTCGTCACCGATACATACAGATTCATCCGCGAATTTGCGGACCCGATCATCGCCAGCGCCCCACAGGTGTACAACTCGGGCTTCGCCTTCATGCCCAAGGGCACGCTCCTCTACAAGACCTATGCCGATCGTCTTGAAGAAAGCATCCCGTTTCTGGTCACGACTGGACCTGCTCCAGGGTGGGATCCATGCGAAGTCGTCCTGTCGGAGCACCGAAACGGAGTCAATGCCGTTGCTCTGACACCGGACGGACACACGATCGTGTCTGGCTCGGGCGACCGTACGATCAAGGTGTGGGACTCCATCACGGGGCAGAACAAGCTGACTCTCAAGGGGCACGAGGGCCCGGTCAATTCGGTCTGTGTCTCCGCCGACGGCAAGCAGATCGTCTCTGGGTCCAATGACAACACCGTCAAGATCTGGGATGTTGTCGGCGGCCGCCTCAGGAGCACGCTCCAAGGGCACACGGGCTGGGTCACCTCGGTCGCTATCTCCCGTAGCGGGAGGTGGGTTGTATCCGGCTCGAAGGACAAGACCATCAGGGTCTGGGACACATCCGTGGATCAACTCAAGTACTGCATCGAGGAGCACGATGACACAGTCAACGCCGTGACCCTGACCGCAGACGAGAAGCATATCGTCTCGGTATCGCAAGACCAGACCATTTGCGTTTGGGACCTACAGTCTGGCCAGAGTCGGCAAAAGATCCACTACCCAAAGGACCCGCTCAGGTCCGTTGCCGTTTCTGGAGACGGCAAGTTGATTGTGGCTGGGTCCAGCAACGGCAACATTGGTGTCTGGCTCTTGGCCACGGGTCGGCTCACGAAAGAACTCTCGGGCCACTCAGGATCGGTCGAGTGCGTTGCCGTCGCGCGGGACAACCGCACCATTGTCTCTGGATCGCGGGACCACACCATCAGGCTGTGGGATGTCGCCACCGACCAACATTCTCGTATGCTCACGGGCCACGCTCAGACCGTCAAGTCCGTTGCCATTTCGTCGGATGGGGCGATGGTGGTCTCCGGCTCCTGGGACAAAACGATTCGGATCTGGGACAGCGACTCGACCCGAGCCAATCCGGCCGTGCGTGAGCACCGGAATGCAGTGAGGTCCTTTGTCACATCCGAAGATGATCGGGTGCTGGTCTCTGCCTCGACCGACAAAGGCGTCATGATTTGGGATGCCATCACGGGCCAGCACAAGCACACTCTCGAGAATCACACAGGCGCGGTCAATGTCACTGCCGTCTCGCGAGACTGCCGCGTCGTTGTTTCGGGATCAAACGACAAGACCGTGATGGTTTGGGATGCCGTGACCGGCCAGCTGAAGCAGACCCTCGAGGGACACGCCACCAACATCAAATCTGTATGGATAGCGCCGAACCGCCGGACCATCGTCTCGGAAGATGTCGAAGGGCAGTCCATCACTTGGGCCCTGAAGAAAGGAGAGTTTGAGCGCACAGCAAGCACCTCGGATATTTCGCCCAAGTCAGACGGGAAATTGCCTCTGGAGTCTGAGGGATGGTCCGCTGTGAGCGGTGCGCTGCCGCAGTGGATCCGCCATGGTGATCATATGCTGAAAGTTCCACACGCCTGTTTCGGATGGGACGGCCGCCAGACAAGCTCCCTCGGCACCCTCAGAATGTGGACCCGCGACTCGCCCTGCCGCCTTGTGGCAATTCATGTGAGTTGTGGTGCATCCAAAACGGTCTTGCAACGGGCGCGGACAGAGAGCACAGATATGGCCACGGCTGTGAGTCGGAGCTGGCATGATTCGAAAGTGTTGTCGTCTCCTGGCACATCTAACCTTCCGTCTCCCACAGCCCGTTCATCGCCGTGACATGCATTCAGAATATGTCATGGCCTACTTTTACCAGAACTGCTCGGACAGTTCGAACCGGCAGGCCAAGGCGCTGCGACTGCTCCGATCCTCGGCCAAAAAGGGCTTTGACGGTGCCAAGGTTCGCCTTGGAGCCTACCTCACCAGGCTGTCGCAGAATCAGGACCACGCTCATGAAATCTTCAACTCGTACCTGGATGCCGCGAGGAACTTGCATCCAGATGCCCAGTTCCATCTTGCAAATTGCTACGAACTGGGACTCGGGGTCGTGCCAAGCATCAGCACCGCATTGAAGCTGTACGCTGACGCTGCAAACAATGGGCATCACAAAGCATCGATGTGGGTCGCCCGATACTGCGAACGTGACCGAAATCCGCGCTTGAGCCTGGGAAGAGCCTTGGGTTGGTATCAGCGTGCCGCCGACCTGTGGTATCCCGAAGCCGAGTACAAACTCGGCCAGTTCTACGAGACCGGACAAGACGTAGCGATGGATTTGTCCGTGGCGCTCTACTGGTACCAGAAGGCCGCCAAACAGGGCCATGTGCTGGCTCAACACGCACTGGGCCAGATCTATGAAAAGGGAACCGGCGTCGGGGGCGCGGACCTGCTCTTGGCACTCGAGTGGTTCACATTTGCTGCGAAGCAGAACCACGAGCCATCCAAGCAGGCCTCGCTCCGACTCTGGACGCTGCTGGCCAACCAGGGAAGCTCCGAATTCCAACTCAAGCTGGCAGAGATTTACGAACATGGTACCAGCGTACCGAGGGACCTGGGTGCTGCCTTCTCGTGGTATTCGAAGGCAGCCGAAAACAGCCCCGAGGGTCTGTACCATCTTGGCCGCTGCTACAGTACAGGGGTTGGATGTCAGCCGAATCCATCACTGGCGTTTGACTATTACAGACAAGCCGCGGATAGGGGACACACCGAGGGCCGATACAACACTGCACGTTGCTACGAAGACGGCCTCGGAACGGACAAAAACCAGAACGAAGCTATGGTACATTACGAGCAAGCAGCACTGCAGGGACACAAACGGGCGTGCCACGATCTGGGCCGGTGCTTCGAGAACGCTATCGGCACAGTCAAGGATCCGATCAAAGCGTTCACATGGTACCAGAAGGCCGCGGATATGGGTGTGGCCGAATCGATCTGGCATGTTGGACGATGTCACGAGAGAGGAATCGGCACCACCCAGGATCATCAGGCGGCCTTCAAGCGCTATCGGGACGCAGCCAAGTCTGGGAACCACAGCGCGATGCTCGATCTCGGCCGATGCCATGAACAAGGGCTCGGGACTGTAATGGACCAGGAGGCTGCTCTCAAGTGTTACCACTGCGCCATTGAAAGCAACGTCGCAGGCGCCCAGGAAGCCTATCAAGCTCTGCAGCGTGCACTCAATCCCGAACACCCAGCAGCGCAGCCCCAGGCGCCGCTCGAGTCACCAAAATCCTCGCCGGAGACTTACTATACATGCTCGATCCAATAAAAAACGGGAGACCCCGGATTTTGAGCATTGGTGAATGTTCTGATTCAAAACATCGCCCGCTGGGTATGACCATTCGGTGATGGAATTCTGGATCTGAATCAAGGACGCTTTCCCCCACAGATGGTTCACCGTAAGCGAAAGACGCTACACAGGCGACCAAGTGGATCCAGAGTACTCACAAGGCCCTTGGTCTGCAGCAACGGATGAGCACTGGACAAACAGCTGCACTTCAGCTTGACTCGGCGACGGCGATTCAAGCGACTCGATCTCCACAGCAAGCGACAGCGCACTGTCCACGAGATGTGCAAGCAAGTCATCGACCAGGCACCAAGGGAGACCGAAGTGGTGATTGCCTTTGGGAATGCCTCCTGGAAGCAAGGGAAGGGATATGCATCCAACCCACGGAGACTCTGGTTCGCCAAGTACTTTGAGCAATTCATCCACCATCAGAGACGGCCACCAGCAGAAAGTCGAGGCTGTATTGGATAGCACGTCCGCACCATGTCGCGACCGTGATGCATAGAAGTTTGCTGCCTACTTTGGCTATCACCGCCACATAACGGCGGATCCCATGTCCTTGCTCGTAGCTGTTCGGTCAGGGTCATAAGAATCATAGTGGAAAGGAAAAAGTAACACACAGCGCCAACACAGGCGGCCTGGGTCCAAGACCGAGACCGGAGCCTGGTCTCCAGTACATTTCTCAGACTATCCCAGGAGAGGCCGCTGTTCGTGCGTGTCGCCGTGCCGGCTCCGGACCGCCGACTTGAGCAGGGACTCGATCCGTTCCTGCCAGAGGGCAATGGTTGATCGCTTGCGCTCCACCTTCTTGATGCGGTCGACCAGCAGTCGGGATTTCTGATCAAAGGTGACATAGATGCACACGAGCACCGTCACCACAGTCGCGATGGAGCAGCTTGCCACGATCATGAACATGATGATCTGCTGGTACCGCACAGCATCGGCGATGGGCGTCCCACCGAGGATCTGGCCCGTCATCATGCTTGGGATCGTTGTTGGGCGGATATGGATGTCATGGATGTCACGGACAAGGAAGCATGCCAGTCAGTTCGTAGGATTCGCTCTGCTGGCGATCACACAGCTGCGCTGCCGGTACGTTTCTCCATAGGTTGAGAGTCGGCTGTCTTTGTTCGTCGGGTGACGAGGTCGATGAATGCACACAATCGATCAAGATCAAGCCGTACGATAGAATAGTCTCCGGACATGCACTTACCCAGGGATCGAGATCAGTCCCATGACGCTCATTGCATTGAGGGTCGGCAGCAGCGCCAGCTTGATGGCTTCGATGGCGACGGGGCGCGCTGGGTATAGAAAGTAAAGCCTCAGTCAGCGATCGCATAGCGCTCCGAGTGGGTCTATTGAGAGGCACACGAAGCCGTGATTTGGAGGGAGGTACTTTTTTGGCACAACTACCCCCTGGGCATGTTCCGCCTGGCCATGCGCTCTCGGGTCTTACCCGCTTCCCATGTCGTGGCACCAAAGGCAAGGTACATTTCGATTCGCTCCTTCTTATCCGTGAGCTGCGACATGGTGCTGTTCAAGCCGACGGCGACACCAGCCACTACGATGCGATGTGACGATGTGACGATACGACGATTAAATGCCAATCGATTCCAATTCCAGCAGCCATAACAGCAGGAGTAACAGGTGGGGGGGGGGAAGGAAATGATACGTTGTATCAGCCACTTAATCGGAGCAGGAGCAAAGCAGCTTGGACGGATGGTGCTGCTGTTCTTTCGGGACTGTGGTGAGGATCAACACTCGGGACTTACTTGAGTTTCCGAGCAGCATTCCGAGGGTGGGGATGAACTCACGCGCGCCGAACCAAGGTGCAGCACCGATGGCATATGCGTTTCCTGGTTGACAGTATGCAAGACGCCAGCGAGGCTTGGTGAATGCGTCTTCGTGTAGCAACTGGCAGATAGAGACCAAAGAGCCGCAAGTCCAAAGCAGCATCGGCTGAGAGGGCGATGAGGAACGGCTCCATACCAATGTAGTTGACCATGCCTGTGCTGAGCACCATCGAGAACAGCACCGAGCCGAACATCCAGTCATGGCGGAACTTGCTCTTGTTGTAGACAATCTCAATGGCCGAAACGAACATGAGCAGGACTAGGTATACGGTTGTTTTTTTGGAAGGGAGAAGGGAGAGAGGGTGAGAAGAGCCCAGATGTTGCGTTGGTCCGGACAATGAAGGTGACGGAACGAGGAATGGGTTGTTGGAGCAGACCACGATCCATGCCAAATCGATGGTTGATCTCGATCGCATACTTCCAACATTTCCGCGCCGGTTTCAACGCCATGATATCCGCTTGATGTCGGAGCGGGCCGAGCGAGCCCACCACTATGCATAACGCACGGACGATTCCACCGACCACGCTTGTGAGTGATGGTGATGCGATGCACTTACATGCGAACGGGAAGACAAATAGCGGGCCATCGTTTGAAAAGACTGTCGCCCGCATGGGCCGGGGACAAATGGACCAAAGATCTGTCAGCGTCTGTCAATCTGCGACGGCGGTCATCCTTTGACTTGACCGGCCCAAACGTCTGCTCCATTGCGAGTGATAAAGTGCAATCCCAACTCGGACAAGGACTTACTGGGCTCCAGTACGTATCCCATAATGGTCAGTTGCACGATGCATCTGAAGAAAGGCATGGGGCTGAGTGAGGGCGGTGGCAAAAGATGGCTGGGCTGGAGCCAGATAGCCCCTTCCCGATCAGCGACACCAGCGACACCAGCGACATCAAATACCAAAGAAGGGATTCGTGTGAGGAAAGGGCTTCTATTCGGCATCTTACCGCAGCGCCGAGACCAACAGGGTGCGCTCGAGACCCAGGCCGAACCAAAGCGAGATGAGGCCGTTGACGAATAGCAAGGTCGAAGCGATTGCGACATTCTTCCATTCCTGACCCGAATGAAGGAAGACCGTCGTCAGACTCTGGATGAACAGGCTTTCTTCCCTCCACCCCCCCCCATGAGATACAAAGGGAGGTGAACCGAGAAAATACTGTGGAGTCGGGCCGTTCGAGTGGACGAGTTTGGACCTGCTCTTCTGTTCGCAGCGCTGATTGCAGCGCTGACTGCGGCAAAAGCGGGTCCAATGCACTTGGACTACGATGCATCTCTTGTGCCTTGATGCATGGATTGCAGAACTCACCAAGTGGACGACGCTGCCATCCAACTGTTCCATCGACATGGTGAATGCTTTGCTTGGTGCAGGTGTAGATGCGATGCAGTCGCAGAGCGAGGGAGGAACGGCTGGGGAGCGAAGAGGGTGATTTGGACGGGGGCCAATCCGACACGCGACGATTTGCAATGGCAGAGACCAGATCAATGGCCGCCCGCTCGCTGGGACCCAGCACTCAGCCGCGATTCATCGCAGATCGAGGCGCTAAATCAATGGGGAGGATTCATCGACAAGCGGCCAAACACGCACGGCATTCTGAAGCGAGTAGAGCCTCACGCCGGCTTTCTTTCCCCGCCTCCATCGCATGGAAGATACATATAGATTGAAATCCAATGACAAAAGCAATATAGCGACACGACTGTGGGCGGATAGGCTTATAGAGAGGAATCACGAGTGGTCAATGCTCATCCAGGCAGCTCGACAAATCCTGAACAAGAAAAGGAAGCAACCAAAGGCAGAAGTAAACAACTGGAGAAGGGATTCTGTTCTTTGGGCGGGGGTTTGCAAGCTCGTGGGAAATTGAAGGATGCGAATGATGCCGATTTGCATATCGCTTGTGGGGCCCGACAGAGGTTCCAAAAAAGAGCGAGAGCGAGAGAGACGAGGCTTGCATATTGGAAAAAAAAAGAACTTCAATGTAAAAAAAAAAAGAATAAAAGCGGAATGAAATAGCAACAACGACGACGGCGCCGAACGTAACGGGTCGCCGATAAGATCAAACAAGAGGCTCCCGCTCAGCAGGGGTTCCCTCCTCGAGCTTGGGCTGGTTTCGCAGCGACCAGATCGACTTGAGCGCATAGAGAATGATGACGACGCCACAGACGACGCCGGGATAATAAATGAGGGAGTCGCCCGGATGGTTGAGGGCCACGGTGATGACGGTCCTATGTCGACACAGTCAAATGCCGCGAGGGCAAGAGTCAGTCGATTGTTCAGGGGATCATTCCCGGAGCCAGTGGCGTTTGGTGTATCGATAGCGTATGCAGTGGTCAGAAAGGGGCAGCGCGGGGCCGAGGCAATTCCTGCGACTCTCCAGCTTGGCATGCATCTCTCCAGCCCGGCACAGCTTCCTCCGACGTGCTCTCCTTCTCATCCCACTTCCGTCAGACTCCTCAACCTACCAGGCCGTGACCAGCAATCCAATGGGGTCGTCGATCTTGCGGCTCTTGGAGAAGATGGCAGCAGGGATCTGGAACAGCAGCCAAACATACACGTAGACATAGTCCTCCCACTGCGAGCCGGTTTCGGATCCATCGTCTTCCTCGGGGCGCTTCCACAGCGTGGCCAGGAAGGCAGCCAGCGTCAGCCAGTTGATAAAGACCAGCCAGGCATGCAGGGCCGAAATGGGCCAGTGCACCAACACGGTCTCGACGAGGCTCTTGTTGGGGAACTTTTGGATCAGGTTGAGGGCGATGATGAAGAGCGAGAACGACGGCACGAGTGCCAGGAAGAAGGCCACCAAGAGCTGGTCCTCGGTCCAGGCCACAAACCAGAGCGAGATCGAGGCAGCGCTAACGGCGAACCAGGGGCCGATGGCCTTCTGGACAATGGGCTGGGCCGAATGCAGGAACTGGCGAGGCGGTGTGCGTCGTGCGGGATTCGATGCGTCGTGCGGGATTCGATGGGATGTGGGTGCAGCAGGAGAGGATGCGTCCGTTTGGGTTGACGGGATTCATGTGGAAGGGGCCGGTAGCCACAGATTCCATTGGCAAGTTGATGGATCTCATTAGCAAGTGCGATGGCTTCATCTTTCAAGCGGCACAGTCACCCGGCAGCCAGCCAGGTTCTGAAGCGCCTCAGCTCTCTTGGCCCCGCAATGTCCAGCCACCGCCCAATGGCTCATCCTACCTGCCAAACCAACAGAGCAGCGAGCAGGGCGTATATGGGTGCCAAAATATAGCTCGCCCACAGCGCCGGGGTCAGGTTCGTCGGATGCAGCGAGTAGACATCCTGGGTGCGTGCCAGGGCAAAGTAGGCATGCGTCGAGATGAGGCTGACGAAACTCAGGACGTTCACGACCTGGTTGTGAGGACATAAGCGGTTCGGACCATGGATATCATGTGTGATAAAGCCATGGATTGTGGGTATAGGTTATAGATCTGCATCAGTACAGAATTCACAGGTACTGGAGGGGAGAACAGGCCAGGACACAGAGATATGCATGACGCACGACGAAACAGGGCGGGGTGGTGTTGGCCGGGGAGCAGGACGAGCTGCTGTCGATGCGATTGACAAAACGCAACGGAGCATGACCACCGACCTTGAGCCACAGTTGCGGATGCTCGGCGTCCATGTTGAAGGGGTGCAGCGGTGCAGCGATCGAGACAGTCCTGACGAGTACGCAGGGGGACTCTGCGAGCTCTGATGATGACAACGACGGCGATGGGTGGCGCTTGGAGACTGACCGGGCTTTGGAAGTGTCTGAGGACGAGGAGCAAGCGAGAGACGGGCGAGAAGCAGGCGAGAAGCAGGCGAGCCATGCCGCACGTGGTGCGGCGGTTGCGATTTCATGCGCAAGATCAATCCCGTTCGATCTGCGTATTCCGATTTGGACGGGCTGGATACGCCCCGAGGCCGGTGTGCGTTCAAACGAAGCAGTGTCGGTTCTATTGTGCAATCAGACGGACCGCTCGCCAAGACGGCGCAGGGCAAGTGAATACCGGGGGGGGGATGCTGCCCGATAGAACATGGACCAAAGACTCACAGGCACAAATCAAGAGACGGTAAAAAGCAGGATAAAAAGAGGTCATGGCAGCCCAAAAAGCCGCCGATGATGAGCCTAGCTCGTCGGTTGGTGGCAGGGTGGTTGATTTTCAGAGGGGGCTGGAGTACTACTGGCGCCACTCGTTAGGGTCAGTGAAGAGCTGGGCATAGCAAGGAGTGCCCTTGGCATTGTAGTGGCCCAAGAGCAACTCGGCGAGCTGGTCTGCCTGCCGGGCTTGCGCGATGACCGAGTTGCACTGGAGAAGGCAGATAAGATCACCGTCAGGACTCGGACTCGGCGTCGAATGAGGAAGGGCAATGCACTCCAATCCATGCACTCCAATCCAATGCAATGCAGACAAAGCCGCCCAGGTTCACACTCGGCCATCCGACACTTTCACTGCCAGGATCGGGCTTGCCGGCAAAGCCGAACACCACACGGACACAGGGTTGCATGGCGGGCTCATGGCGTCGAGCGCACAGACGAATCAGCACGGATATGCTTACCAGCAGGCAAAAGTGCCAGTGGCACTGGGGACAAGTCATGTGGTTGCAGCCTTCGCTCCGCTCGATCGGCAGGCCGCAGTTGCTGTTTGGGCACTTTGCGATGTTGCGGTTGGCCTCGCGGCCATCCAGAACGTCATCGGCGGGCTTTCGGGTGGGGCACGGTTTGTTGTGATGCCAGTATTGGGTATCGCACTTCAGGCACCATTGCAGCTGGCACTCTGGACAGTAGACGAAATCATTGTCGTCCTCCCGCTCAAATGCACTGGCACAATCGGGTCTGGGACACTGGATTAGGCTGCTGCCGCTGCCGAGGTAAATCGACTGGATGGCGTTCTTGATGTAGATATCGTAGTACTGATCTCGGTTGGTGAGATAGCGGATAACGGACTCGCTGACGATGGTGGGGACTTTGACGGCCTTGCAAGACGGGCAAGAGATGGGGAACTGTCTGGAGGCAATGGCGTTCTTGACGTACTGCTTGGCACAGTCGTAACAAAAGTCATGGCCGCAGGAGAGGGCGCAGGCGTATTTGGTCTTTTGCCTTTCGTCGCAGATGGAGCAGGTCAGGTATTGGTCCGAGGGAGCGCGCGAATGGACCCGAACGAGTTCCCCAGTGGGCTCCTTGGGCTTGGGAGGCTCGGAAGGAGGAGGAGGAGGAGGAGGAAGGGGAGGCAGAGGGGCAGTTGGCTCCTCGGGGATCTGAAATGTGCAAAGCAAGGATATCGCGGGTTAGGACTGGCAAGAAGCAGCCCGCTGGACGAAGGGAGCAACGGCTGTGATCGAGCGCAGGCGAGCCCTATCACACAACGCTGGTTGGCGATCGAGATCCAAGCACAGAGCCAAATGGAGGATTGAATGGGATGACCCACGTTTTGTTCGGCGGCTGAGGGTTGTGGTTGCCGACGGCAGCGGAAAAGGAAAGGGAAGGGGAAACATACCGGAGGCTGGTAGGTAGGTCGATTTGCCTGCTCTTTGCGAGCCTGAGAGCGGTGGGAGAGACATCGAGTGCGGTCAGCGCATGTGGGTGGGTGTTAGAGAGACGGGGACACAGCCATCAGCGGATGCCAGAGCTGTTGATGGAGCAGAGACACTCACGGCTTTTTTGCTGGAAGAATTGCCTATGGAAGAGACGGCGTCGCAGGAAGACGTAGAGTCCAGACCGAGTCAGAGGCAAGCACATACGGCAGCAAGTCGTCGACAGCGAATGTCAAGGACGCAGCGGCAGCCAGGGGGCTTGGCGCAAAAGTCCTGGCCATGGCTGGCAGCAAGCCGGCACCGATCAGCGGGGCAGATCAGGGGAGGGTCGCCGCAGACCTACCCATGGCGATTCTCGGAAGATTGGAGGATCGGCAGCAAAGAGCGGTGAAGCAACAGGCCCGGGAAGAGCAAGCCAAGGCAGTCGCGGGTGGTTGGGCAAAACAGCCGAGCCGAGCCGATGGGCAGGAGGTGAAAGGAAATCAGGTCGGGCGAAGGACGTCCTTTTGAGTCTTTTGGTGCGCGGCGGGCCTGGCGGTGGCGGTGTGCGCCGCACCTGTGCGACACGGGGTATCGGCGCAGATTGTGTGGGCCACAGTGTGCTGCCCGCCATGTGCGACAGGCGCGCGCACCGCGGCGCCCCTTCACCGCACGACAGTGTCGCTGTGGCGCGTCGGACGCGGTGGCACTGCTGTCCCGGTCCCGCCACAGATCGGTGGCAGTGCGCGGATATGGATCGCTTGGATGAATGACTGCCTGAACGAAATGCTGCTCGAGCGAATGGCTGCTTGAGCGAGCGTCGCTTGGTTGAAGATGCACTGTTCCGCGGCGCGGCATGCTGTGGGTATCAGGGTATCCTGTTTGCTGTGGGTTGGTTGTGTCAGGAGGTCGTTGGGGCCACCTCATCTGGCCCCCTGCTTGGATTCTTGGTGCGTCCCATTTGCATCCTCTTTGGCCGAGTGCCTGGCGTGTGGATACACCTTGGCAGAGTTCCGGCAGCGGCTCTGGGAGTGGATCTGGCAGCGGCTCTGGGAGTAGATCGCGTAGCGGCCCTCGCTCGCCGGGACCAGCACTTGCATCTCACCTCCATGTGCCTATTTCCATCAGAAAGATGCCGTTTCCATCTCCGACTTCATCTCCATCTCCGACTTCATCTCCATCTCCGACTTCATCTCCATCTCCGACTTCATCTCCATCTCCGACTTCATCTCCACCTCCGTCTTCATCTCCATCTCCATCGCATCGACCCCCAGGCTGGCTGCTGCGTATCCTTGCCTCTCTCTCGTCTCGCATCCATGGCCGTCGGTGGTGGGGTACTGCTGGTGCGACTCTCTTGCTCCACGGGGCTGAAACCCCCACCACCGGCCCCAACTTTTTTTTCTCGGACGGTCAAAACCCGAAGTGGGTCGCATCGCATCCCGCCGTCCTCTCTCTCCTCTTCTGTTCGGGACCCAAGGCTGCTGGACCGCCCAGGCTCACAATCCAGCAGGACATTTGCTTCCAACGTCGGTGCATCCGTCCGTCTGTCCGTTTCCCTGCCCAGATACATCCTTGTCGTTGGCTGCAGTCACTCGTTGCCATGACTGACGCCGACCTGAAGAGTGTCGTCGCCGCCTTCTTCATCCAGGCCATCACCGCCCTGGCTGTCTTTGCTGCCTTCTCGATCCTGCGGTACAACTACAAGCAGATCTACGAGCCCCGGCTTCGGTCCAAGGAGGAGATCCAGCAGGAGAACCAGGCCATTGGCCTCAAGACCCTCATCAGGATCAAGGTCTCGCTCCGCGACCTGACCACATGGATCCCGGCCGTTCTCTCCATCGACGAAGCCAAAATGTCGCACCACATTGGTCTCGACTCGGTCATGTTCCTGGCTTTTCTGCGACTGTGCTGCCGCTTCTTTGGAGTCGTCGCCCTCATCTCGCTCCCGCTCATGGTCTTCAACTCCCTGGCCCCGTCCATCACCGGCCTTCCTGGATTCCAGGTCACCAGCACCGTTGCTGGCCAGGATCCGCCGCCTTCCTCCTCCAACTCGAGCTCCTCCTCCAACTCGAGCTCCTCCTCCAACTCGACCTCATCCGGCTCGGTCCTGAACCTGCCCAACCCCCAGCTCACGACCCTCACCTTCCAGAATCTCAATGCTGCCGCCCGGGGCTGGTTCTGGCTCTATGTCGTGGTTGCCTATGTCTACACCTTCGTGGGCTACTACTTGATCTTTGCCACCTGGAGGCAGTATCTTCGGCTCCGCCGCGCGTGGTTCGGCAGCCAGTCCTTCCAACAGTCCTTCCACAACCGCACCGTTCTCCTAACCAACCTTCCTCCCAGCCTCCAGACCGACGAGGCCCTCACCGACTTCATCAAGACCCTGGACCTGCGCTACCCCTTTGTCCATGCCATGGTCGGCCGCAAGATCGAAAAGCTGCCTGCGCTCATCAGCGAGTACGAGAGGACCATGGCTCTCCTCGAGCGGTCGCTCTGCAAGTCGTTGCCCAATGCCAACAGCACCTTGCCTCGTCTAACCCATCGCCAGGGCGGCTTGTTCGGGATGGGCTTTCTCGGCGGCAAGCGGGTCGAGACGCTCCCTTACTGCCAGCAGCGTCTGCACGAGCTCGAAGAAGAGATCTATGCCGTCCGTGCCCGCGGCGAGCTGGCCTTTGAGTGCGAGGCCTCGGGCTTTGTGCTCTTCGAAACGGCCATGGGCGCCCATGATTGCGCCAGGCGGTACCGCACCCCGACCTCGATCTCCTTCAAGACCAAGATGCTCAGTCCCCCGACCCTCAAGCTTGCGCCGCACTTTGAGGACATTATCTGGGCCAACATTGGCATCTCCATGCCGTTCCGCCAGTCGCGCCGTCTGGTGGCCGTTGGCATTACCATCGGTGAGTGCGACCAGGATTGGTGACGCAGGCGTCGTCATTACTAGTGCGGCTGTCACTAGTGTGTCGGTCACTGCTGTGTTTGTCCCTGCTGCGTTGGTCGCCGACCCAGCCTTCTGTGATCGTCGTAGCCCATGAAAGCCGCAATGACTCGGGCTAACAGCGTCCTTTTCACAATCCCATTTTCTTTCTGCCAACGCCGTCCACTCGTCAGCACTCATCCTCGCCTGGACCTTCATCGTTGCCACCGCCACGACGCTCACGTCGATCGAGAGCTTGGCCCGCATCAGCCCTGCCATCAGCCAATTTGTGCAGCAGAACGAGGTCGCCAATGCACTCTTTAAGGCCGTGGTCGCTCCCGTCGTCCTCGTCGTCCTCGGCGTTGTGCTGCAGCTTGCCCTCCAGATTCTAGCCCACATCCAGGGAGTCCGCAGCAACACCGGCGCCCAAAAGTCCGTTCTGCACAAGTACTTTGCCTTCCAGATCTACCAAGTCGTGTTCCTGGTCGCCCTCAAGACGCTGTCGATGGCTCTGACAAGTTTCTTGACCGGCAACAGCAACGCCTTTGCTTCCTACGACCTCAGCGCCATCCTCTCGGCGGCATCCGCGGGTTTCATCAACGTGAGTGCTCCTGCGTTTCTCTGCCGACGCACTGATGCGCACTCTGCTTCTTTGTCCGGATCCAATGGCCCGGCACCTTTCCTGCCCTGGTGTTTCTTGGGCATGTGCCATATGCTGAGCGGATTGGATGCGGCTTGTCGAATCCTCCCCTCTCCCACGTACTAATCCTACAGGCTTTCCTGGTCATTTGCAGAGCTCCAGCTACTACATTGCTTTCATCACAGTCAGTTTTTCGTCGTACGCGATCGAGATCATCCAGGGTGCCCGGTTGGCGATGCTGTACGTCAAGCGCATCTTCTTCAAGCCGACGCCGCGCGAGGAGGGCGAGCTCAACCAGCTTCCGGTCTTCGAAGTCACCTTTGCTTACAGCAACTTGCTGCTCATCTTTCTGCTGGGATCGACGTACTGCATCATCGCCCCGCTCACGACCGTTTTTGCCTTCATCGTGTTCTACGTTGCCTATCTGGTGATGCGCTACCAGCTCAGCTTTGTGTACGAGACCGAGATGGAGACGGGCGGATCGTGGTGGCCCAAGGTCTCCAACCTGCTGCTGCTGTGCTTTGGTTTCTGGCAGACCATCACCCTGATCGGCTTCCTCTTTGTCACCAACACCACCAACATCACCGCCGGCGCCGGCACCACGGTGGCCCAAGGCATCTTGATGCTGATTCTGCCGCTCTTGACGGTGGCCTATTGGTACTGCATCCACACCTTCTTGGCACCCAAGGGCTATCTCCTGAGCGAAGTGGACGACGCCCCTCGTTCGTACCTCGCAATCTTCTTCTCGGCCGTCGGTAAGCACCTCACCGGCGCCTTCTTTGTCCAGCTCTACAAGCCCTGGACCTATGTCCAGAGCCTCAAGGCCATCCCTGTCAAGGAGACGGGCGATGCTGCCGATGACCGCAAGCACATCGAGCAGCACGCCTTCAATCCCAGCCTCGAGAAACCGCTCTGGACACTCACGCTGCCTCCAGAGCTCCAGCCGCGAGCCGCCGAGTTCTACCAGCCCAGATACAAGGACCTCGCCGACTTTATGGCCCAGAACCAGATCGAGTCCCCGGCGTCGGCCGACGCCAAGCCAAAGTATCTGCAGGGCACCGACGCTGCCGCAGCCATCGAAATCGTCTCAGAAACTGCCGCCCCGCGGGCTTCACCATCCACTCAGACCACCGTCTAGTCAGCTGCAACCGCTTATTCAACATGCTCGCTCGGTGCACCCTGCTCCGCCTGGAGCACTGGGGAGCCATTCACCTCGACCTGTAATCACCTGTGCCAGATGTTGCTCTTTCTGGCCTTTCTAGACCGGGGCTGTTCCCCGTCGCCCTTCTTCTCCCAGCAGCCACCATTCTAATGACAGTCAATGCAATAAAAAAAAAACGGAGGGCATTCAGCTTTTTTTGATCAACAAACCCAAAATGATTTGTTACCTCGAAACATCGCGCGCTGGCCGTGGCATTCCCGTTGAGGTTTGCCAGAGTGACCAGAGCCGATCGCAGGCGGTCTTGATGGACACAGACCATCAGAAACCTCATGCTCGACTGAAATGGGTCTGCTATTCCCTGGACATCGTGTCCTTGCCAGTCCAACCTGTTTCCCTCCGTGGCAGTCCCTCGTATGCTTCCACCACCACCACCAGAGCAAGGGAGATTGGCACGAGTCCATCGCGATGCTCCGCAGCCCAACTGTCCAACGTGGCGCGACGCTGGCTCGCCAACAAAATCTGCCTGACAAATCAGCGCCGGTCTTGGATTCTCCGCATCGCTTGCCTGTGCTTCCCTTCCACATATCATTCTGCACTATTGTCCTCATCTGCATCGTCTCTCCTCATCTGCATCGTCTCTCCTCATCTGCATCGTCTCTCCTCATTTGCATCGCCCTCTCCATATGTCGCTCGCCACCCAGACATCGACCCCGGCCGAACCGTCCTCGGCCACTCCCAAGCCGTACCCCGGCGCACAGTGGTCGTCGCTGTTTCTTCCCCAGACCACTCGAGCGGCCTTGGCCATCGAAGCCGAGAAAAACCTGCTCCGCCATGGTTCGATCTACACCCAAACGACCGAGATGGAGGTCGAGCACAAGCAGGTCCAGATCAACGAGAGCGACTACATCAACACCCTCATCATGCGGCCCAAGGCCAAGGTCAGTCCCGGTCCCGGCTCCGGTCCCGACTCGACACTCCCACCGGGCCCAAAGCGGGTCCTGGTTATGGCTCACGGCTACGGCGCCGGCCTGGGATTCTTCTACCGGAACTATGCCGCCCTCAAGGTGCTGCAGGGTTGGGAAATCTACTCGATCGACTGGCTCGGCATGGCCAACAGCAGCCGCGCCCGGCAGCTGCCCCGGATCGACCGAAACCAGTCGGTCCTCGAAGCCACTCAGCAGACCGAAGACTACTTTGTCGAGAGCCTGGAAGAGTGGCGCACGGCAACCGGCATCGACGAGATGACCCTGATGGGTGAGTCTGAGGGTCGGTCGGTCGGTCGGTTTGACCAGTCTGGCTGAATGGCAGCAGTCGCCTTGGATAGCTTGTCCTGACCATTTCTTGTGGGGAAACGAACCAACTGCCCTCCGGCCATCCCAGGACACAGTCTCGGCGGCTATTTGTCAACATGCTATGCCATCAAGTACCCCAAGCGAGTCAACAAGCTGATCCTGGTGTCACCTGGTATGTTCAGCATCTTGCTACCGCTCGCAATCTTCCTCGTCCGTCCGTCCGTCCGTCCGTCCGTCCGCCTTCTGGTCGCTCTTCCATTCCGAGCTCTAACCATATCGCTCCATTGGAACTCCTCAGCCGGAGTCGGCAAGCAACCTCCGGAGACGGTCCAACCTCGTCGTAGCCTATTGTTCACCGTTGCCAGATGGCTGTGGGAAGGCAGTGTGACTCCTCAGCAGCTCATCCGGACGCTCGGTCCATTCGGTAAGCCACTGACCTCACACTCACTTCCGCCGGTCTGGCCTCCGACTCGTCTCTTTGCCACTCCTGCGGCTGGTACCGTCCTCGACGATAATCCGTAATGCTGACCTCCCCATCACCCCGCCCCTCGACCACGCTCTGCAGGAACGAACCTCGTATCGAACTATGCCAACCGAAGGTATGGATCCTCAAAGCCCGCACTTGAACTCGATCCCACGCTGCATCATCTCACGCTGCGTCATCTCACGCTGCTCCCTTTCTGTTGGCGTAGATTCGAGTACCTTGTCGAGCAGGAGAAAACCGACCTGACAAACTACATCCACTCCATCAGCGTCCTGCCTGGATGCGGCGAGCATGTCTTGTCGAGGATTTTGGCGCCTGTAAGCACACTGGCAGTCGATGGCAGTGCCCATGTCGCATATCACAGTTGGCAAAACATTACTCCTGTATCCCATAGCGCTGCTAGCAAGTGTACCCGTGGGGTGCCAATGTGCATTCCCTACCACTCGCAGCCCTGACCTTTCTGTTTCCAATTGGTTTAACTCTTCTCGTGCTCGCCCCCTCGACACAAACAGGGAGCATGGGCTCGAGTTCCCCTGCACGATCGCATCTCCAAGCTCTCGATGCCCACGACGTTCATCTACGGCGACGACGACTGGATGGACTACAAGGCCGGCATCGAGGCCGCCAAGACCATGTCGGTGCCCGTCCGAGTCGCCACCCTCCGCGATGCCGGCCACCAACTGTACCTGGACCAACCCGAGACCTTCAACCGCTATCTGATCTCGGAGCTGACGGATGCGAGCGCGAATCTCAACTTCGCCGATGCCACCCACCACTATGTTTCCGAGTGATCCAACCACTCCTACGAGCGGCAGCCCTGGTCTTCCCAAGTGGGAAGCTGTCGCGACTGTCGCGACGAATGCATGAATAGATCGATGAGGAGGCAACAGGCAAGTCGTTAGTAGTGGTCTCGGTCATGATATTCGACGATCAAGTGCCCCTGTCGATACCACCGAAACATCCAACTGAATCGAGCCGTAGCAGTCTGATGCTTGTGGGATGAAATGGGACTGATTGCCACGGCAAGCAATCACTTTTTGTCGGACACTGGCTCGTTTTACGAAAGGACTCTCGGGTCAAGTCATTCTATGTGATGGAAAGGATTCCTGTCCATTGTCGGCCGTGAACAGGCGGCACCGTGTCAACCCTCGCACTCATCTCTATAACAACCAGCCTCGTGATACAGCCCAAAAGACAACCCGTTTCCAGTGCTGTATATGTTGGTCCTTGGAGTCCATGGCGCTTGTTCAGTGTGTTTGGTGTGGCATGTCGGGTTGGTGACGGGCTGGCGACGTTGTCAGCACGCGGTGTGCGGTGCAGCGGGGAAAGATAATAGCCAGGGGTATCTTTGGTAGGCCCTGCTCTTTCGATACACCCAGGATTCGCCATTCGACCCGAGTTGGACTGACAGGGCACGTCGCTCTCTCAAAGCTGATTTGCCCGCGGTGTATTTTCTTTGCTCAGCCTTGCCGGACAGAAAGAGAGAAGGAAAGAGAGAGAGAGAGAGAGAGAGAGAGAGAGGCTTGTTGCATGTGATGCAAAGGAAGCTTGCCCTCAAACGATTCCATCGCCCATGCATGCATGGGAGGGAGGGAGGGGAAGCGATCGGACTGAGCGCAAACTAACCACAGCCCCCCCGATCCGCTGGCTCAGAGACGGGCCTTGAAGTCGCGGTACGAAAATGCCACGTTCTCACTCGAGTTGCCTGTTGCCAGCACCGCCAGTCGTCGCTTGTTCTCCCATCCAAGGGTGGTTGTCGCAAACTTGCGCAAATCGGCGAGCTGATAGGCCGCGAGGGCCTGCTTTCGTTTTTCCAGGAGAGCAAAGTCGGCATTTTCCTCAAACGCCACATAGTTCAGGAACCGCACCTTGGAGGCCAGCGAGTCGTATGGGTTGTTGAGCCGGGTGAGGATCGACGCCTTGATCGAGTCTGGCGAGCGGCAGATGTCAGACCAAGCGACAGCGTTTGCAGGGTCCAATCGATAGAGGATCGCACGGACATGTGGATAGACCGCACACGCGGAGCGATCGAAGAAGCTGCGGATGCCGCCAGAGGAATGCGGGGGCCGTGTAAAAAGACAATTTGCAAGTCTCCCACTCTGCCCAGTTCTGCATAAAGACATTCGGCTTCAAGCTAAGGAGATGTGTACACAGCCTTGGACGACCGAGGGCTTACCAAACCGCGACTGATTCTCGTTCGACTCGCCCAAGTCGCGAAGGAATGTCTCGTTGAAGAGCTCGATTCGTGAGAGCAAGTCTGCCGTGGCGTCGACCGAGTCGGTATGATTTAGGCACCGGCATCGATTCGATCTGAGAGGCGGATTCCATAGACAGCAGGAGCGACTGTGCAACTTTTTTCGCGGTCACGGCTTACCGCGAGGATCGTGTGTGTTCGACTGCACTACCGAATGCATAAACAGCCGCTTATCCATTTCGAACGACGAAGAGCCGACGATATAGCCTGTTTGCTGCTTGGTTCTGAGCTGTGGGGGTGGGGTCCAAGCAGAGAAACGAGTCTCAGAGCCTGCACAGGCGCCAACGAGTTCGGATTGAATCTCGATAGAGCCGCACGGGATTCAGGCACTGTACCTCGGAGTAGAACGGCTCTTTATAGAGCTTGGCGAGCAACTCCTGGCCGATACGATCCTCGATGGTCTTGGGGCCAACCTCGGAGATCCATTGGATGGCGTTGCCCTTGACGTTGACCGAGAACTGGTGCAGTTGCGGCTGGGCCGTGTCCAACGGCACCACAGACGACTTTTTCGTGAGCTGCTGCGAGCATTCCTGTCCGCCGAGTGTGTGGTGCAACATATCCCAGGCGCGGCGGGCGTCCTGCTCGAGGACGTTGCCGCCGACAAACCCTTCGACGTTGTACTGGGCATAGAGCGTGTCCGCGAATTGTGCCAGATCAGCCAGAGTCACTTGGGCGATGGCCTCGGCAAGCTGAGCTGAGGTGCAGTACTCTGTATAGATCAGCGACGAGAGTCTGGTGCCAGTTGCGCCAAACGCATGCAAGTACACCGCTGTTAGTGTTGAGCACACGGGAATGAGCAATGCCTCTCTTATGCTGTTCAAGAGTACCTTTCCATAGCCTGACTCATGGGCGGGTTCCAGAGAGCATTCTTGTATGATCGCTCGATGCTCTCCTTGAAGATCTCAAACTTGGTGATGTCGAGTCTCGGACGACGAAGCGTTTGGAGGACGCTCTCGAGCAGCATCGAGGCTAAGCAGAAGGCAAGTTCACACTGTTACCAAGTGTAGTCTGGAACTAGAGCGAATCTGTCTCCTGTGAGGCAACGCAGCCACTTTGATCGCTCGACAAGAAACGATCATCCTCCCGAGGCCTCGGTATCTCTCCTGATGTAGACCACCCGGCGACCATGCCGCGACTTGCCCGCTGAATTCTTACTCTTTTGGCTATATCCGCCAACTGAAAGCTTGATGCCGGTGCCTATGCAGCAAGAGAGGCCAGGGTGACGCAATTCAGAGTCCAACGCCTTGCAAAGCGTGATGAACCGACATCATAAACTCCGAAATGCACCGCTGTCGAGAGGGACTTACCCTCGCTCTCGGAGACGCTAAAGTGGAGACCACCACTGGCAGCTTCGTAGCTGAGTTCGTTGAGCTCTTCATTCACAAACCGGGAGTAGAGCTCCGCCAAGGCCAGCGAACGGGCGTTGTGTGGTCGTATGCTCGGTGTTCTGACCTTGAAGATGTAGAAGCTCTCTGGGACCGGGAACTCGGCATCGTGATGATGATATAGGGCGCTGTTTGGGGTCTTGATGATCTGGCATGGAGATGGGTCGCCAGGGAGCAGGACGGGATGAAGCACCAGGTTGTCGGGGATGAAACGGTTGGGCGGCGGGTAGTAAACTTTGGCGGACAGCTCTGGGGAGACACTTTTGGACACAAGGCCCGCCAAATCGATGGGCATCTGGCAATGATGGATTTGTCAGCGGCACTACTGGGTCGGCACGTCCATGATGTCGGAACAACAGACCGAGAACGGTATCTCGTCCAGACACAGTGCCCAAAGGCCATTATCTGACCGCTCGATGGGTTACCTACCAAGCCATATCGTGCGCCCATCCACCTCTCTCGGCGATCAAGCTCGATCTCTGGTGCCTGCGAGACCATGGTTGTAAGGCAGTCGTCTGGAGTCAGACGACTCAACAGCTCCACAATCAATTCGGGGCGAAACTCCTGATAGAAGAGCGACCGCTCCGGAAAGGACTCGAGCCCCTCCCTCCGCAGCATCTTGGTATAGGTGGTAGCCAAGTTGGGATGACGCTGCTGGTACTGCCAGTGCACAGTGTTGACAAAATTGGCCTCGTTGAAGATATGCTAGCAATGTCCCGAGCAGGTGTCGGCGAGCGGAATCCATGTGGGAGTCAGATATCAGTGAAGATTAGAGACATGTTGGTCGGCGATGGAGGCGCGCTGGGTAAGCAAGCGGAAAGTCGGATGCAGCACAAGATGGCATCCATGCGGAAACAGCCAAGTATGATGTGCAAGCCCAGCATGGAGTGCAGTAGCAAATGGGTGGAATCGGGAGCGGACAGCCTTGGCCGCCACGTCTGCTCATAGAGGCACTCACGGCTGGATACGGGGATTGCTTGAAGACCTCGAGTGCCTGGAATACACAGCCGACGACCGTCTTCCAGTCCTTCAGGCCCTTCTCTGTGAGCCCAATTGAGATGTCAAAGAAGACATTGTCGGCGCCGTATTCGCTGGCCCCGGCCGAGAGACTTTCGGCCAACGCCTGCTCCTTCAGATATGACAGCAGTGAGCCCTGGCCCTCGTATCCGATCACACGCGAGAGCAGCGAGGCAGCTCGGCTGGACATGTTGACAAAGGTCGGTGGGATTTCCCAGCTGAGGGAGATTTGTTTCAGGTCCTTGACAGGCTCGATCCACACCATGCTGCGCTTGAGAGAATCCGGGAATATTGGCATGTCCTTGGTCGAGAGTCGAGCAACTTTGCTGTTCGGAATCACCGAAAAGAGCGTCTCGGCACTCTGAGCGAGCTTCTCGATGCTTGCTGGGGCATAGAGCACCAGATTCATGAGATTGGAGCTGTAGTTTTGCTTGAACCACTCGCGGAGATAGTCTCGGTCAATCAGCTTCATGGTGTCCAGATTTCCGGTGTTGAACATTGCTGAACGAGGCCAGCCACGAGCCGTCAGTGGGTTGTCGGCACCGGAATCGATCGCGGCCTGTCATGGATGACCAAACGAAACCTGCAACAGTCGATCTGCACTGCATCCTCGCCTACCGAATGGATGGCTCTGGTTCGCCAGCTCCTTGTTGACGTGCAGAATGCGCCATCCGTCTTGCTCAATGTTCTTGCGGTACTCTTGATCGACCGCTGTCACGGAGGAACAGATCGAAGGTCACTTTTGTTGGCCGAGTGGCGAACGAGCACATATCGAGCCGACCGGGCCGGCTAAGATACCACCGTTAGAACAAGCCAGATGCCCCGATTGCATCACAGACAACCAACCCTTCATCTCTCTGTCGACGCACGACTCGTTGAAGAGAGGCTCGTGGAAGAACTTTGAGAAGCGTTCAAGTGCGCCGTCGAATGCATCTGCAAGCAGCCGAGATTGGTCACGGAGCGTGGGATCTAGCATGCGAAGTACATCCATTCCAGCTACTTTGAGGAAAATGCATCCCCAACGATGCATGGCCGTCGATGCCGCTGCCAGGGCCAGATGTCAGTCAGCCAGCGCACCTGGTGAGACCGAAGAAAAGTAATAGAGCGAGTGGTCGCTGCTGGTGTATCCATTCAACGTCCCATTCGAGTCGAAGATGAATCTAGAGAGAGTAGGGTTTGTTTTTGTTAGACTGATGTTCATTAGAGCGTTTCAGGACTGCTGGTGGATGTTGCTGGTCGGCCAGAGATGAAAGGACGCTGGGTGGATTCTGCTGTCGATCGTGGCGAATATGGGGCACAGGATCGCTCACCAGCGGGCTCGCCATGCACATACAGACCTCTCGTATTCGTATTCTTTTGGAAACGACTTGGTCCCGAGAAAGAGCATATGCTCGAGGAAGTGGGCCGTTCCCTCGTGCCTGGTCGGCAGGTCGATCCCGCCGGTCGCATCCAGTGACGATATCGTTGTCAGCAGCAGCATCAGCATTCACGTCGGAGAGGCGGCTGCGCCCCGATGGACAGACCGATGGTTGGATAACGAGATCGATTGCTGGGCCAAGATGGAGGGGTGCTGCCGATCCAGCATCTTACTCTACCTGCCGTCCTTCCAGGAACCAGCCTCGACCGATAGACACGCCGCTGAATACGGAGCACTGGGATCCGACACGAGAACGGCGTTGATCCCGTTCGAGAGTCGGACCTTTTCGATACGGCGGTCCTGGAGCTGTGGGGTTTTGATCGGCGGCAGTTGGCCAAACGGGAATCGCTCGATCCGAGGAAAGGGCTCACCGGACCGGTGCCCAGCGGCTGTGGAAAGTGCCATCGTCCGAGAGAGCGACAAGACGGGCCTGCGGAGATGGCTGGCTCCTTTCGAGAGCAGTGCTTGCATGGCGGGACTGCGTTGGCGAAGAGGGCGGAAGAGGGAGGGCTGGTGGGCAGATGAGCAGGCGCAGAGATCCGAGGAAAGCAGAAACGAGCGGAGGCTGCCCGTTTCGTTCTGAACAAGCCCCCATGCCCAACCATTCACCCTGGCCCTCGTCGGAACTTGCTTGTTCGTTGTTGGGAGCCATGGGTGTGCCCTGGCCGAAGCTTTGGGGATCCGGCACTGGCCCTGGGGCGGCCGCCATTGTGCCGTATACAGGCAATCCAATAAAAAACGGGACACCCGGGTTTTTGACCATTCATCGAATATTTTGTTACCCAATGTTATCGCGCGCTGGCCATGACCATTCGCCGGACAGTGTGGAATCGCGACGTCAATGCGGCGCGCAACATGATCACAGTGTGCAAGTCGATTGTGGAGACCGGAGAGCGACCGGTGGTGTTCACTCGGAGGCTGCCAAAGTGATCTGTTTTATTTCTTGTGGCTTTGCTTGACGCAAGCACAGCACATACTACATGTTCATGGAAACGGCTATATTGTCCCGTTTTTTTCTGAATAAAGTGTAACACTGCGGCAACCCAAGATCAGGCATACAGCGTCCAAGTCGTCGTGCCGTTTGTGTCCAGCGGCACCTACGAATATCAAATCTCCTTGGTGACAACCACTGGCAGCTGCACCATCAACACGATGTACTTCCAGGTGATGGAGCAGCTTGCCGACTCTGAGGCCGAACCCGAGCCTATCACCTCCCCATGGGTGCAGCCCTTTGTGTCTGCCACTCCATCGGTGACATTCCAGTCTGCTGCTGCACCCACGAACGTTGGAAGTTCAGCCAGCAGCGGTTCTACGACCTGCCCCGGTCCTGTTTCCGACAATGCACCCTCGACGGGGGCTGCCTGCTCTGCCATTGGACTGCTCATCTGCGATCCCGCAAATCCCAACCAGTTCTACCTCTGCAACCAAGACATCAACGGCTGTCCTGTCTTTGTTGCGCCCTTTAGCTGCGGTGTGGGACTGCAGTGTTTCCAGAGCGGCAGCAACCCGCTTGTATGCCAATAGAGCACCCTGCACGCCCCTCGACTCTCTCTGGGTTGAGGCCCCCCCTCCCTGAATATCTATTCTGGAATATGGCCACGCAGCCCTGAAAATATAAAACGGACCCATTCTGCAATACCCACCGTCAACTGCACTGGGCGGTTATGTCTGCGGACTCTGGTGTCCGTGTTGCTGCTTCGGTGCTCATCCATCCAGTAGTTTATTTTCACCCAGAGCTTTCCACTGTCTGCTCAGGTTTCCCAGACTGTAAGGATCTCACCGGACGCCTTGGCACGAGTTGGCGTTGCGGAGGCACGTTTACTCGTTCTTAAAGTAGACTGTGATCTGCAAACTGATGGGCAGGGCCGTATCTGTCACGTAGATCACATCGCCATCCAACAGCAGCTCCGCCAAAATCTTGTCGAGGTTGCCCAAGGTGGCTTCCCGAAGGGCGGGAGGTGACTGCATAAACAGCGACTTTGAGCTTGTTCGGAGCGACGGTTTTTTCAGTTGGCTGAACGAGAAGAAAGGAAGTACCGGCAAGGTCAGAGAATATGGCAGCGAAGGATTGTCGGGGTATCGCATCGCCCCACCTCCCACCTCCCATCTCATGCCACAGCAAGTGTCACAGCGAGTGCCGGGGCCCTGTGCTCAGAGTCTCATGCTTTGCTCTCTGCTGCCGCCCAGTCATGAACCTACACTGAGCTGATCTCGGTGAGCGAATCGATAAACTCTTGCAGCGTGGCAGTCCTGTCTTGGTCGTGGATGACCATCGTGGCCGAGCCGCAGACGGGGCACTCCTCCTTGCGCTGGAGCTCAAATGTATATGTATAGATGCCCTGGTCGCCAACATAGAGCATGTAGTTGTCGAGATTTCCGACGCAGTTGGTGGCAAGCTTGAAAGCCTCATTGGCACAGGCCGCTGAGAAAGCCGAGGCGGAGGATGGAGGGCGACAGTCATGAGTCACACGGGGGCGATCACAAATCAGGTGCATGCGAGAGGATAGCTACCTGCGACGATGGCGTTGGTTGAGGCGATTGCGGGAATGATGTTCTTGACAACTCCTTGGGTCAGCGAGTACGTAACACCGGTGATGCCAAACTGCTTTGCACGGTCGGTCGCCATATCAAAAAGCCACTTGATGTGCTCCGGGCTATCGCCGTCAACCTTTTGGCCTGATGCAATTGGGCAAAGGATATCGAGTCGCCAAATTCAGTTGGGCAACAGGATCTCAGAGGCTAGGTTGTGTGCTGGTGTCGGGCAGACCGAAGACCCATCATGTTTGGCGGGGCGCGGGATCCAGTCTGCGGGGTGGGGATGCAGCTGATTTGCAAATCGGGACGATCATCAGACCGCCTCAGGCAACCTTCTGGTCTTGATATCTGAGCGCTAACTGACCTGGGAAATGGTTGGGCCATTGGATGATCGAGGCCCATTCGATGCAGTGCTCAGGGAGTCGCGGAGCATTCGCGATGGTGCACATCGGGAAGGTTGTGGGCTTGGTTTGCATATCCAGCGAACACTCGTAGCAGGCGGTGATTCGAGGGAGGATGACACGGGCCTGTCCTTTGAAACCTGCAGTCCCGAGAAGCGATGCGGGTATCAATAAGTAATTGAGGGGCAAGCAGGAGCGTCGACATCGGCCGGCATGATCGATCTGGAGCGAGCCAGGTCGATGGTGTCGGCCTTGACGATCAAGACCCCGAGCAGGCAAGAAACCAACCCTCGGTGCCACCGTCGACGATGGGCTTCAAGGTCTCTGGACGCTCCGGATCGTACATATTGACAACGGTGGCATTGATCCATCGACGAGCCTCTACCGAGTCCAGGCCGCAGATGATGATGGAAAACTGCGAGTAATACTCCTCGTCCTTGTCCTGGATCTTGCCAAAGTAACTAGGGATATAGGCAATACGGTTTATCATATGCCGGAATTTGATGCTGCGATGTCGACAAAGTGCGGCGAGAGGAACTCAAGTCGGATCATAGGGCGACCCAGAACACAAGCAGCTGGAGCAACGTACGGGGTAACAATACAGCCAGGGACTCGCTCCATCACAAACTTGGCGGCGACTTCGGCCTTGGGCTTGCCGACATCAGCTTGCCTGTAGTCGAAAGCCACACGTCAGCACAAAAGTCGCAGTTAGGAGATCCACACAGCGAGACATCTCTGTCCTGCGCATCGATCGCCGAGGCAGCACAGGATAGCCACAAGGATTTGCGGCTTGCGACAATGCGGTAACTCTCGATTGCCGAGTTGCCCTCTGTACACCCGGTGCTGGGTGGGAGGTATAGCCGTACCGGAACAAAAACTGGCGATTGAGGTTGGAAATGTCGATGGTGTCCATGTCGATGACATGGATATCCTTGAACCCGCTCAGGGCCAGGTCTTTGAGCAGCTCGCAGCCAAGGCCGCCGGCCCCGATGACAAGGATCTTGCAGTCGTCGTGGAGGAAGGATTTCACCTGAAAGACATGCAGTGGAGGGTCAGGAGACGCAGCGATCAAGAAATAGAACAAAGTAGAAAATGATGTCAGACATGCAAGGAGGCGTCCGATATGTAAGAGGGGGGGGGGCGAAGGCAAGGGGGTGGCGAATGGAGATGGCTGGGCCATCAAGATCGCATCTGCAATGACAAGCCTCTATCGCAAGCAACATTAATGGGAACTTCGGGATAAACAGCGGACAGAGCAGCGGGAGGGAGCTTTCAGATAAACGCTTACCTCATCTCCAGCCTCGAACTGCTCCTGGGCAAATGGTCCCGAGCGATCGAGGAACATATCAATGTCGTCCCAGCGACTGAAACAAGCGAGCGATGAAAAAGGTTGAATCTGTGTCAGTGTGTCGATATATCGTAGGAGACATGGTACAGCGCAACAAAGGCAGCGCATGCAACACCAGCAGCACAGAGACGATTGCGACGCAGAGCCGCACAACGGACCCATTCCAGTCTTCTTGGCTCATTGTCGCAACGAGAACAGGTCCGTTTGTCGAGGGCACGTTTGGTCAGGAGGGCGAAGGACTGGACAGCGCACACAAGCAGCGGCCAGCGATGGGAAAATAGTCGCTCGCGCTCGACGATGCGGGTGTTGGTGCTGATGTGGGCGAACGAGCCTTGCAAGGAGGCGGCCTCGGTGGTGTTGGATTTTGGGTTGGGCATGGGTGGCGGGGTTGGATTCCTCGGTCATGTGAGCGCCATTGGCTTCGCGCCACAGCCCAGCCTGCGCCACAATCAGTCCAACCGACAGGGCACCAGTTTGAAACCAGACACCGAGTGCATGCGCCATACTCCAGTGTCACAACATCAATGCCAGTCCATCGTCGCCCTAGAGGACTGAAAGGGTGTATTCAAGACCATGCTCTCCACTCGCCGTTTGTTGGCCGCCCTCAGATCAACCTCAATGCTTTGTGCCGAGCGTTAACGGCAAAGTGCTTTGAACCGGAAGGCATATACCCGAGAGAGTTGATGGAATGCAGAGGACTAGGCACACCCTAGGGCGCAGGAGATTGGCTATAGCGACATGAGTATCAATCGATACTATTGCGAGCTCGGAATTTGACAAATACTTGCTGCGATAATGACTGGATGACACGGAGGAGCTTTGCTGAAAAGAATGAGGGTGCCAGTGGCGGTGTCATCATGTCCTTGCCAGCCGCCGAACAAGGCGTAAGGAATTTGGACGGAATGAGATCCGAAGCGGATCCATCTCGGAGCGGAATCGGAAATTTCATTGCCGTAAAGGTCGAAGGTGATTTCGCCCAGTCGATTCCATTGAAGCGAGCTGGATTCGTGACGAGTAGCTTCCTTCGCTTCGATATGGTCAAACGACCGAGTGAATCTGCCGTTGAGGCGACACCATATGATTTCGACTCCATCGAAATCATAAGACATGAGAGAGTCGCCGGCTGATAGGAAAGAAACGGAAGTGACGGAGTTTTGGTGTCCTTCGAGGGTCTGCATCAGCTGGCCCGTGGCGACATCCCACAACTTGACGGTCCCATCGTATGAACCAGACGCGATCGTATCGTCGCTCGGTGAGAAAGTCACAGAGCTCACCCAATCTCGGTGTCCCTTGAGGGTAAAATACAACTTGCTGGTGCTGACATCCCATATCTTGACGGAATTGTCATAGGAACCAGAGGCAATCAACTTTCCATCAGATGATATGGAAACTGAGCATACCCAGCCGCTGTGTCCATCATTCGGGAGAATGAGCTCCTCGACATTGTTGTCCCAGATTCGAACGGTTGTATCGCCAGAGCCAGACAGGATCAATTTGCCGTCCGGAGAGATGGCCACGGAAGCCACAGCTTCGGTGTGACCCTTGAAAACATGCCGTAGTTCACCGGTGAACATATCCCATTCTCTGACAGTGCTGTCGTACGAGCCAGAGACAATCGACTTGCCATCGGGCGAGATCGCAACGGAAGACACAGACTTTGAATGTCCTCGGAGGGTGTGTTTCACTTCGCTAGTGACGGCATCCCAAATCTTGATGGTCTTATCACTGGAGCCAGAGACAATCCACTTGTCATCGGGCGAGATTGCGACTGAATTTACCCAGTCCGTGTGTCCCTCGAGACTCTGCTTCATTTCGCCAGTGACAGCATCCCATATCTTGATGGACATATCGAAGGAACCTGAGATGATCCAGCTGCCATTGGGTGAGATGGCCACAGAATTCACGGTACTATCGTGTCCTCCAATCGAGAGCCTAACTTGGCTGGTTGGGATGCCCCACACCCCGATGGTCTTATCCGCAGAGCCCGAGACGATTGACAGGCCGTCAGTCGAGATAGCGAGAGACACCACCCCGCCTGTATGGCCCTCGAGGGTCTGATGCTCTTGACCAGTGGTGACATCCCACAGCTTGATAGTGTTGTCCCATGAACCAGAGGCAATCCACCTGCCGTCAGGAGACACGGCCAAGCAAAGCACATCGCCTGCATGTCCCTTGAGTGTATGCTTCAGTCGTCCAGTTGAGGAATCCCACACCATGACAGTGTCGTCGATTTTGTTGTGGTTGCCAGAGCCAGAGGCAATCCACTTGCCATCGGGTGAGATCGCCACGGCGTTCACCCGGTTCTTGTGATCGGCAAGCGTCATCACACACGGATCCCAGGTGGGTGCTGGACCAGCCGTGACCAGGAACGGGATCTTGTCCTCGAGTTGGGTGGCATAGGCCTTGTAGATCGCCGTCTCCTTCGGTGTGAATGCATACCCCGAGTTGTACACCTGTGGTGCACTCTTGATGATCGGATCGGCAAACTCGCGGATGAATCGATACGTGTCCTTGACCAGTTCCTTCGTGGTGTCGTCGACGATGGTGCTGGGTGCCATGTTGGTCACTCCTCGCAGCACAGCCAGTTGCTCGATGATCGGCTTGACCACATGTGTGAGCGATCCACACTCGAGCCAGAAGAACACATGCGTCTTGACGAACCGAGTGAGCACCGCTGCCACATCGACCATCTCGGCCGACTGCCACACCGGACTCGACTCGGCCACTCCTTCCACACACCACACAAAGTGTGTGATCCAGTGGGCGACGCTGTATCGCAGCGACGGTGTGATCTTGGCTGCGACCCTGTCCTCGAGGTCTGGGATCTTGTCGTGAAAGTCGAAGATCTCGCAGATGTTGATCACTGGCTCGTGGGAGAGGATCACTCCGAGACATCCCTGGGCAAACACCGTGTGGAACGAGTCCGACACATGCCACGGATGGCCAGCCGATGCGTCGCCGAGGAGATAGTCCGCCACCGACTTGTGGTTGAACTTGACTTCGGTGTTGGTGGACTGGCTGCCTCGGGGACCCAGTCCATTGGCGCCAGGATCGAGGACCAGGCTGAGGCTCTTGAGACACTCGCGAACGACGCCGATCTCGAGTCCAAACACATCGGCAATGATCTGCGGGGTCAGGATCGACTGGGCCGTGGCGATCGCCGACACCACCGTGACCAGCTCGGCCGGGTGGCTCGACTGCGAGTGGATCTTGGCAAATGTCTTGTGGTACAGTCCCTTGAGATCCACCGACGAGTCGTTGATTTCTCGGATCATCTCGAGGGTCAGTGTCCGTGGCTCGTGTGCTGCGTCGCTCTCCTCGCACGGCGTCGATCCAGGCTCGGGAGTCTCCAGCTCGTGCTCGACGGTGTTGAGGATCAGGTTGATCCACACGAATGTCTTGGACTGGTCCAGCAGCACCGAGATCGCCTGGGTGCGGTCCGACTCGCTGAGGCTGGGATGGTCCCTGAGACGATGGTCGATGAACACCCGGAGGTCGCGGATGTTGTCCTCGCTCGACGGCTCGATCGTCGTGGTCGGCACTCCTCGGAAGGCAGCCTTGATGTCGGCCTCGGGGCGGGACGTCAGCAGCAGCTTGATCCGGGACTCGTCCTTCAGCTGCGTGAGTCGCCAGGCCAGGAGCGACAGGATCTCGTCGCGCGGATGGCACTCGTCCAGTCCATCGACCATCACCACGACGGCTCCCTTGGGCCGGTACTGGCCAAGTGCCTCGAGTGGATCCTCAATCACGGCCTTGAACAGGTCCGGGATGCTCATCTTGTCGAGGTCGTCCTTGGTGTGGCCAGCGTCGAGGAGCCGACGGCCGATCGGTGCGTACCAGCGACACAGTCCATATGCGATCGTGGTCAGCAGGATGCGGGGGTTGTTCTTGCGGGTGTCGTTGTACTTGAGGAACAGCGATGTCGCCAGCTGGTCCCGACCAAGCAGGATGTTGGCGATCTGGGCGGCAGCGACGGACTTGCCGACACCGGCGACGGCATTGACCCACAGGACCAGGTCGGCGTTGTCGTCGTCGTCGACCCAGGCAGTGACGTGGTCAAACAGCCACTGGCGGGTGCCCTCGACATACAGATCCTCGAGCGCCTTCCTGTCTGGGTCAAAGTCGATGGGATCGAGCAGGACGCGGAGCTGCGAGTCTTCGTCGGCAGCGAGGACGATGGGTCGGCTCTGGTGGTAGAGGATGCCCTCGGCGATGGCCCTCTCGGTCTTGGCCACAAGCACTCGGATGTACGGAGAGAGCCTGTGTGGTGGCGGGGGATGGACGAGTGCGAAAGGGAATGGGGTCAGTTGGATGTGGTCAGATGGATGTGCAGCAAGGTGAGGCGATGTGTATGGTGTCGTGTGGTGTTGTGAGAGGAGTCTGATGCAGCATGGTGCACATGGCATTGATGGTGTGCATGACATGGATGGTGTGCATGGCGTGCAGGATGTTGCGACCAAGCATGACAGCAATGCAGCAGAAATGGCTTGCCATCGATGGGATGACAGCAGCCACCCACCTCATCACCGCCGTCCCATCGGCTGCATTGAACTGCTGGAGAGCCAGGACATCTCGGATGGTCTGGCGGATCGATACGGGCTTGCCGTCGACGAGGGGACTCAGATCGTGGCAGGGCGGCTCGTCGGGAAAGTCGTCGGGGTTGGGGAAGTACTTGGAAGCATAGGTCTGGTTGTTGATGATGCGGGTCGACCACATGTAGACGGGCTGGACGGTCACCGGGCGGCCGGTGGTGGCCGACTCTCGCATCCGACGCAGGGCATGCTGGACCTGAGTGTGAGTGTGAGTGTGAGTGTGAGTGTGAGTGTGAGTGTAAGTGTGAGTGTGAGTGTGGGGACTATTGAGTGCAAGTGCATCGACATGGATGCTCGGCCAACCGCTCGCTTGCTCACCTCCAGGAACTGGTTGTCTGGCTTGAGGTGTGCCTCGCGGGTGCGGCTCAGTCCCCGCTCCGACAGAACCAGCACAATGACCTGCGAGTTGACCAGGCCGTTGATGAAGCCCGTCTCCCAGTTCATGGCATCGACGAGACACAGCTGGTCGAGGTACGGACACAGGTTCTTGTCGTATTGGCTGGACGACTTGAGGGCGGCGTAGAGCTTGATTGCGGGCATCTCGTCGCTGAAGACTCGATAGCTGGGCAAAGAGGCGATGGTCAGTGGGCACTCTGGATGTCGATGTTGCCAGTGCAGACATGGACATGGATTGATGATCAACCGGCTGGAGTGCAGACACCCCACACTGCACCACAGGCATCGCCGCACCTGATGAACACCTCGTGGTCCCTGTTGCCCAGCTGGCACT